TCACACTCTACACTTTACACTCTACACTCCCACTCCACACTTTACACTCCACACTCCTTACTTCACACTCCACACTCTACACTTTCCACTTCACACTCCACTCACACTGCAGACTGGTAACAAGGGAAACATGTACAAGACTGTTCAAATAAACTATTGCAGAAAGGTATTGTGCGTCACTGCATAACCATGTGTTTTGACATCTGTACCATTAACATACGTGTGAGCATTCGGGTTCGTGGGCTTCATCTTGTTTTTTAATGTTTTTTCGCTGGCTTTTAAAAGTATAAACACTGATCAAGTATTGAGATGCATTGAGGGTAAAATAACATAAATAAGCTGTTCAACCATTTGGCCAATCGCAAAGATTCGTGTTCATTGGGTGCTGGCAGTTGGGGGGAAACAGCACCCATTTCGACTCATGGAAGGCTTTGTGCTGCAATTCCAGGGCTTTTCGAGCCGCCAACAATATCCAACAATGGAAACCAGAATAACTTCAGAATAACCAGAATCCATTGTAGCAATGGATCCCATCTTGGAATTTTGGGATCTTGAGGCCCTACAAATGTCGGCCCAAGGGTACCATGTTGTAACCCGGCCCAACGCGCCAGGTGTGGTTTTTTTTCAACGCTGGCTTTTTGGCACTATGGCAGTGGCCTGAGAGTCAATAGGATCCACCATCAAAATATTGGTGGTTTCAAAAATTATTTTACCAACATCAAAATTGGCCTGCTTTGGGATGATACGATAGAGATCACCAAAGACTTGACGCCATGCTATGAAGTATTGAAGGCTTATATAATTACAAGGGAAACCTGGATTTGGCTACTCTGAGACTCTACACCGACTTGCCCATAAATAGTTGTAGATCATGTGTGCTCTGCCACTTGAACCATTCGGGATCATTAGAGCTTCTTGAAGTTGAACACTGATCGCGAATAGAATGAAAGTCCGCATTGTTTCGTCCCCGCTCCATGAAAGGGTTTGAATAGAGAAATCTACTTTGTGAAGATCTGCCTAGACTTCATGAAGATTGAGAATTGGAGAGCAAAGTATCCATGAACTCTGTCTAGTTGGGCAATAATGTGTTGAGGGTAGCTGCAGGACCAAAAACGTAATTCAGACATAACAATGGAAAGCAACATGTGCCCAACCAAATGGCTTTCTTTCTGCTCGATCCTGTAAGAAAAGAACATGAAGTAGGGACAAACACTGAACGGATTTCCTGGATATACATAGCTGCAGCTGTTGAACCCGTTTCCCAATTCCTGCAGGAAGTTCAAAAAAGCAACGTGATCATTTGAACATATTTGAACAGTATGCCACGTGGAATCGAACAGGATGCGTTCGCGAAACATCAGACCTGTCAACAAAGAATTTTGAACCTGCGTGGTGTGGTCGTTTTGGTCGTTTGGTGTCCTGGAAGGCCAGTTGCCAACCTCATTGTGATGCCATCATATGCCATCTCATCCTGAAGCCAAGTCATTTATACCCGACCTACCTTGGCATGACAAATGCTAAATGATCAGCCAATGGCTGTCTTTGATTCTTGGAAATCGGCCGAAATCGTGGACGATCTGACTTTTCCATTCTTTTCCTCGCAGGATCTGCTGCTGCAAATCAGCTCAAGTTTGGAGCGGCTGTACAAATTCCCTACTGTCCAGAGCCAGACCCAGAGCCCCGGATATGGCAATCTGGGATCTCAGAAGAATTTGATGGGCTCGTGTGGTGAACGAATCACACCTCGCTGCAAAATCCCTTCATCTCTGGGCATAATTAGTGGATTTCCTGGCAATGCTACGATGGTTTACCCTCTAATTTAACAATTTGCTATTGAAAATTGCCATTTATAGTTGGTTTATCCATGTTTATCCACTAAAAATGGTGATTTTCAACAGCTAGGTTAGTTTACCAGAAGGTAATAAGTTTATAAAAATAACCACGAAACGGGCATGATGGCCATCTCTCAAAATGTCCACTGTGTTCCGGTTCCGGCCGAGCTTCAATGCGGCTTTGGGGCATGTTGCCTCCAAAACTCCTGGTCGAAATGGGGAACCCACTTCCGCAGATATTCTGAGCTATTGGCATTATTGGCATAGGTGAAATCCAGGTGAAATCCATTTGTTGACCCTGGTGCCCAATGGTGCCCACAGATTCTGCTGTGGATCTTCCTCCCGTGCAGGAAACTGGAGCTTCCGACCCATCCCCACATCATGGATGACCGATCTGCCGCATCCCTGGCCTCGGATAACTTGGGCGCATGGTGCGCCAAGGCTTCTGGCGCCCATTCCTCGAAGGGGGGCAATGGCACCTGCGGGCGCTCCATGCCATTGAAAAAAGGGGATGATTCAGCAAATTTCTCCGTTACATCACAATTTACGGCTGGTTCTATCCCGATTATGGCCCATCCACATGTGCTATATGGTTTTGAATGGTTTTAACTCATTCTTCCACATTCTTCCACCATGATTTCCCATGACTTTTCACAATTATCTCACAAGTTTCCCATATTTTTCTTGGCAAGTCGTTGGGGATGATGGTTTTGAAGCACAACATGAAGTCCATATTTGCCATAGCACCTGCTGAGGCTGGGCGCTGCAATACGGCCTGGCTCCAGGTTTGGCCAGGTACTGCTGATGGTAATCCTCCGCGTAGTAAAAGGGCACCAGGGGCCCGTGGAAGTTGGAGGCCGCCACAATTTCGGTGGTGATGCCAGATCCCTCGCCTGGCGCTGATTTTGGAGTCATGGGTGGGCCGGGGAAAATGATCGGAAAAATGATCCGAAACATCTGGAAACCGGGATTGGTAGGGAAACGTAGGGAAACATCCTGGAGCTTTTCTGTAGGTTTTCCCGTCCAATCACCAACTTTGGTCCACAGCGTCCAAGTCTGGACACCGATGGAACAGATAAATCCCATCCGTTCGCACCTTTCCCTGCAGCCTTCAGAGCCTTCTCATACGCGTCTTTACCTCGCAAAGCAATGCTGGCACATGCTGGCACCAGGGCTGTCCAACCAAATCTTAAACCCAATGACACCAGTTGAGGAAAAGCAATGCTGTCTATTCCGAGGTGATTTCCTAAGCTTTCCGGCCGCTGTGCTCAAACTTTCAATATTCACCTTGCACATGTTTCAATGCGACAATCTCTGGTCACCCGTCAGTTTGGCTTGTGACACTTTTGTGACAATGTGTCGCAATATGTTACAATCATGTTCCCTTCGTTCCCTTCGTTCCCTTCGTTCCCTTCGTTCCCTTCGTTCCCTTCGTTGTCGGATGCCCCCAGTTTATACCCCAAGGGTTTTTTTGGCCGAGATGAGCCAAGTGACTGGCACGCATCAGCTGCTCCTGCTCACTGTCGAAGTAGATCAAGGCGCTTCCTAAAAGCACCCCATGGATCCCCCTCCCAATCCTGAAACAACGGATTGTAAACCCCCAGAAACCAATCCAGGACAGACCTTGAACATCGCTGCAACCCGCAAAGGGGAGAAACTTAAGCGGCATACGACAAATGGTCACCATGGGAAATCCCACATGTTTTTCTTCACAAACCCACCACTTACCCGGGGCTTTCCTGTAAATTTTCCCTTAAACCAATCCATTGAGTCTCGGCTGGATCCATCGAAAAAATGTATGGTTTTTCCAGCCGAGTCTCGGTACTGCGTCCCTCGGTCGTTTCCCTGACGATCGCCCTGGGTTGGGTCGTGTGACTCCCAGAACCAACGGAGCAGGTCCACCATACTGATCTTCTCGGGGTCGTAGACCTCTGGTGGCTCCGGTGATGATGATCCTTTGGGCCATAAAGGGCCATAAATGGCCATAAGGTATCCATAAGGTTATGTGTAGGGCACCTATTGGATAACATGCTTGTGAAAGCTGGTAACTTCAAAATATGGCCCGGGGTTCGATAGAAGGTGGAGATGCTGAGTTTCAGTCCGCTCAGAGTTGCTGAATTTCAGCAGTGATCTGGAAGCGGATTCAGGTTCAAGATGTGGGGTGCCTCAACGATTGACTATGATTGACTGGTCATTTCGAGCATTCAAAAATCCATGTGGTCGAGAATCACAGTTTCTGAAATCTGGACGTGTTTGAATGGACCCTTCAACAAATCTGAAACTTGAACTTGGATGAACTTGGTACATCTTGATCTGCCATGGCTTTCCAGATGTTTCCAGCCTTAGAAATTCTTCCCACATGTCAATGCACACCCAGTGGCGACTTGTACTGCTTCAGTGGCTCCAGTGCGTCCGGAGCAACACTCCTGAGCCAATGAAGCCCCAGAATTGGGTGCGCCTTAATGGGAAAAAACATTAAACATCTCTTGATCATTTCATCAATTTAATTCGATAAAAGTTGATGGGGCACCACCGATTTGAAGACAGTCTGTGAATCTTCCAGTGCATCCAGCAGATTCCAGCAGCTGTCCAATGGGGAAGACTTTAAGTAGAAACCCCACTGACTTTGCTCACGGATTGGTGCAAGACTCAAGACGTGCGTCCAAAGTGGATGATGGTGCTTTCCAGTGTCTACGCGTTCCATCTTGAACTTAACAAAAAAAAAGTATGTCCCCATTCCTTGGCTAAATTCTGAAGATCCCTCATGTTTTCTGTTGATGCATGGTTGGTTCAACGGATTTTAACATTGAAAATTATTTCCATTTTTTTAATGGTCAGATCAGCATGTTGTACCCTGAAAAAATCGGAGTGGACTTCCAAACATCTTTCGTTCTCCTCATAGTTGGGGTTGGCCGTCTGCCCTGCAGCATAGCCCACCGCGGTGGAATGGACACCTCCACCTTGGCTTTGTGGGAGGATGTGGGAGGTATCACCCTGATCCGCTTAGTTTTTTATGGTAAAAAAACATCAGCTTTATGTCACTTCTTTGTGTCACTTGTTTCATCTTATTTCATGGTAAAAACTGGGGAGTTTTGCAAAACTTCCAGTATCTTCCAGTGAAACATGGAAAATATGGAAATCCAACAGAACAAGCGGACTTCATCATCTCAAATGGAAAGACACATTGAGAATGGGCATCCGACCAATCCGACCAATCCGACCAATCCGACCAATGGTTCAACATACGCCACGAAAAATGTCACCCCAAATAGTTAACCTGATCAATCCTGATCACTCATCTTACTTGTCTTCCAGTGATTTGATTCCAAAATAGTAGCATTCTCCTATGCCTATAAGCAATCATAAGTCAATCATAAGCAATCTAAGAAGTATCCCACGGTTCCGACATGTTCCGACACGTCGCAGGTCACCAGGGTCACCACACCTGGCAATCGCCAGAAGCCTTTTTCGGAGCCCCAAAAGCAGCCGTTCGCCAAGACGCAAACCTGCGGTGGGAACACCAGCCTGGTTGAGCCTACTGATACGAGTTAGTCAGGGGGTTGGGGCATAGGAGGAAGAATCATGTAACAAATAACCTCAAATTACATCAAATAACATCAAGTAACATTGAGTAACATCAAATAAATAGCTAACCTAAAACAGATTTGAATCCACCAATCAACGGGACCAGGCATTCTCGAGAGTCAAACAAAAAGCCTTAGCACAATTCCAGTCACCATCAAGATCACGACATCTTCAAATTTGGGGCCGGCATGGGGCCCTTCAGTCTTCCAGCATCCAAAGAGACAAGATACATAATGTAGCCTTTCCAATTGAACAGGCCATCCATGATCTATTGCGGATGGAGCAGCTCATGGATTTGATTCAACTGCACGCCAAGTAACTTTCATGTTGGCTGGCCAGGGCCCTTCCATGGGTGTTTTCCTGGGCACGAACGCATTGACGCATTGACCAACCGGCAGCAAGTTGAAATCCAGAATCCCATCCGGTTCTCTCTTAGTGCATGGGGACGGTGGCGGATGGTGTATGGTTTGGCAAATGAACCTGGAAACGCACGTCCCAGATTGTCGCCGACACTACAGACCTAACATTCTCCAAGCTCAGGGGTTACGCAAGTCACATGTCATATGAGCATATCTGAGATATTCAAAAGATTTAGGGCATCCTCAAAATGAAACCTACCTTATCATCATGTTCACCTTCAATAAATTGCCAGAACATGGGGTACCTGACGGTACATGCAGTAAAACACTACAGTAAAATCAGTAAACAACAATATCGTCATGTTTTTTTGGGGAAAATCCATGGGAAATTCATGGGACATCTCAGTGACACTGAAGTGCTGGTCGCCAAGTGCTGGTCTCAGCTTCAGGACGAAATGAGTGGGGCTCACCTCCATCTTTTCGGAGCGGCCCTTCCTAGGCTCGACTGGAGATATCTTTGGCCACACAAATCACAAAACTAAGGCATGAAAAGCTTCAATAAAGCTTCAATATAGCTTCAATTCTACTGATTCAGGATTCGATTCCATTTTTTTTTGACTCCTTTTTGGGATTGCCATTGCAGTTGGCATGCCATCGGCTGTGAAGGCAAGTTTTGAGATGGTACGGTATGATGACGTGTGGTTTTTGGCACTTAACATCTGTATAACACCTCTGAAGGTCCGAAGATCAATGCTCGCGCTGCAGCTCCCATCATGTTTTGCCTACGCAGTTTCCTGCGAGTCGTACGCGAGTCGCGCTACAGCTTGAGCCAATGGCGACATGGTCAGCATGGACATATATGGACACCATCGAGAGGTGCTTTTTCTGGTGCTTTTTCTGGTGCTTTTTCTGGTGCTTTTTCTGGTGCTTACCCAAGCATTGGAAGAAAGCCCTGACCACCTGACCATGATTGAACATACCAGAGCGAGCCTAGGCTGTTGCAGAAGCTCCGAGCACGCCATGGCACCATGATGGCACCATGCATCGTAGAAAACGGGCACTTTGTTGATTTGCTAAACTTAGTAACTTGAGGAATCCATAGGAATCCCAAAATCTGTAAATAAGCCAAACACGGCCAAACATAGCCAAACCAAATATTGCGTTTCTTGAAACCAATAAGGAACTTTCTATTGATCCTGTTTCCCTTTGCCCATTCCCTAATGGATTCAATTGATTCTCCGAAGACCATCCCTTGTCGAAGTCCACATAAGGTACAACCGCCCGAGGACTCGCAATGGCCGCGGGTCGTAACTGTCCGGCAACGGTACAAGGTGGACCAATATCCCAATAGCATTGCACAAGCGGTGGGCAAACTCGACGAACTTGGGCAAACAATTAAACTTCGAAAAAGAAAACGACTAAGACAAATGTTTCATAATGTTTCTACAGGATTTTCCTCAAGTTCGTCCTTAAGAGGGCACTAAAATAAATAAGCCATGGTATTTTCATCAGCTCACTCTTGGGCCCCAACTCGATCGTCCCTGTCGTTGGATTCCATGGTTCCAAGTTGATCCTGGTGATCCCATCTAAGCTGAACATAGGTAGGCAAAACAGTGGGAAAGTAAAACCAAACAACAAGGGTTTCCAACAAATCCGCTGCCTCAGATCCATTGAGTCTCAAATGAAATCCTTTCAGCCATCGATATCACTATAGAATGATCCCCGAGGTTAGCTAGATTCTTGTCGAGTGTTCGATCTCCCGAATCGACATAAGTGAGATGTAGCAGCATTTTATAGCATTTTTATGGTCAACAGAGTCAACAGAGTCAACAAAAATCCAGCCACAGTTTCCACAGTTGGATCATGATGATGCCAAAAAAAATCCAGCCACATTGGGCACCCCATGACCACCAGGAGAACCGAGAACCTCCGCCGGCCTTCCGGAGAGCCACTGCTTTGGGGCCCAGCCGTGTCAAGGCTTCTGTGGCCGCCAAGCGGTACCTGGCAGAGGTTCAAACTGACCTATTTTAGGATGGGATGACCTATTTTTGCAACGGCCACACCTCAAATACTCAGCTCGGACTTTTCCTATCTCCAGTGTAAAAGGTACCCAACATGAAGGATGCATCGAGATCTGCATTGACAGCCCTTCGTTCATTCCGTTGTCACCGCTCGGTGCGCAAGAGGGGCACTCCGTGTTTCTGTGGAAAAGCCCATCATCCAAATTATGGATCAGCGGCACGACCTGCTGAAGGTGATCATTCTCACGGAAAAAAAAAAACATTTTTCACACCATATCTGTTAGTTAATTAAGTGTTTTTTTTTCACATCATAAAACATCATAAAACATCACTGGTTGGTGGTTGAGCCACCCCTCTGAAAAATATTCATCAGTTGGTCGAAACCACCAACCACCAACCAGATCGTACCCTCTGGTAAACTAACATAGCTATGGAAAATCACCATTTTGAATGGGAAAATCCACTATTTATGGCCATTTTCAATAGCTAACTGTTAAATTACCAGAGGGTAGATCATCAATGATGGAGATTCGCATTGGGACAACCTGGCCAACACCTTTCCATTGCCAGATATTGCCAGATTGGATCCGAGACTGCTGCAGACTCCGGATCAAGTTGCCCCAGAGCCCACCTCAGTGCAATCTGGGGCAAAAAAAAACACACCAGGAACGGGTCACGCACAGTCATTAATGCCCATAAAATGCCCATGAAATGCCCATGAAATGCCCATAAATGTCATAAATATACCCTTAATCATATTGAAACCAGCAGATTTGGCAGTCAAAACTCCGAACATTGATGATAACTGATGATTATACTGATGATAAATTAATAATTTTTATTGGTGCTTTCGGAGGCAGGGCTTAGCTCAGCACATGCAGGCCGTTTTGACCTCGATTTTCTCACCTTGGCCCAGATTCCGCATCTCCAAGGCTTAGATTCCGCTGATTCCAATGGCTTGGTGACATGATGGGTGGCAATTTTCCGATGCGAAAATCCAAGGGGCTGAGGTCGGCATCAGGATCATCACCTCGGTCAGAGGGTGAAACATGAGAATTTTTGATTCAAAACTCAAAAAAAAATGTGCAGAAATGAAACACTTGAAACCTATGCCATCAATATATGACAATCCAGGCTGCAGACTTGGTTTCCCTTCAACTCTCATTGCCAACAGGAAATACTCGGCACAAGATTGAAACGTGAGCTGGTCACTTTGTGGCACAAGCTTAAAGCATGATGTGGTACCCAAGGTTTCCTTTCGACATCTGTCTCGTTTTCGTGGGAAAAAAAACCATGGGATTTCCACATGTGTCTCTTCACACCAGAAATCAATGGGTTTTTGATGGGTTTTTGATGTGTTTTCCCTATGTTTCCCTAGGAAAAACAGCCCAAGTGGCTCTTGACCCCGGGACGATTGGCCAACATTCGGGTGCACAGGGCAGCTGCATGGTGTGAAGCCACCTGGGGTGCCGCTGTGTTAGCGTCTGGTTAATAACCTATGAATATTAATGGGGGATTATGGGAGATTAATAAGCCATATAATCTCCCATTAATCTCCCATAAGCCATATTATATACTAAGCTTATGGGAGATGAAAAAAGATATCACCTATGGCTATCACTCTTTTATCTGTATATCATCTGTATCATAACTCTGGGTTAATCCATATCTAGGGATCTAGTATAACTTAGTATAACCTATGCAAAATAACCTACGTATAATCCTCAGTTGTGTGTGTGGCTATTCCATATTCAACTGGATTCTCTATACCGGATTCTCTATGGATCTTTGACGATGTTTGATGTTCGTAATTTAGTAATTGTGAGGAACACCCATGTATTTGCAATGCCCCTTTTGGCATATCCGCTTTCAAGTGTTTTATTCCTTAGCATTTTCGCAAACGGGATCGGCGGACCCATGGGGATAAGAAAAAATGGATCACACTATGGGTAGACAAGCCATTCCGGAAAACCACATAAGCGTTATATTCTAATTGCTGAAGGCTGCAAAAAGTCCCATGCATGTTGATACACACATCTTTCGTCACTTTTTTAGACACCATGCTTTTCTTGGTAATGGCCACTTATGGCCCATCATCCTCCCTGACTTGGTGGCTTCAGGGTGTCTGTTCATATCATGTTGTATCAAATCTGGCCACAACAATACACCTACCATTTGAGATTTGGGATGGTTTATACATGTTTATACCATCCATTGATGGTGATTTTGGAGATGGTTTATGATTTGGGTTTACCACCTTACCCGGTAAGGGAATCAACCGTGGCAATGGAACATATACGGAACTTGTATTATCGGATTTGCAATGGCCATGTTTGATTCCCAAAGAGTTTTGTGGTCATTTTCCCACCATTTTTCCACCATTTGGGCCCATCATGTCACCTTTTTCACCATCGGCACCTCTCCATGCTTGCCCAGGGTGATGGCGGACGTCCGCCGCACCTCCGAATCTAAGCTGTGGAGGGCCTCGTCGTGTGTTTCACAGCGAAAAATGGATGGAGATGATAGGGGTTTCTAATAGGAAATTCAATTCTATAGCATGGATATATCATGGTTTCGAATGGAGATATATCATAATATCCACTATATATCCATGTGCACTATATATCCATTTATATATCTCAATAATTTGCACTATTTATCCTAGAAGATTAAAATCCCAGAATATTCAATGATTGACTGTCACATTGTTGGAATATAAATGGATATGACGGGTTTCGCTGGTGAATCGCACCGGTATCTTATGATCCAAAGTTCAAGAATATGGATCTGATTGGCACTTTTTTGTGGCACATCCAAAATATGAATCATCCGTCCATTTGTAGGGATGGAGCATGGAAACTCTTTTTATACACCATCGAACATGTTTACTGTTCAACATCCACTTGTATCTCCATGTTAGGGAAAGTCCCCAGACTGATTATTATCTCACTCATAATGATGCGGTCAATCATCGAAATAACACTACTAATTACCATCATTAACATCCATTAACATCCATTAACCCACCACTATCCACCATTAACAAAGACATGTTGCCACATCCCGGTCCTTGACGAGCACTGGTTGGCTGTCAGAAGAACCACGAGGACCGAGCCTTAGCTGAGATCTGAACCGACCTCTTGGGCCCCGTTTTCCCCGTTTTTGGGGGGATGAATGACCTGTAGTGCGATGCTAAATGGCTCCAGTGGAGTAGCTTCCAGTGGTTTGCTACTCGTTCTTTGACATGGCCGCGCAGGGAAAGCTCAAGAGTCCACATTGGCCAACCCTGCTGAGGAAAAGCTAACTTATCCTAAGCTGGCTTGACATGACATGACATTACATCTTATAAGATTACATAACATGTAATGACACAAAAACAAACAACTATACACGTATACCGTATTTGTATATCACATGTGCGTTTGTAACATGCGCATCTCCCCATGCCATCATTTGTTGAAGATTCTACAAGCTGCAACTACCCATCCAATTTCGGCAAAACGTATACAAATACAGCACAAATGTGGGTGTCTTGCGCGTGTTGATGTATCAGCATGCTACCGGACCCTGCAATCCAACCACCCCGGAAATAATGATGACATTATTACAATCCGGTATATTTATATACTACAAATCTATAATTGCAAGCTGCCCTAGTGGCTATTGCATGTGCCAAACCATTCAATGGCTAGTATTCAAAATTCTACGACCAAACCACCATTATCACTAACCAAATGGATCCAGGTTTAGATAGAATTTGGGATTCTCAACATTACATCACCATCAGGTTTTGCAGTATTCTAAACATTACACCGCCATAGGGATTCAAAAGATTCTAAACATTACAGCACAATAATGTACGTAATATATTATAATGATTATATACCATTATCATCCATTATCTACAATAATATACCATAATCTCACAGGTGTCAAACCCCCCCCTCCCCAGACCCCCCCCCTCAAATAAATAGTCTCCAGTGAGGGTTGGCCTGGTTGGGACCATAACACCGAAATATACAATGATTATCCTTATTTCCAAGAAGTAAACACATCAGAAAACATATCAGAATCCAAGCTAGATTCCACACCAAACCATAGGCACTATGAAGAGTTTATGGCGTTTACCAACGAAATAGACACAAGTTTCTCTGACCAACTGCTTTGGCAAAGCAATGGAAAGAATATGGTTTGACTTGAAAATAGAGGTAACGTTACAGGATCGTATCTAACTCAAAGAATGGTTCCAAACAAACCATATCATTCAAGTCTTCATTGAAGTCCCAAATAATTAATAAATTGTTGTCACTAAAGGCTTCTGGAGTTGCAGCAACCCATGCCAGTGTTTCAACGTGTGGGCACCAAGAAGCGCCAGTATTGGATCTGAGTAATTTCCACTGTGTGAAGATCTCTTTTTGGAGAGTTCTCTGCTCGCAAGTGTTTATAACCCGGACTATATGTGATTTAGTATTCTGGGTTTGTACTAACCTGGAAATAACCTGGAAATAAGGTGGACATAAGGTGGAAATAAGGTGAAAAACATGGAAAAACACAGGAAAAAGTGAGATTTTGGAAATAACCTGGAAATAACCTGGAAATAAGGTGAAAACCATGGAAAAACACAGGAAAACGTGAGATTTTGGAAACAACCTGGAAATAACCTGGAAATAACCTGGAAATAAGGTGGAAATAAGGTGGAAATAAGGTGGAAATAAGGTGGAAATAAGGTGAAAGCCATAAAAAAACACAGGAAAAAGTGAGATTTTGGAAACAACCTGGAAATAACCTGGAAATAACCTGGAAATAAGGTGGAAATAAGGTGGAAATAAGGTGAAAACCATGGAAAAACACAGGAAAAAGTGAGATTTTGAAAATATCCGCGAAATAACCTGGAAATAACTTGGAAATAAGGTGGAAATAGTGAAAACCATGGAAAAACACAGGAAAAAGTGAGATTTTGGAAATAACCTGGAAATAACTTGGAAATAACTTGGAAATAAGGTGGAAATAAGGTGAAAACCATGGAAAAACACAGGAAAAAGTGAGATTTTGGAAACAACCTGGAAATAACCTGGAAATAAGGTGGAAATAAGGTGGAAATAAGGTGAAAACCATGGAAAACACAGGAACAAGTGAGATTTTGAAAATATCCTGGAAATAACATGGAAATAACCTGGAAATCACCTGGAAATAACTTGGAAATAAGGTGGAAATAAGGTGGAAATAGTGAAAACCGTGGAAATAACCCGGAAATAACTTGGAAATAACCTGGAAATAACCTGGAAATAAGGTGGAAATAAGGTGGAAATAAGGTGGAAATAGTGAAAACCATGGAAAAACATAGGAAAAAGTGAGATTTTGGAAATAACCTGGAAATAACTTGGAAATAACCTGGAAATAAGGTGGAAATAAGGTGAAAACCATGGAAAAACACAGGAAAAAGTGAGATTTTGGAAACAACCTGGAAATAAGGTGGAAATAAGGTGAAAACCAAAGAAAACACAGAAACAAGTGAGATTTTGGAAATAACCTGGAAATAACTTGGAAATAACCTGGAAATAAGGTGGAAATAAGGTGAAAACCATGGAAAAACACAGGAAAAAGTGAGCTTTTGGAAATATCCCTCGAAATAACATGGAAATAACCTGGAATTAAGGTGGAAATAAGGTGAAAACCATGGAAAAATACAGGGAAAAATTAGATTTTGGAAATAACCCTGTAAGTAGTTTATTTTTTTTTAAAGCGAATGGAAAAGGACATGCAGGAATAGCAAGTGTCTAGATATATGTGGCAAACAACAGAGAATCTTATGTAGAATGAAGTCAGCAAAAAATATTCCGTTCAGGCTACAAGAGGTGATTGCTCAGTCGCTGTTGTGTTGGGATTGTTCATTAAAGATCACCCTTCTTAACAACTGGTTTAGATTTGTTGGTCAGTTCATTCAATGGCACTGATGGTGATATCCCACAAAAAAAATATCACAAGTGTTTTACTTTTCGTTGTGGAAGATTCGGACCGCATTCACGGCCAACAGCCCACAACATATAATATGCATGTTGCAAACAAAAATGGTAGATTCTGTTGATTTCTTGTTCCGTCCTGCCACCCTCTTCAAATGGGAAGGGAAACTAGTTCGCCATGCTGAGCCATTTCACTGACTAACGGTGTCAACATCAACATGATTGGGAAAGATGCAAACAGTATGACAACCTGAAATAAAACCTGCTGACTGAGCTGACAGCGTCAACATGATCTGATGGGAAAAGATATAAAGACTGTAGTCTGGAAATAACCCTTAATTAAGGGTTATTTCCAGGTTATTTCCAGGTTATTTTTATTTCCAGGTTATTTGCAGGTTATTTCCAGGTTATTTCCAGGTTATTTTCTTATTTCCATGTTATTTCAGGGTTATATATTTGGGGGGGGGTCTGGGGAGGGGGGGGTTTGTTTTTTATGATAATCATATTGGGTTTATAGCAACTGATTATGTAGCCATATTATAACCCATAGGATCCATGTATGCCATATATGGTAACATTTACCATTATTATACCCCCGATGTTAGCATATATATACCATACATGGATCCTATGGGTAATAAGCAGTTGGTATAATTCCACTATTTTGCCAACTTCACTCAGCCTGCTTTTTTGAGGCTGAGTAACTCCAGTAGCATCTCGGTGGCCAAGCTGCGCACATACCAGGAATCATCGCTCCTTAGGGAACATGGTAAATCACATTTTTTATATGTGAATATATATATATACATATATACATATATATATATATAGGTATGATATAGGTGAATCAATGTGAATCAATGTGAATCATCTATTTATAGATGATTTATAGATGATTGATAGGTGAAATCACCAGGTGAATCGAGGTTTTTATCATCGATTCACATCATCAATATGGACCATGTTCCATAGCTTGTTCCATAGCTTGTTCCATGTTCCAAAGCAATGAGTTCATCCTAGAGGATGGAAGCAGTTACATGCTGATATCATCTGATATCTCTGGTTGGTGGTGTATTGTGGTGTACCTACCCCTCTGAAAAATCATGGAGTGAACGTCAGTTGGGATTATTCCATTATGAAATTCCCAATATATGGGAAAAAATGTTCCAAACCACCAAGCAGATTTATTATATCATTGATATAACACAAAAATGGGCTCAGCACCTGTCAGATCCTTCCCCGATTTCGGTGTCAACGAGCTGATACGAGCTGTTTTGGCGCCGACATGCGCCGACCAGTTCTGCCTCACCACCCAAGGCTGGCCAGTGCCAGTGCCAGCACTTCCATTTCTAGTGAAACTATTGGCAGCCCTCAGGTGAAGCAGGCCATTTTGAAGTTTGACCTTGGAACATCTGCATTACATCATGGCGGAAAGAACTTGTCTGGGTGCTCCAAAAAACATGTTTAAGCAATGGTGGCAGAAAATAAGCATTTAGATCCACACACGCACACATACCGCAAAATTGAAGAGAATTTGTCGATCAAGCTGACTCGCCCGCAAGGCACCCTTGCCAGCATGCAAGAGGTACACGCCAGCACCCCACACAAATGCATAAGACTCATAAAAGGCCCATAAAAAAACGCCACAGGGCGGATCAAACATTGATGCGAGAAATGGCTTTCTCGGAGATGTTTGACCTTGCCAAATGCTTTAACATTCGAAAAAATTACTCCTTTTAATATGTTTTAATATTTCTATCGAAGGTTTCTGCGAAGATCTATTCTGTCGCACGTGCGTCTTTTTGGCTTCGGGAACTTTGAGCCTGGAGCTGGAACTGTCACGTGCTTTTGTGAATTCAGTGGGCAAAAACGCCCGGAACCGGGATGGAGGAACTTGGAATGGGCATGTGACAAGACGCGAATCCATCCACGACCCCAACATCTCTATCAGCCGCGTTCACGAGACAAGAATTGGCACGTTCAAGAGACAATGGCTGAGACAATGCTGGTAAATCTCAAGTATTGGGCCTGAACAATGAACAAGGTCCTGTCTCATTCCTCCGAAATCGAAACTCTTCTCTCTGTACTCTGTACTAGAAGACATTTATGTGGCTGCCTGTGGCTCGGTTTGCGTGTCAGCAGTCCCTTCTGAAATCCTGAAATTGGTCTGAATTCATCCAAGAAATGTCTTGGTCTTAGGGACTTCCCCCACCCTGCTACACCCAAACATGTATCAACTTAGATATATATAATGATATATATAGTATATGGTGTCTTCCACGCTTGAGCCACTGCTGATCTGCTCAGGATGAACTGCTGGGTCAGTATCCCAAACTATCCCAAACTGCTCACATAACCTGACATTCAAAGAGAAAATTCAAATTAGATTCAATAGATCTAGATTTGGTATCTAGATGTAGTCTTTCCAACACAAAGCGGCTTCTATGATTCTCCTAGAAATGCTTTGACTAGACTCTCGTCATAGAAGCTTCGTCGGAGAAGCTTCTATGATTATTCTCCTCGCAGCAGCATTCATCCGGCAAGCTGCCCTCCGTCTGATCTTGCGCATGGAAATGTAGGAAGAACATGTCTCATTCAGGTTGGATAGTCAAATTGTCAAACTAAATGTGTTAAACAAAATATATACATTGCATTGCGTTGCATTGCGTTGCATTCCCTTGTTCCTGCACTGTTTGACGTGTCCGTTTACATTTGCGTTTGCCATTTACATTACATTTACAATACATTGCTTGATATTGTTGGCTATTCACGCATGCTATAATATGCTATAATCATGATGAAAAAGTTGGGTTAAGGACCCAGATGCATTTCACGTCTATGAGCTATACAAATATTGAATGAGTATCCCCTTCTTTCAGGCACAAGATGCGGTCGGGTCGCGACTTGCTGCGATCCGACGGACAGATTCGGGCAGGAAGTCGTTCTGGACTCCATTCAGAGTCATCAGAGTCGAACTATGTGGCTCCATAAATGTCAGTTTAAACGGAACATCTTCCTGAAATGGATGATTTAGGATGATTTAGGGGTACCGTTTTTTAGGAAACCTTCACGCGGAACTTCGAGTATAAGAGAACTAAATGCTGACCTGACTGGGCTGTCATTGCGTTGATGATGTCGATGCCAATGCGCCCGAAGCGGCCGATGCGGCCGATGCGCCCGATGTGGCCAATCTGGCAGATGTGGATGAATGGATCCTTGTCAGATGCCTTCGGATCAGGTGTTTGGCATAGGAATCTTTGTGCGCTTCCTGCTGAAGCTCTTGGTGCACTTCGTAGAGACTCTGTGCGGCAAAATGTTGATTCAGCCGCTTCTTGATGCGAGCCTGTGCGTGGCCACGCCGCTGTTTCGCCTCAGGCACGGCAACCTGGTCTGCATGGATTGAATGTGAATATTCACATTCCTCCCCCTTGGCACAACCAGCTGTGTATGAATAGAAGAGGCAGGGATCAAGATCAAGACCAGCTGGAGCTTCCCTTGAAGGTCTGGAATGATGCACAGCTGTCTCAGCAATCTCCATGGCTGAAGACGGAGCTGACTTTTCCACTGAATCCTCAAAAGCCACAGCCTTCACCTCCTCGTCTCCAGATTGCCCTGACTGCCCTGACTGCCCTGACTGCACTGACTGGTTCGTTTCTTTGTTGGAGTCCCCGGAGGCATCCCGAAGACACTCATTCACATGTAGAACCCATCCTCTGAGATCACCAAGGTCCAGTGTTTCAATGGCAAAAAGTAAACACCCTACACAGCCTTGAAAGCCTGTGAAAAGAAAACGGCAATCTTTATGTTGGCGTGGAGATCGCAAGAAATTCAAATGTGATGGTGATGGTGATGATGATGATGATGATGATGCTTGTGCTGGTGGTGGTGGTGGTGGTGGTGGTGGTGCTGCTGCTGCTGCTGCTGGTGGTGGTGGTGGTGGTGGTGGTAATGAGCGGGCAAACAATTTGTTTTTGCGAGCCAACCAACCCTCAAGTGAAGCATTATCGCATCAAAATCCGACCACCCCAACCTCTGTCAGAAACAAATCCCAAGCATTCAAGGTTTCAAACAGTGAAAGACGAAGACAAGAGAGCGTAGAACACCCCACTCTGCTCCTGTCAAGGTTGAACTGCTCGACCCTGACGATGATTGGCTGCACCGTTCTGTAGGGCTTGTTCCGGACATGAAACTATTGCTCACCTGACACGGCTGTGGCAAGGCTTTTACCACCGGCCCGAGTAAACATAGATAAACAGTTGATAAACACAAATAAAATAGAATAATTAACCACAATAACATTCCTCTGGAAGCATGTCTGGGAGATTCTCTATGATTCTCTAACTCCCCTTGCGCCCAAAGAACGAACTCCCTTTTTGCAAAAGGGGAATTCTGTCCAACCTTTTCTGTTCCCTCGGGCCCTCGGGGGTTGCCCTTTCGACCAAAAGCGTGCTAAAAGCAGCCACGGCACATGTTTTGTGTTTCTGCCACCTCAAATGGCACACTACCTCACTACCTTCCACTGAGCCACAAAGTTTACGGGAGACACAACCTGCAAGATGTCCCATGCAAAGCTGATTCTGATACTTTGCGAAGCTACCATTAGTCAGTCATCACTCCGGTCATGTCACAACTCAAGTTATTGGAGCTCATCCTTGAGGCGAAAGTCCACCCCTAAAGTCAGTTGGTGTCAATTGTCCGCCACTTCAAGGATACACATCGGGAGCTCAGCTTCAGTGCAAATCAACTGGAAGTCACAACGTCCAACTGAACTTTCATCTGAACGAATTCGAAATTCTTTGCTGTCAAAGTCTGGCTAAAAATGCTACAGTATGCGTTTTAGCCTTTTTTTTCACACTTTTGCAGTTGCTCAAAAAACCTCCATTTTGATCATTTTGGATGCTACGGTATCATCTGCCGGTGGACCATGGTGGACCGACTTATGGCAAGCGGCAAGCGCATGGCTAAGCCCAAGTACTTTTGAGAAGAAATTGGACATCAAGTTGCCTCTCAAATAAACAAATATGTTTATTCAAATCTCATGAAATGGCACATAACCTGTTAACCTAAAATGTGTTAATTCTTCAGATATTTCATGATATCAACATATATCGGTAGATGATGATGGGTCTACGCTTTACATAATTATATGATTTTATATAATTACATGTTAGATTCTGACAATTTCACACATATCATGATATCCAATTTCATTGTTCATTTGTTACTTAACCATGCCATGTCACATGTCCCCCCCTTCAAGGGTGTCCGTAGAAGCGCTGCCACCGCCGCTTTGTAAATGATCTTTGATGCAGTGCTCTCAGACTGTCTAATGATCCAGGCTTTCAGCACTTGCAAGTGGCCACAGTAGGCGTGACCCTTGCACTCAAGTGCAGCTCGCTTACATGTCATCATGCGAGCATCCAATAAGCAATCAAAACATGTCCGAAACGTAGTTTTGATGTCTGCTTCCCCATCAGTTGCAGGACACCTATCTTGCTATTCCATGCTATTCCGGGAAAACATGACGCACACACAAATGACCAAAACATCCACACCACACATATGACCAGAAACCAACAAAGCATACTTGAAGGCTCTCAGGCTGTCTAATGATCCAAGCTTTCAGCACTTGCAGGTGGCAGCAATAGGCGTGACCCTTGCACTCAAGTGCAGCTCGCTTACGTGTCATCATGCGAGCAACCAATAAAAATCCAAGAACTGGCGTTGACGTCTACTTTCGTATCAGTTCTAGGGACCCTAGGACATGCCAACAAAGCCTACCAACTGCTACATTAAAGAACATGGGACACGAGAAGAATGATCAGAAACTGACAACGCACTCCATATCTGCGAATGCTCTCAGACGTTTAATGATCCAAGCTTTCAGCACTTGCAAGTGGCAGCAATAGGCGTGACACTTGCACTCAAGTGCAGCTCGCTTACATGTCATCATGCGAGCATCCAATAAGCAATCAAAACACGTCCGACACGTAGTTTTGATGTCTGCTTCCCCATCAGCTGTAGGACACCTATCTTGCTATTCTGGGAAAACATGACGCAAACACAAATGACCAAAACATCCACACCACACATATGACCAGAAACCAACAAAGCATCCTTGAAGGCTCTCAGGCTGTCTAATGATCCAAGCTTTCAGCACTTGCTCGCTTACGTGTCATCCTTGGAGGACCAAATCATGCTCCAAACATCTCCAAGCCCCTTCTTGAGAATTGGACTATGGACCTATGGACCTATGGACTGACTGTAAATGTCAAAGTGCTAGTCGCTATACCACCTTTTTACGAGTGGGCTCTTGCAGCTTCGGTGATTTTGAATTTCCCCACTTCCCCCCTGCCAACATCGTCCAACTGCGCACTTTTTTTAATCTCCAGCTGATTGTCATCAGATTTCAAGTAGATGTCAAGCAAATCTGCAGATTTTAAGAGATTTCAATCTGATCAAGCAGTTGGCAGAGAGCCAGTTTTGAGTTTTCCTCCCATTGCCGCCACCTGTGCCCCGCTATCATCTCGTTTGATGTTCTTCACCAACTCCTCAGCACAGGCCACTGCTCCGCTGGAGCTGTTGGTTAAGGAGGGTAGTGGCTTGGTGGCCACCAAACCAGCTGCCACTCCACCAGCAATGGCACCAGGACTTAGCAAGGTACACATCTCGGAGTTCTCTTGGAAATTCTTCATGCTGTCCAAAATGCTGGCGAACTGAGCACGGACCTTTCCTTGAGCTGATACACGACCTCCAATTAGTGTCAAAGACATCTTCACCACCTGGGATTTTGGAACCCTTTAAATTGTCAAGCCCAACCCATACATCTTATTGTTTTCCCACCTGCAACCCATTGTCTATGAACATGCCGAACATGTATGAACATGTGAGATAATTTTATCTTCAAATCCTTTGTTCTTCCATAGCCAAAGAATGAAACCCACCCAACTGTTCCATCTATTTCCATCCTGTTCCACATAATTACTGGTTGGTGGTTGAGCCACCCCTCTGAAAAATATGAGTTCGTCAGTTGGCATTATGAAATTCCCATATGGAAAGTCATTCAAAATTCCATGGTTCCAGTCACCACCGACAACCAGTAATTATCTTTCCACATTTCTTTTCCCATATATTTGTCCACCATTTTTCCACCATTTTTCCACCGTTTTCCACCACGGTTTTCCCCACCTTTCCAGGCGCCAGCGCGTGGATCTCCCGCGTCATCTCCTCCAAGGCCTGCGCCACCGCCGTGTCCGAGTCCGCGTGCGCCAGCGCCACCAGGGAGCCGTTGGCTCCGGCGCCGGTGTCGCTGGTGGCCTCGATGGCTAGGCCGATGCAGGGCCCGAGGCCCACGGTGTAGAGGACACCGGTGCGACCGGTGCTGTTGGGCAGCCAAAGGATGCGATAGGTCCTGAAAACCATGGGAAAACCATGGGAAAACCATGGGAAAACCATGGGAAAACCATGGGAAAACCATGGGAAAACCATGGGAAAACCATGGGAAAACCATGGGAAAACCATGGGAAAACCACGGGAAAACCATGGGAAAACCACGGGAAAACCATGGGAAAACCATGGGAAAACCATGGGAAAACCATGGGAAAACCACGGGAAAACCATGGGAAAACCATGGGAAAACCATGGGAAAACCATGGGAAAACCATGGGAAAACCATGGGAAAACCATGGGAAAACCATGGGAAAACCATGGGAAAACCAAGGGAAAACCATTGGCGAAGGAAAAATCATAACTTGATGTGGCCACCTAGATGGGATAGATGATGGGTGGCCGGTTTTTTCTGGCAACAATCATCCATTCTGAGATGGGACTAATTCCTAGTGATATATGGTATATGGTAAAATACTGGCCGAAAGGGGAAGCACATGGAAGAAAAGACTAGTTGTGTTGTTGAGGCAAGCATGTGTTACGTGGCATGAAGACATCAAACCACAAGGAAGGGCAATAAGACACCGGGAAAATGAACTAGCGATGTTGAAGTAACTACCTCATGTAGATACGTCACTACAAAAAATAGAGCGAACATATCATAACATATCTGAACATCTGCTTCAATCCATTTTAATCCAGTGTCCCTTGTGCCACTGACAGCACGGCATAGTCATCTGTTGTCCAGGGCGTCAAGATTTGTCGGCGAAGCTTCTGCATCAGCACCTTGCTGTAGCGTCGAATCTTTCGGAAGTCGCTGGTGGGTGCGGGTTTCAGCGTCTTGTAGCTGGCCACCACATCACCTCTGGTTCCGGTTTGGCTGGATCCATATCCACTTGGGAGTAGATGTAAGGCAATGTAAGGATGTAATGGATGTAAATCAATTTTATCTGAAGCCACCAGCAGTGTGAAAAATATGCGTATTATATGCTATGCCTGCCATCCTCCAAAAAAATCGATAGACTATGATAGACTTGCAATCTCGCGCCAGTTCCATCGGTCAAATTGATTGTGCCAATCCGGCAAGCGCCTGGTCTTCAAAAGTTATTTGATCGTCATTTGATTCCAATGATCATTAGGGCTAGGGGAACAAGATGAAAACCTGTTCTTTCAAAAGCCAAAGGACCCAGGGTGATCGGGGTACTCATTCAGTGCTACATACACCCCGACAAATCGATGGAAGCCTTTTCTATCAAACAATTACCACACACTTTATCAAACACTATTCAAAGAACTCAAACCTCGGATTTACCATAGTTTTCCTCACCCAGTGAAATTTGATGGTACAGTGGTACAGTATGGTACAGTGGTATACAGTGGTATACAGTGGTATACAGTGGTATACAGTGGTGCAGTACCCAGGCCCCACTGAACCAGCTTTTGGCAAGGCACTGGCATGCTTTCCGCCCTTGGCTTTCCAAGTCTCAATCAACGGCTGCCAATCCGGAAGTTCTCGAGCAAAGAGCTCAGACTGAGGTCTCAAGGCTTCAGCAATTGATAGGAATGATGATAGGAGGCATATGAAGAGGTACATCATGGATTTCAAAGACAGCTGGTGAAGTCCAGATTTGTTTGGCCAATCTCTGACTTGAGCCAACATTTTTGGCGCAAAGTCTAAATGTCAAAGCAATCATTCCAAGGAAATGGGGCCGAAACCCTTGGAATTCCCTTCTCATAGGCGGTAAGAATGGCAGATAGAATTCCTGTGCTTGATGTCACCAGAGAGCGATCAGAAAGGAACGTCCTCTTCAAGCCATCAACTTCAGATTTCTCCTGAGGTACCTAGATTGACCAAGAGAAACCTTCGGGAATCTCATTCGTTAGGAGTGGACTCAATGGACACTGGATGGCACCCACCTTTCTTCAGCTTTCGCCAGATGTTTGGGCCCCGGGCGTTGTTCAAAGGTTTGCCCCGGATAGGCCCTGGTGCCAACGGCATCCAGACCAAGCCGACCAAGTCACCAAAATGGGACAAATCCTTCACATTTCAATACCTTTCAATACCTTTCAACACCTCCCTCCGGGATCATCTCAAACTTGAAACACAGAGTGCAATCGGTGAACGATGTTTGCACACTAAAAATCCTTGCTTACCATGAATCATGGAGAATATGGAGAGGGAACTGCACAAGGCTGGACCCTACCAGTCATGGGCCCAGTAACAATTATTTACTCAACCTACTCTCCGCGACTCTGCCCTTTCACCCCAAAGAGCGCTTGTTCGGCATCTTTTCGCCCTCACCGTCAGTCATCCACAACTGCAGATTGTTGTCGAAACGCAGCTGCTGATTTTGGATCTGCAAAGTGAGTTGCCCTTCAAAACCTTGGAAAACTGGTTTGAAGGGCCCAAGAAAAAGGTACCAGCAGTGTTTCCTAAATGGTGGACTACCTGACTACATGGGAAAATCACATGAAATCATATAAGAATTCCATCAACAATCCAGCAACAAACATGGAAACATCGAATCATAAAAGTGCCTCCCCCAAAAACGCGGCCGAAATCCAGGAAACTCATCTGCAAAGCATCATCCAACTGCAGCAGCGACGGTTCGCAGAGATCCTTCAGGGAAGCTCTGCAAAGACATCGTCGCTCAGCCAGGTCAAGCACCTTCGCCTGACCGTCGAGGCTCAACAGCAGCAGAAAAGCGTGTTGCAAACGCATCTGCAGCAACGGTTCCTCCAAGAGCAAGGGAGGAAAGATGGGATAACCACCACCTGCCAGGGCAAACATGCTTGAAAACATGCTGAAAACACTTGAAAACTCATGATCTGTCTCAGATCCTTTAGGGAATTGAATGGGTCTCCGAGGGATTGTTTTGATCTTCCAAACCCCACCAGCATCAAGTGATCGATTTGTTTGAAGATTGGTTGAATGAATAAACTATCTTACATCATTCATCCCGATCCAAACTGTCCAAACCGATCCATCTACGGTAGGTTCATAAGTGTAATGGCTGTAATGGGATTGTAACAGGTAAGGTGCCTCCACAAACATCATGAAGCCCAAAAAAAACACCCAACAGCCGACAAATTGCTCCACCTGAGCTGAAGACATAGACCTTCCGGCGACTGGCAAAGGCCACAAAGCCCTGCCCCAGCGCTGTCTTTTCCAGCTGTCCCGGAAATCGTCTCACCCAAAGGTGATCGCTGGGCCACCGGAAGGCATGCACCCAACATCTACGAGGTGATTGGTGCAGGGTAAAGTAGACCCCTGAGTCATTGTCCACCAAATAAGGAAGGTTGGGTTGGTTGGGTCGGTTGGGTCGGTTGGGCTGGGGATTTCCAGAAGATTCCTGGAAAGAGACGTCCATCTCATCCATCTCATCACTTTCAGAACTTCCACAGGAACTCTCAGATTCGGATTTCTCGCTGTCAGTGCCATTTGGTTCCTGTGGAAGCTCAATCTCGTCCTCTTGAGGACTCCGAAGTCGTTCAATTGGTTCCACTTTCTCCTCATTGATTTCCAGTTGAAGTTCTCCAACTTCTCCTTGAGGTTGGCTGAGTTCAGCTTCTTGTTCCTCTTTCGGAGTTTCAACTTTTGGAGTCTCAACTGGAGCTTCAACCAGATCTTTCGCCTGGTGGTTGAAGAATTGCACAAAACCAGCTTCTTGAGATGGGTAAGTACAACAAACAACCACGTTTCATCACTTTTTATGGCTTGACATTGTTTTTCTAGGTCAAGAGATTGGTGACTTCCTCTTACCTCCCTGCTTTACAAATCTTAAATCCACAGAAATCCATCATTTTGGATGGTTCTGCCCATTTTTCCCACCATTCCAGGCCTTTTCCAGCTCCGTTTCCGGTGCCCTTTCTGCCACCTTTTCGTGGCCCTTGGCCAAGGCCCGCGCAGGGCGTTTCAGGCCGCGCCCACGGCCCCGAGCACGGGGTGCTGCGTCGCTCTTGGTACGGGCCATGGCGAATGGCGATTTCAAGGAAGCCGCATGGAAGCTGGAATTATCCCATTTTGTATTTTGAGATCAATGGAATTTCATTTCAATATTCGATGAAATGAGCACAATAGATTTTGGAAGAATTGAAAATAGTTTCTGGGAGCCATCCATGGCACCGCAATATTTCGCGAAAAACTTGAAGGTCAGGTGAATGGACTTTACGTTTTGTGGGACGGTTGCGTGGTCTATGGAAGTGGCTTGCAGGTCAAGTTTGTTTTCATTCATGAGATCATATCATATCATATCTCACGAGTGATGTGGATGTTCAACTTCCAGGGTTTCTAGCTTGGCTGGCCAAAGATGCCAAAGGGGGTACGGGGTGCGGGATTTGTAGTTTGGCAACTTGCATCAAAGCTCATGTTTTCACAGCACCCATGCTGCCAACACAGCCCAAAACTTAAGAACAGCCCCAGATCATCACAGGGCACTGTGAAATATTGTGAAATATTGTGCAAAAGCCAAAGCGGACTCCTGCGATCCGTTTTGAGCCAGATCCAGATCGACCAGATCGAGAACAGCTTCATCCAACCCATCCAGGAAACCGGCTGCTACCCTGCTGCAGCCCCCACCTGGGGGAAGATCCGGAGATTCCAGCGGCGCACCGGGCAACGCGTGGTGCTGCCATAACTCTGCCGATGGGTTTGCGAATGTGTTGGCAAGTGTTTTGCCATGTTGTGCCACAGAGTGCCACATGGCTGCAGGATCCAAATTGAAAAGAATCGAATTTGTTGTTGTTGTGTAATTCTCCAGAAGGATCTTGTTGTATTCAGTTATCATTTTCCCTACTAAAGTTAGGACCTAACACCATCTTGTTGGGCTACCCAGTTGCAGCGCCCACAGGAAACGCAGCTACAGCCGAATGCCAGTTGGATCACCCGTTCGCAGTCGAATAGCAATGGCTGGCGAACATGCACGGCTCAGATGTTCCCAACGAAATGATGTGATTCTCGAAATATCTCGAAATTCTCTTCAGTTTCCCATGCAAAAGTCATGGTGGCATAGTGTTCATCTCCTTATTTTTCTTGCACCCGTCACTTCATGTCACTTCATGTCACTTCCCACCGTTCTCTCCGCTCATCTCCAGTGCAAAGCTGAGCTCCGCGGCAGTAGCAACGCCAACTCCCGGGAGTAGGGTTCCACCTCGATGGACCAAGATGGACCCGGCAAGCAACACGAACCAACATTCGCTAAGGCACTGCGTCCAATCCCAAGGCCCTCAGGGCCTTCAGGGCTCCCCAGCCTCAATGGATTGCCAAGGATTTTGGGCAGAAAACATGGTTTTTCTTGGGTGTTCATACCTTTTTTCCATGGTTTTCCATCCTTTTCCTGTGAAATCGAATGGTCGAGGATTGGACCAATTCTGGGAATGTGGTTTTATATATGGTTTTATGGCCAATTGCCAGCCTGGCTCCAGCACCCATCAAATGGGGTTATAACTTTATAAGCAACATCAATCCAGTTTATCCGGTAACTCCTTTGTACCTGGACATACCTGGACTAATCATATAATATAACTAATACAGTAATATTTGTTAATATAACCCAATATTAACTCAGGGTTAACCCATGATATCAGATATAATTGGGTTAACTAATTTGTATATTAACCGAATATTGACCCATGATATCTCCGCTATGTTTGGTGCTCCCAGGTGCAACCGTTGTAACCGTTGGCAGATCAGCACCAGGGATCCCAGGGATCCCACGCGCCGAGACATCTTCACTGCTAAGACCCGCGGCCAGCTGCTCGGCAAAGTCGGATGGGGCCTGGTAATGGCAACTCTCTGGTAAAACAAAACCGAACTATGGCCAGTTATAGTTGATTTATAGTTGATTTACCTATCAAGAATGATGTTTTTAAAATTTTCCATAGCTATATTTAGCTATCTTAGTTTGCCAGATGGGATAAACCATGATATATCCCTATCAAAATCTGATATACCCTCCGGTGTCATCAAGCGTGGCTGGAAAATCCGTTCTTGGGGGGATTCAACATTTGCCACTTTTGATGGAGGGCACATGCGAAAGTATCGTTTTTAGTAGTACCCACCATGGGGAAACTAGGAGTTGATTGGGATTAGCGATGATTATCGTAACCTCATTTATGAATAATTAGTGAATAATCTGTGGGAAGGCCGATCGTTGTGAAGGACAGCTTTTACGCATCTGGTGAAGCTGAACCAACCATGGCCAGTGACCGCCCTTCTGTGACAAGCCATGTGCCGGCTAACCCGGTGCCTGAAACTCTTAATACAGCAAATCCTTGAGTTGGCTCCAGGTGATCCCATACCTAAGATTATCAAGATTTATGCCTAACATATATAGTCTGATCAAAAATTTACATAATTATATAGATGCGAGTCTTGACCACTTTACTCTCTTGCAGCTATCTATGCAGTTGAAACAAAGCCCCATAGATTCTAGGAGTTCCCCTGCAATGCACCGATTCACGCGCCGCATTTATACATATATTATAAAACCTATAGGTAATTTAGATATCTAACTATATCATTATCATAATAACTGTCGATTAATTTTAAGATTAATATATTGATCATTGTCGTTTAGATGTCATTTAACTCTAATAATAATATTGATAATCTAAATGAATGATAATTATCCATCTGGAACTCTAGGTATAGATACTATTTAATATGCTACACATTGAAGGTTAGCCGTTAGCCCGTTAGCCGGAGGCCTCCGCCCTGTTTTCCAGCTGCAATTCGAGACAGCTATGATGATCAACGACATCAAGGCACTTCAAGAGCTGCTGATGTCGAGCAGCTTCGTGAAATGCCTCGGAAGCGGATTCCATGATGTTAACATTGCCATGAAGGCCATCAGATGGCAAATTCTCAAGGAAGACCTGCACCAGTTGCCACTTTCCAGCGCGGAAAGCGACATTTATGGCCAGGGCATATGTGATCTCATCAGCTTTCAGGTGGCCACAATCCACTGATTGGGAGGATTGGGAGGATTTTTTGTAGGTCCCAATGGTCCTGATTTCATGAAACAACTGCAAGGCCCTTCTCCAAAGTGTCCAGGTATAAACGCTCAAGGTGGAGTTGTATGAAATGAGATCAGCTTCCTGCTGCAATTCCCTCAGTAAAAGTTCAGCATGCTGCCACTGGCCACATCTGGCACAGGAACCAATTGCTGCATTGTAGGTAATGGGATTTGCCGCTACCCTCAGCTGTGCCATGTCTCGGAGGAGTGACAAAGCATGTTGCCATTGGCCACTCTTCTCGCACGCGCTGATGGCGGAACTGAAGGAAATCACATTGGGAGGAAGTTTGGCTCCTTGGATCCCTTGTGTCACATTGTGTCACCCCAAAACCGAAAACATCAACACTGGAGCCGTATTTGCAACGTGAAGCTTCCCCCAGAAAGGTGTTGAGATGTGTTGAGGTTACCAGAATCGCCATCAATCGCCTTAACAAAGTCACAAGTTCTTTTGGTATGCTTGGAGTCACGCACGCAGTCGCACGCATCAAGGATCATGAGTGATCATCAGGGATCACCTTATATAACCTTAAAACTCCCCAACCACATCTCCCAAATTCATCCAAATTCTTGCAACCCGTTTTTTCCATTCCCAAGTCTCTCAGCATCTTGGCCAACAGTCCCAGTGCCAGGCTCCATAGACCGCTCTCCCGGCAGGCACCCAACGTGGCGTTGTACGCCACCAGCGCCTCGTCGACGGCATCTGCCGCCACCCTGGAGGCCCTGGCCTCGTGGAGGAGATGGGTGGCCCGCAGCCAGGCGGCCGAGCGTTCGCAGCGGGTCAGGAGGGCGTTGTAGGAGGTGGCGCTGGCGCTGGCCATGGCACCTGGAAGCCACTGGGGTCTGAGTCTACTCCACTTGGAACAAATTTTTGCTGACTCAAATTTGATTCACCACATTTTTTGATGAACCATCATGGATATCCAAATAACACGGAGTTCATCAATTTCCCCCCACCTTCAGCCACCAAATCTTGTTGCATTTCCCGTAGCAAAGTCTCCGCCGTGCGCCAGTCGCATCCTTTCATGGCTGCGTTGTACGCCGCGGCGTCCAGCCGCAGCGCGCGCTTCCGCAGCGCCCGCAGCAGAGACAGCACGTCGTCGCGGCCACGAAGCTCCAAGGCGTTCAGGATGGCACTCGAGGTGATGAGATCCACCTGGATTGCTGGACGTCCATGGATTTTCCGAGGTAATACCATGACAATATCATTAATTATATATTGATTTTTATCATAATTGATTATATAAATATAATATTAACTACATAGTATATTTTATATCGAAAATCTATCTGAGGCTATCTGGATAGCTAGCCATCCACCTGTTGATCTAATGATCTATATCGGACAAGGCGTGCGAGTCGTTGCCGTTTTTGTCTTCCCTCCTACCTCCAACCTCTCGTCGTCCAAGGTGCCGAACAAGCCGAGGGCCTGGAATTCAGGGCCCAAATTGGTATGTCAAATTGGTAGCTGCTGGATGTGACTGGATTGTGAAGCATTTTGAGCCAACCGATGATAAACATTGATTCAAACTGAATATAAACTGATATGAGTGATCTAACTTAACAACTGGAGGTGAAATACAAAATCACTGGGCCAAAGTTGAAGCCAGGTTGCCCTCTGCCACTGGAGAGCTTTGGCGCAAGCACTTGCCAGCGATCCATAGGTTTTGATGGATGCTCTCCCCGACAAGTCCTTGAAATCCCGCAAGAGATGGAAAGCTGCTGGCCATGTTTTGTCACATGAGTTGATGGCCAAATTGTAGAGGATGGTGTAGTTTTCACTCTCAGCTTGCAGAAGCCTCAGCCTCTTCACTTCCTGTAGGAAAAAGATGGCCGATGGCCAAGCCCCACTGGCAGCACAAGCATTCACGGCTGAATTGAGACAGATGTAATCCGGCTCCACCTGATGTCTCAGAAGTTCTGACCATAAAAACAAGGCGGATTTTGAAGCACTGCCACGCAAGGAACAGGAGATCAAGGATGAAAATGTGAGGAGATCTGGTTGCAACTCATCCCCCTGCAACTGCTTCAATATGCACAAGGCATCTTGCCACTGTCCCTCCAGAACGCTAAGGGCCTTGTTGTAAACGATGATGTTGCGGAGCACTTCTTGTTGGTGCATCTCCTGTGGCCCTATCTATTGTGGAAGCATCCCAAAAACTAGCTAGACACTTGACACTTGCCTCATCTATTCCGAAACATGCAACCAGCAATTGGTTTCTAGATTCCGAACCTCCTCAGCCCCCAACCATCATTTCCAAACACATTGGCATGTCTGAAATCGAGGGATACCTTCAAAATAGCAATTGTTCTCCTTTTTCCACCTCTCTTCAAGGAGTAGTCACGGACATATCCATATTATCACATATTATCCATGTTACGTATAGCCCATTCTTCTGCTACCCCACTACCATCACCACATCTTTCGGTCCTCCAGCAACATCTTTGCCCGTTGCCATCCTCGCCCCATTCGCAATGCCCGCAAGGCCGCGCCGTAGAGGGCCCCATGGCTTCGTAGCCGACGCCACTGCAGCTGCCCCAGCCGATGCAGAGCCTCTGGCCAGGTGCCATGGAGCTCCGTTGCCATGGCCAGATGCTGAGCCAATACCAATGGCAGCGGCAGGGGTTGAGATGGGTTGAGATGGGCTGAGATGAAAACATGCCCTTTGTCTTCGGCAAAGGGAAATACAGAAAATTGGTTCTGGAAATGGTTTCACATGGTTTCAGCAAAAAAATGGGATCCCTTTTGGAAAATGCTCCCGTTTCGGCAAATGGTTTCAAATGGTTGTCAAAATGCCCTTTTTGAAAATGCTGCATATCCCAGCAGTCACAGGTTCCACAGGTTCCCCAGGTTCCAAGGTGATCACCAGTTGCCCGCTTAAGGCTTGGAGGACGTTGACGGCAGCTGCTTGGACATACGCCACCTGACCCATGGGAATCTTGAACCATGAACCATCCAACTTCGACTTCGAACAAACTGAGATATCTTCTTCCCTAGCGGACAGTGAAAAACCAAAGGCCAGAGGGCCAGGGGGCTGATTGAATCCAATTTTTGCTTCAAACTTCATCCCCTCCGTTTCTACTTCATGTCATTCATGTCTAAAGTTCAGCTGAGAAATGCTGGCACCTTGTCGTTGACGGCTGTGCTCATCAAGCGCTTTCCGTAGGGAAGGCTGGCCTGGTCGAAAACAGTCACCGTTTCTTGGTGGTTCTCTCCATAAAGACATGGAGAAATGACCTGAGAATATCTGTTTTTGGCATTTACCCATCATCAGATAATCAGATAATCATCAGATAATCATCAAATAATCATCAAATAATCATGATGATTATTAATAATGATTCAGAAATTCAGAACCACCCCTGAAAGCCACACTTTTCCACACCTCCTCCGCATTCAGCAAGGTCCAGGCGGCGAGCTCACGAACATCCTCGTCCGCGTCCTGTGATCAACGGATACTTTGGACCTACGATTTATGGCTACCGAAGATAGCTCAGTCGACTGTAACTGGGTTAAGATGTTGGAACTATGCCATGAACATCCCAGATCCCATGAACTAGGGTTATCCTAGGGTTATCCTTGGTCATCAGTATAGTATAACTGTATAATTTTCCTGGAAGATGCCATTTTTACTGCTATAGGGCCTGGTGGGGATCATCACAAACACTGGAGGCTTGATTGCACAACCTGTTGCAAATTCCAAACCCACACAAATTATGTCTGTATGTCTGTCTGCATGTATGTCTGTCTGTATGTCTGCCTGTCTGTCTGTCTGTATGCATGCATGCATGCATGTATGTATGTATGTATGTATCTCTGTTTGTATCTTTGTATGTATATCTGTATGTATCTCTGTATGTATCTTTGTATGTATCTTTGTATGTATCTTTGTATGTATCTCTGTATGTATCTTTGTATGTATTACATATCTTTGTATGTATTTTTGCATCTATCTTTGTATGTATCTTTGTATGTGTCTTTGTATGTATCTTCGTATCTATCTTTGTATCTATCATTGTATCTATCTATCATTGCATCTATCTTTGTATCTATCTTTGTATCTATCTTTGTATCTATCTTTGTATCTATCTTTGTATCTATCTTTGTATCTATCTTTGTATCTATCTTTGTATCTCTGTCTCTCTCTCTCTCTCTGTCTCTCTCTCACTCTCTCTCTCTCTCTGTCTCTCTCTCTGTCTCCCTCTCTGTCTCCCTCTCTGTCTCTCTGTCTGTCTGTCTCTCTCTCTCTCTCTGTCTGTCTGTCTCTCTCTCTCTCTCTGTCTGTCTGTCTCTCTCTCTGTCTGTCTCTGTCTCTCTCTCTGTCTGTCTCTGTCTCTCTCTCTGTCTGTCTCTGCCTCTCTCTCTGTCTGTCTGTCTCTCTCTCTCTCTCTCTGTCTGTCTGTCTCTCTCTCTGTCTGTCTCTGTCTCTCTCTCTGTCTGTCTCTGTCTCTCTCTCTCTGTCTGTCTCTCTGTCTGTCTGTCTCTCTGTCTGTCTGTCTCTCTGTCTGTCTCTCTGTCTGTCTGTCTCTCTGTCTGTCTGTCTCTCTGTCTGTCTGTCTGTCTGTATGTCTGTATGTCTGTATGTCGGTATATCTGTCTATCTGTCTGTCTGTCTGTCTGTCTGTCTGTATGTGTTTATGTATGTACGTATGTACGTACGTATGTATGTACAGTCCGGATTTTGACTATCGCCAATATAGTGTGGATACTGACAATAGTTTACCAAGAATAAACCACCCCAAAATTGACAAAAATATATGGGTATTCATAGTGATTCATAGTGATTCATAGTGATTCATATCATCCCAATCAGCGGTCCAGCAATGCGCTGCTGACAGTCGTGGCGTACTTCTGATCCAAGGTACCTCTCCGGTTGCCATGAAAAAAATCGGTGATATCCTGTGGATTTCATATCTATAGGTAGATAGAAATTTGATGTATCCATCAGATAGATATGAAATAGATGGATATTTAATCAGATCTGATGGAAATTTAATCTCAAAGTTGATCTGATGTATCTGATGGGAAGATCCCTTGCAAACCCTGGAACTTTTCTAGCAAAACAAGAGCCTTTCGCTGCGCATCCGGAAAAAGCTTGTCAGTATTGGTCAGTAGAAATGTCAAGAATTAGAAATGCTGGCTTTGAAATGGGGTTCGCCATGGGCAAACCCCAGTAAACCCCACTTTCGCTGGTGAAAGCACAATTTCGGTTCTGGACCTTGAGTGTGCAAAGCTCCGACAGCTGCTAACCTCAAAGGGCCGACACAACTGGAAACAGTCGTCTCTGGGCCCGACGGATCGAGAACTGGATGATCCACGGATCTTTTTGGCAACTGGGAAGCACAAGTACCAGCAAAAATCGTCAATCCTCTCCCCCAAAAAAAAACTAGACTAACTCAGACTAACTGGAACCTTTGCGAAAAACCATCTTAATCTATCATGTGGTTGGGAACCTCTAAGTAGCTCCTTGGATCCCCATTTGATATCATACCAACAGCCCCTCCAAACCGCTGATAGAAACTGAGAGCCAGGCTTGGCTGAAGGATCCAGGTCACGACCTGAAGCGAGTCAAGAAAATTCCCAAAATGTTCAAGGCATTTGGGAATTACCATGAGGATGAATTACCCTCCAGTGTCGATTACAACGTGGCTGGAAAATTCCTGCCACGGTTGCTGGCGCCAGAGGGTAATCCAATTTTTGGGGGATATTATCTGGGAGCTTTTTGTGGAGTTATGGATGATTCCAATTTTTGGAGCCAAAACGTCAAAAAGGACATCAACTGCCAACCCTAATTTGGTCTGGTGGGATGGGGCTCTTGCAGTTGGCACTGTCGATATCTCAATATAAATCATCACTGCTTGGTCTCTCTTCTTGGATAAAATCCACTTGAAACCAACAGCCATGCCGTCCGTAACATCACACAGGTCTCCAACCGGATCTTCCAAACGCTGCCAGCGCTTCATCCTTTTCCCAAATCTCCCAATAGGGACAGTGGCGGAAAATCGCCACGGCCACCGAGTGCGATGGCGGAAAGCACCATTTTTGGATGAGGATGAACCACAACAATGACACATAATGACGCAAAACATGGTGCAATAAACATCAATGAAGCAGTTCCAGGCTTCCAGGTGGCAGTTGGGTGTCAATGGATACAATGAATGGTTGTTTCATGCCAAGAACGTGGATAATTTTTCGCATATGACCACATTGTGACCTGAAATGAGATTCAATCACCAGCCAAGCAACTTCTTCACCCTCTGTTTGGACAGTCGTGCCCTCAAATGCCAATTGATGTGCATGGAGGCCGCACGTTTTCTCAGCGGAGCCATTCTGGAGCGACTTCATCCAACTTCAGGCATCGAAATCTGCACACCACATCCATAGACGAGTCACATATGTTCCCACCAGTGAGTCCAACTCAATTTACATGCCATTAAAACCTTGGATTCCATGTCCTTTTACGGCTACTGTGTCAGAGATGTCGCGCCCAGAGCAATGGACAAACGGCCGGAGGTGTCTAAGACAGCTCCACAGCCGAAAATTCCTTCGCAAGATTCCTGCAAGATCGAACGGAATCCAGCTCCAATACCATCGCTACACATCAGTACAGGAATCCCGAAATAGATCTTAAGAAGAAAACTGGGAACCTTGAAATTGTGAGACTTAATTCATCTATATAACATTATATAACATTCTGGAAAACTGCTCTTATATCTGTTGCAGTTTCCATTTTGTTCCCTACGAGTTGATGAAATTAATTGGTGAGCATAAAATGCATATGCATGCTTCACATGCTTCAGAGAAAATGGTCAGCTGAACCGGCTTTTTCCACAACGAACAACCATAAGAATCATGGTAACCCAAACATTTCTGGAAGCACTCACAAAGTCTCCAAACTTAGCGTCCCATCACCCATCCCACCACATTCACATTCGTTTTGGGATGGGAGAACATGACATGTGCATCTCTTATAATCCATTCCAAAAAATATATCGCCAGCTGTGGGATTGTTATGGATTGTGCCACCAGCTGATCAGCGAACTTTTCAGTTAACCCCTGGCACCTGATCAACCCAAAGATCTCAAAGCAGGCTTCCAGCTTCGGAACTCTTGCAGCACTGCAGGACCTGATGGGTAGACGTAGATGGAAAAAACATGAGACAAACCCATCCGAGGTAGAAAACTACCCCAAAGAATGTCACGAGAGAGATGGTTCGTGGTGCTGTTGAATTTCTTGTCAATTTTTGTTGTGTCTTGACATTTGACTAAGTAATTGCTTTGTTACTACTTGACGAGTTCTCTCATGTTGTCACGCACATGATGCGCTTGACGGCACCACTGAGACCCTAACAGAAGTCCTTCAGGGTTTGTTGGATTTCTTCGATGGCATAGGTCAGGTGTCGCACCTCACGGCCGTGACTTGGCTGCTGAAGCAATTGGATACATTAATCATTAACGCCATGGAATCATTTGAAAAAAATACCCTGAAACCATCCACTGACCTGAAAATATATGACATATATCATATTACCAGCACGAACCATGCGTCAGTCTCAGACACACAGTGTTACACACTTGCTTGCTGGTCTTTTGCTGATCACATCTGCCATCAACCCAAGAGGTTGATTCAAAATGGTATCCAAAATGCCCAAAATTCAGCTCTTAATGAAAGAAATTGGTGTTTATAAATGCTTTAAATCATGCGTTTTTTTAGGTTCCATTCTTTTCGAGATGGGATGTCGCCTGCCTTGAGCATGATCGCCACAATGTCGCCTTTCCTTGGTCGTTGTCAAACGGCCAGCCCGTTTCCTCCAAGCATTCACCAATTTCGGGCTTCATCGTCAGCTGGATAGGCTGGATAGGTCATAGTTATCATAGTTACCATAGTCACCATAGTTGAAACATGTTCGTTGAGACATGTCGAAACAGGTTGAAACATCTTGAAATCACCCACACAACGCCAAGTCGAAACCTCGAAACCAAGCTTCGATACATCTCCGCGCAGCCTCGGTACCCAAACATCCGGCATAGGAGGAGAAACAAAAGGGAATCTGTCAGTTATCAACCCCATGAAAGTTGGGAAAAGTTGGGAAAAGTTGGGAATCTCCCAGTTTCTGCCCAGGAGACATGTTTTTCCGTGAGTCCCTAGTGGCGCTGTACTATGATTTCTTCGCTTGTTTACTTATATCTCATCCATCGATCCAAAATCCTCTGACAGTTTGATGTTGAAAACATGTGAACACCATATCGCGAAGAGCCCACTAATGTTGGATAGTACTGGATAGCGACTGGAGATTCTAAACGTCCATAATGCCCAAATCCCCTAGAAACCCTCTATTTCTATCCGCCAATAGACCATCAGGATCCATCAGGTGCGATGGTTCCGCCGAGGTACTGCATAAGACCCGTCACCAATTCATCGGCAGAAAGTTCGCCTCATCGCCCAGCAATTGTGGAAAACTCATGGAGGATTCCACTCATCTGACTACGCCAAGTGGACCTGTGGACCTAGATGTCAAAATGGAATATGTCCAAAAAATCACACTGTTTCTTGTTTGCCTTTATTGGTTTCATTTTGTTTCCTACAGTTGAGAGGTCCCATCTTAAAATGTTGCTTTTAAAAAAAAACTTTCAGAGTTTGAGACTCCCTCTCACCAGCCCGGCCTCCCATATCCACGTCCAAGATGTCAAACATGCGGAACTTGTCGGACATATCCTCAGTCACTGGGTTTGTCCAAATAAAATGGGGAAACAAAACAAATTTGACAACCCATCTTGCCTCATATTGCATGTTACCCATATCAAATTGGGTAATCAAACTACACCCCCAAATTTGGTGGTATTTGGTGGTGTACGTTTCATCATTACCTGACTGGAACTATTTGGTGCATACACCATTCTCAGACCAACTGTGAGGATACAAGGGTTAATGGTCGGCTCAAATGCATCCATGAGCACGTAAAGCTGCATGCTCCTAAAAACTGCAATATTCCAAACATCTTGCCAACATCAAACGCTCCTTATTTTAGATTCTTAGATCAATGTTAAAACGCGCATCATGCATAACTATTTTATGGACTATATTTTTGTTCAAACAAAAACATCATAACTTACTCAACACATTCCAAAAAACCAGCCAACCAATAGAGCAACGCCAAATCCAGGCGGCCACATCGGCTTCCTCCAACATGGCTGTGAACTCGGTATCTTGTAGCCACAGGGCGAACCTTGGCGTCATTGACTGGGACAACATGTTGAAATCCAAAGGCTGGGACTTTCATGTTGAAAAATTGGAAAACAATGTTCAATGATGTCATTCACATTCATCTCTTTTTTCTATATTCACCAATATTCAATTAGATGTTTTGGGGATTCCCAAAGTGGATCTAGGATCATTTCAATCCATTTTGCGAGGCTTCCTTTCATCATATGATGTTCCCAATAGGTGCAGCAAGGAGACATTTCTCTGGAGATGCAGACCTGGTCACCCCAGGTAATTTATGGCAAATTTAATGAACAGATTGTGACAAATTCATGGATAGAATATGCCACATGGTTTTTTTGCACCATGTTTGGAAACAAAACACAAACCATTTGCCAACCATGTCGGCAAATGCAGCCGTAAAGGAGTTGAAGGCCATTGGGGCAGATTTTTGTGAAAATTTTGAACCGTCTGAGTTTGGTGAACATCCGATCTGACAATATCAAAACATGAATCATCTCTTTACGTTCAATTCTTTGAAAGTGTGATCGCAGAAATATCAAAATCCATCACTATTATTATGATTGTTGTTTATTAGATATTAGGTACTCTTACTATTAGCAGAACTATGATGATGATGGTATATCAAAATCATTATAATTATAATGATTATTTTATGATGATGATTGCTGTTACTATATCCATTGGGAAAAAACGCCTTGAAATTCCGCCCGAGTTCGTACCTGATCCTCTTGGAGAATTCGATAGGCGGCTTCCGCCACCTTCTTCTTCGCCGCCTGGGACGACAGCTCTACAGGCTATACAGGCTATACCCATCTTGATTGTTGCTGGTGGGTTTCCAAAATTGGTGAATTTTGGGCCATCTTAATTGTTGGTTATTTTTTGTGGCTTACTCCACCGATCATGAATGGCCTGCTGCTCATGTCATATCCTCACCTGATCGCTGTAGTAGTCATCTTTGGAGGTCAGAGATGTCAGCTGCCTCGGGGAAAATTTGAAAAGGTGGCTTGAAGGCCCTGAAGGCTTCGTCGGAACAAGAGTGGATTCATCTGAGGGAATATCTAGAGTTACTGATTTCATTACCGCCCAAATCACCCAAATTCCCCCATATTCCCTACCTGCCAGGTGAGGGTCTCCAGATTTTATCACCGGCAGCCTCGGATCTCACCTCGGTGGGCACTGCCGGACCTCAGAATGTCAGAATGAATGCCTGCAAAGATGCCGGAAAGGATGTCAGATAGAATGTCAGAGTAAATAAATATGCCATATATATACTTCCAGATGGTATGTCAGAAACTATGTCAGAATACAGTAGTGTTTCAGGGTGGGGATCACTCGAAAAAAACAATATATTTTTGCTCCTGCAAATTGTTCCCTCTAATGATTTAATGGTTTTGGTCCATCACATGTGTGACGTCACCCAACGCATCCAACAAGAAACTTGTTGGGTAGAAATTTGGCACCAAAATTTTCTCTCAAGAATCGAACTTACAAACACAACTGTTGATTCGGAGATGCCCCAAGGCCCCAAATTGATCAAAAACTCTATGTATATATATATATATCTCTCTCTCTCTCTTTCTCTCTTTGCATGGGTGATTATATATTTGGCTAGTTTCTCCTCCCAAGATTTGCAGGTCATATCCCATGTCCAAAGGCCTTCTATTTTTGGTCAGGTTGGTGAGGTTCATTTGATCCAAGCATCTGCTGCGCGGACGCAGAGAGACGACTGAAGAGTCCCCGATTTGATGTGGCCACAGTGTTTTCACACAGGAACCTGCACAAGCTGCAGCTAGGGATGTCCGAGAAGCAGTAGAAATTTGTTTGAAGTCTCAAAATGTTGAGAGACCTAACAGGACCTAAACATGAACATCCAAAGAAGTCTCGACATGGCCTGGGAATGGGTCAAGAGTCAAGACATGTCAAGACCCTGGCGCCCTCTAGTTCATTGAGATACAGTAAGGCTCCTACTTTGACGCCAACCCATATGTTTAGTTTCACTTTCCTCTCCAGAAAAAGATCATAGAACCCACCAGGCCCAGTTTGGTATGTCTCAAAACAAATTAGGCTACCCCAAATCCAATCATTCATCATCCTTTTACATATGAAACATGGGAAACATATGGAAACACTATCTGATAGAGCTGGATTTTCTGAAAATCGGGTACTTCAACATCTTATGGTCTATCATAATTTTCTCCATTGAGGCTGCCATACATGAAGGTGAAATCCAAATTTCCGACAAAACCATATAGGAAACCATTAGTTTTCTCTCTTATCAGTATCGTTTGATATTCCCAAATATTCCAAGAATATACTGATAAAGGTCCATTCATAACAATAGTAATAGTGGGTTAAACAATTCATGATGCTTAACTAATATCCGAATATTGAATATTAATATATTTTCCTATCCATAATTCATTGGTTGCCATCTGGTTGTTTAACATAGCCATGGAAAATCATCAAATTTTAATAGGTAAACCCAGGTAAACCATCTATTTCTAGGCCATCTATACCATGGCAATGTAACAAATCTCCAGAGGGTAAATCCCCCAGACCTAACAGAAAAACATCCGCGAAATCCACAAGAGCTTCCGCCTTCGGAATTGCAGCTTCAGCTCAGTGCACACAGCCGCGGAGCTGTCACCTAAGCGTTTGGGAAAGTTTGGGCCCTCAAACTACTAACTGGAGAATACCAAAAGCTGGGGTTATCATGGTTTATCCCAATATATACATACATACATATATATATATATAAATATGAAATATGTATATATATATATATGTATATATATATATATATAGTAGGAAAGTGAAACATAGAATGAGGTGCAATTGTCCCTTCCTATTCACCAGGAACACAGAAATTATGACCTACATAGAAACTGGATAAAGTCTAAGTTTTTGTTTTTCTGGTTGGTGGTTTCAACCCCTCTGAAAAATATGAGTTCGTCAGTTGGGATGATTATTCCCAATATATGGTTTTTTTTTAAAAAGTTCCAAACCACCAACCAGTAATCCCATTATTAACAGTGACCATTAACCACTAATGATTTCCATTATTAATCATTAATCCCATTAATCCCATGGAGTTCCCATCATTAAACCACCATTTAATCCCATTATTATACCATTAACCATTCATGATTCCCATCATTAACCATTTTTGTTGGTTAAAGCCGATTAAACCACCATTAAACCACCATTAAAGCACCATCATTAACCATTTCGTGAATCAACAGTGAACTCCACTGACCTCCACTGAGTCCCCTGAGTCCCTGCACCGATCTCTCGCAGCTTGCGTTGCCCCTGCGATCTCAAGACCTCCAAGTTACGCACGCGCTGAACCACCAGATCCACTGGATAGAAATCCTCCATAAAACATGGAGAAAACATGGAGAACACATGGAGAATACATGGAGAAAACATGGAGAAAACATGGAGAAAACATGGAGAAAACATGGAGAAAACATGGAGAAAACATGGAGAAAACATGGAGAAACATGACATGCGATCTAAAATCTAAAATGATCAATGAATGGCATGTCTATGGCATGTCTATGGCATGTCTATGGCATGTCTATGACATGTCTATGGATGCATGTTTGTTGCCCCAAGGTGTTCCAGCAGGTCGTTCAGCTGAGGAGCGTTGTCGATGAAAACAGCCTCAGTGCAACTTGGCAACAGCCTCAAAACAGCTCAGTTGTGGAGGCATGGCTTCCACAGCAGAATCCATCCAAACTACACCCAATACCTAGTACTACCAGTGTATTACCAGTGTATTACCAGTGTATTACCAGTGTATTACCAGTGTATGACCTATAGTTTTCCATATTTTCCCAATGATTTCATATCACTGGCATTTCATATCCCAAGTCGTTGGATTGGCATTCGCCAATAATTAGCGATGTCAAGCAGCCATGATGAGGTTGAAGAGGCCCACCTCACCAGGGACCGAAGCTGCGATTGGAGATATCCATGGCAGATATCCCTAAAATGTCCCTATGATATGCATCTGCCATGATTTTAAGATGTGCCAAATCTATCCAAATCTACATGTGTATATGTGTGTGATTTTTGTGCGTATGATGATACACTCAATCATGACCTGCCACGTATCCAGCAAACGGGGAAGGCAACGATACCATGGAAACTCGCTGGACTGAGGTCCGAACATAAATGATCCTTAGATGCAGTCGGATACTGAAGGGGTCCCCTGCTGGTATTCTGGCTCTTGCTACAAGTTGGCCAAAGAATCCAAAGACCTCCAAGTGTGGCTACTAGCGGCTACCAAGTGTCATCGTGGTCAAGATGTACATGATGAAGAAGGGCATTCCCATCTGGTGTCGCAGTTTTTCAGCCAGAGGGGTTCCATCATAGGAGACGCAGCCGTCCGTGACGAAGCACCGGAAGAGGGTGAACATCGAGTTGGACATGGAGGAAAACTCCTGAGACCATCGATGAATGGATCTAATATGATCTAATACATTCTACTGCAAAATGCCAAAAAGTATCCAATAAGTTCAAAAGCAAAAAAGGTGGATAATTCACCAATTCACCAACACCCAGTGAGGATAGGTATCAGGTCAAGTTAAGGCGTTTGAAGGAAGTTTAGAACAAACCAATCGAAGTTCAAATGATTTGCTCCTGAAATATAGGGCTGTTGAAGAGACATTCTGTGCAAAACGCCGCACGAAACTATGATTTGTAAAAATTGAGATCATTTATTTGACTACTACTGTGTTCTATTGATTTCATTTATTTTCATGATTTCTCGTGTATTTTCCACGCATTTTCGTTTGTAAAGGGAGGGTTCCCCCTGCCAACATGCACCAAGTGGCTGGCAAATCGCTGGTGAGCCTCAGCTACCAGGCTACCAGGCTCATGGCTCAATAAAGATTCGGTGAGGGGCAATGTGTTCTGACGAAATTTTCAGCTTTAGACTCTTTAGACCGTTGGATTGTGTTGGATCCTGCTCCGTTGCCTCACTTCCCCTTTCCGAGGACGTCCAGCTTAACAGGCTTAACATCAGCCTGACCACCCATAGAATCCCATGTTTTCCCGGTTTCGTCGAAGTCCATTGCTGACCGAATTGAGAACTTCTCAATTCAGTTCATCATCCACTGACAAGTCTTTTCATATCAAGGCACCGCATGAGCACACCAAAGGTATAGATGGTGAACATCAGCAGAACGATGGCCCAAGCTGACCGGGCCAGGGTCATGACAACAGTGTTTTTGTTGGTGCACTTTTCAATCAACTCTTCGCCAGCCTCTGGTTCTAATGTTCTAATGGTTCAAAAAAACCTGAGACATGTCATCCCCAGAGGGGTCCGTCCAAAGGGGTGGCCTACCCAGCCCCCCGGGTCCCGGCCTAGGGCACGCAGCCCAGAAAAGAGGCCCAGGACCATCAGCTTCAACTCTCGGAACATCCGGAAACGCATCAGTCGCACCTCAGGAGGACCATCACAAATCACCCGAGAAAAGCAGTGTTTTTTTCACCAGGCTCCCACACCAAGCGGGCGAGTCGTGCCAGTCGCAACCTTAACGGACGTTTTCACGGACATGTCCCTGGGGGATGTATCCCAAGTTATGGCCATTTGAAGATTTTGAATGATGAAAAATGGTGAAATCAACCATGAGATTCCCAGAGGGGATGCTACAACTGGGGCGTCCCAGCATTCTCACCAGCATGAAGGCATCTGAGCCTCTCATGGCATTCCAACGGAATGTTGGACATCGAAACATTGGTATCCTGTATTTCATGCGGCTTTCTAGCCATTTTATGTGATCTTATCGTTTCGGCCACTTCACCAAAATAATTCATCATCCCAAAGAATAGGGCATACTGGGCATACTCAATGATAAACCTCAATTGGGGATGGTTTATGGTCCCCCATGCCATTGGGTTGGGAGAAACCTCAGCCGAAACAGGGGAAAGCCGCATGGTTGCGGCCCGTTTCGGCTCGCCTGTAGTGGACTCAGCCGCAGTTCGAACCATATAGGTGAAGAGCAAATCCTCGGATAGAAAAAAAGGACAGAAAACCACGAGCAAAAACAATAAGAAAAGGGATAGAATCGGGAAACGCGCTAAATCCAAAACCAAATTGCCAAAGCATTGTGGTCGAAACCATAAACGACCGATCATTAGACAATCAGAAAGTGCCTCAATGTCTTCAAGGATCGATGAAGGAGATCAATAGGCAGCCATTGTCGAACCAATTCCAATATGCCTGAGCACAATTTTACCCGTTTTTGGCGTCTCGATGGCTCATGGTTTTCCAATGCTGATGGTGTCATCCCTTATGACGAACAAGTGCTAGATCATACCCACAAAAAGTGGATGACTCTTTCTCACAACTGATATTTGTTTGCTTCAATTCAACTGTGGAACCATACCAAACAGGATTTTCATAAAATACACCCACATGACATCCAGAGTGCCGCTTTCTAAAAACTCGTATTTTATAATCCTTGATTTTCCGTTGGGTTTTTCAACTCTGGTGATCCCAAAGTGTTTGAAAGCTTGAAACACCTACATTGCTCGAAAAAGTTGATGCATCCTCAAATTGACCCATTGACCCATTGGCTGTTTCACAGTTGGGTGATTTCGAAATCCCAATTCTTGAAAATCCATGGTAGCCATTTCTGGGCCAAAAATTCAAGGCATATTCAAGGCCAATCCCTCCAAAGCCTGTGCTAACCGGACGAATCCACCATCATCTTTAGTTGAATCACATGCCCATAGATATGGTGGATATTGCCCATATTGCCCTTTAGGTATGTGGGATATCCATGGATATCCACCATCATCAAATCCCCCACAAAGAAAACCCATAGGGATGGGTGAAATGCATTGAATCCATTCAACTGCAACCCCAAAACGCCCTTTCCCAAAACCCTTGCCTCAGAACCTCGGCAAAGCTGAAGGGTGAAGATTTTATGATATTTTATGAATATCTGGTTCAGAGAGTTATTGTGCGATATTGTGCATGGAACTCGACTGGAGCATGTCCAACACAGTGGCCGCAGTCAGAACAATTTTGTTTTAGGGGGTCAGTAGCCACTGATGTGAAGTGAACGCCAGGCCTGTTTCAAGGTTTTCCGCGTCTCGCTACAATAGCTTTTGAGACGCGTCGTGCAAGCAGGTGTCTGATCAGGACTCGAGCAGAGTGCAATGAAAAAATGTGCGTGGAACTGTACAAATATATGTATACATATTATGTATATATGATGTAGGCATTGAAACTAGTCTGGAATGTCATTGGCTGATGGCGCTCTGAATTCACCGTTTGGCTGACCGGAAATGATGTGGAAACCCATGGGGTCACTGGAAACTGGCCATCTTCGCAGTCCGGGATGATAAAATGAAAGTCCAGCAATGACACCAATACGTCACTATCTGAGGCCCGCGAAAACAATACGAAAACATATGAAAACATATATGAAAACACGGGAAACCGCTCTTTTGGGATGACATGTCCAGCTTGTCCAGCTCATCCAGATTCCTGGAAGCTCGAAAATCGGGGAACCGGTGTAGTAGCCGCGGCAGCTCTGCGTGCGGAGCTTGATCAAGTACTCCAAGAGGTAGAAAACAAAGAAGCCCTCGGATATTCATGGGGTATGCTGCATATGCCGCATATGCCCCTTGGACCCAATTAGGATAACCGGATAACCCCTAATTGTCGTCCAATTCATGTGTCATTTTCATAGCAAAACCAATAGTTCCATCATGTTCCATCCAGTCCGGTTCAGCAGTTCATGCCCCTGGCATCTTGGAGAAATAAAGGACCTGGTTCTGCATGCATTTATTCTCACTTTTGCACCTCGTCATGGCAGGTCACCCTCCATGGATTGATTGATTACCCATGGAATCAGCCAACCAGATGATGCGTGCACATGCTCAAGGCAAAAAATACCCTCGGGTAAACAAACAGTTTGCTATTGAAAATGGTGATTTATAGTTGATTTACCCATTAAAAATGCTGATTTCCCATAGTTTTTTGTATGTTTACCAGAGGATACCCCAAAAATCCCCAGGGTTTTTCTCTGCCAGGGATCCACTTCCGTGACATCCCAGGCGGTGCTCTCTGAATCCACATCCGTGCTGACGCCCATCACCAGAGCATTCGAGATGATCACCGCAACCTCCATGGGTCACACCAGCAGAAAGCCATCAAATCCACCATCAAATCCTCCAGAATATGACCGAGCCTACACAGAAAAAAAAATCAAACCAGCATCATACAAAATCACCATAAAACCATATAAAACCATTTAAAACCATATAAAACCGTATAAAACCATATAAAACCATATAACAGCCATATAAAACCATGATCCACCCAATAAAATCCCTGTGTTTCCAACATCAAACACTGCCACCATTTTCGCCCGCCCCCACCGTGATCAAGTCGAAGACCATCGCCTTGAGAAAATTCCGCTGCAGGTGGATTCAGCAGGGATATCAAGAGATCTCATAGTAATTAATTTCATTGGATTGGTTTAAGGGAAAATTTACAGGAACCTCCCATATTTAATGGTAAAAACCATGGTTTCCTGTGGATTTTCCCTTAAACCAATCCAATGATAATATGGATTAACCATAGTAATAATATGAATGAATGATCTCCATTGTCATCCATTATCCCATTATGGTTGATATTCCATATTGTTCCATTAATCAATTTGGATTCATTCATGATTATAGTAACTGATTCATCCACGACAGTGGTTCATCATGGTCATAAGCGTCATCCAATTTTGGATGCTCACGGATCAATAAAAAATGATGGATTGCCCAACCTGGTGAAACCCTACAACCTATCCACATGGACGATTCAACCCAGAAACTTTGGCTACTTTTGGAAGTGATAGGGGTCCAACATGGTCCAACATGGCACCAGACCTTCTGGGTACCCAAGGCCAAAGTATCATCCAAGCTACAAAGAAGCCCCGCATGCGATTCTTCTCGGCAAGGTTGCGCCTTTCCTGCGAAAAGCACAGCAGGAAACCACCACAACTGACTGGTTGACCGTCGACGCCATCAGCATGCCTCAGTGTGTCTCATATTTCAGGACTCCAAAAGTGTGGTTACTTACAAGTTTGCCTTAAGGAGCAGGACACATATAACGCCAAATAAATGTTGCCACCCTCTTGGAATAGTAATAATAACATGTAATAACCTTTACACATTTGAAGAAACAGGTAGCAGGGTAAATCCCCTAATTGGGAAATCCCACAGTTCGAATAGTTCAATCTGTTCTGGGGCGAGTAGGAGCCCTTGCTAAAACAGAAACAAAACTCGACATGTTTTCTAGTGAAATAGCCCTCTAAATCACTGTTGGCTATCGCCCAGAAAATATCCCCATAGCTATATCCCATGATATCCCCCCATGATGTCCCCATGAAATAAGATGGCTGAAAATATCTCATATCCGCCATGACAATCCCATGATAATCCCATTGTTTGTACCATTTTGGACCACCTTTCTTTTGCTCCTGCTCCGCCACTAGCCTCTCTTGCGCTTCCGCGCGCAAGGCCCGCTTGAGCGCCTGCATAGCGGGAGCCTGAGCTGGGGGAACCATCAGCATTGGGATTCATCTGGTGGTAACTTGGCGGACCAGCCCATCCTGATAACCAGAATCTAGTAACCCTACAACAAACTGCAACCACCCCGTGTAGCCATTGACTCTCGCGCGTCTCCCTGAGGCACCCACCTTCGTGTCTCCATTCTCCTCCCTAGCGGGGCCATTCTGGGATACCCGGTGCACGTTGATGGCAATCCACTTTGCAGATCCAGATCTTGATCTTTGCAGTTCCGTTATGTTCTCCATTGGTTGGGGTTATGTAAGGCAAACGCGCCCATACAAACATTGTTTGAACATGTTTGAAACTCATCTGCCATTATCTGCCAGTGTTCATAAAACATCAGTGTCCTGGAGATCACTCATGTTGGTTCTACAGCAGGGCTACTAAGGCTACTATGTTATCATATAAAGGGCAATCAGCAGGGCATAACCAAACTATCCCAAACATTCCTCAGCTTGCCCAAGCAGTTCATAAGCAGTTCATCCATGTTCATCCAGTTGCAGAGCCAGAGGATGAAAAGATCCTCCACCATACCGGGTGCATCCCCCCTTGCCGTTGTCAAGCCACTCATCTGGTGCCATCAGAGCACACAGGGCCGTAAAGTGCAAGCCTGACCTCATCGTAAAATGAGAGGTCCAAAATCATGGATCACTGGATTGGTTTAAGGGAAAATTTACAGGAAACCATAGTTTTTACCATCAAATATAGGGCTTTCCTGTAAATTTTCCCATAATCCAATTCTATGAATGGAGTTTCCAACGCTCTGAAAAATATGGAGCCCCAAGCGTGTTTCAACAGTTTCTACCAGAAAGTTTGCCTCAAATTTCAGGATCAGTTTTCTGCCTTTGGTCCAGAGTCGATGGCCAGAAACCAAAGATCCGATCCATGAAATGCCAGGATCCCTGATACTTTGGGTATGGGCCAAAATTAGGCACCAACATAACCGCACAATATGGCACAATCAATGCGTCTAGTTGTGTCGAAATATCTTAAACTATCAATTTTCCCAAAGATTTTTGACTTGTACCCGACGGTTATCGCGCAATGGCACTGAAGCCACCACCCCAGGTCAGTCCAGTTACTCTCGTGAGCTGTCCTGGCAAAAGAACCAAACGATTCCGACGATGGTGCAGCGTTTTTAATTGCTGGGTAGCCTAAGTTGCAAAGCTAGGAACAACCTACTCAAAATGCTACAACAGAAGATACGAATGATGCAATGCAGGTTCTGCACTAGGATATCCTGAGATCTGTAGAATCTTGGGCTCCAACTCGTTCTATTTCCAAGTGCAGGGTGTCAACGCATCGAACAAGTGCACCCGCAGGTCGACTGGAATTGATTCCGACGAGATCCAGATATGTATCATATGGGTGTGTCTGAAAATGGAAATGCAATTTTCACATGGCCATTTCATTGGGGAAATTATGATAAACCATGATAAACCGTGATAAACCGTGATAAACCCTGATAAACCCTGATAAATGACTAAATTTTGGGGTGCCATATGTTCAAACTCAAAAACCCTATCTGCAGCCTGCACTCCCTGAACAAGGCTCTGGTCCTTTGATCGTCTCTCAGATAGGCTATGACACCTCAGACAAAAAAAAAAAACAACATGGATGGCTGGGCCCCAAACATACCACCAATAAGGGGCCCCAAATCCTGAATAGATCCATTACGAAACCATGGGTTTTGGCGGTCCATGCCCTCATCTGATCCATCAGGATCCATCTTTTGGTGAAGCCCCATCCCCATCATGCCATGTTGACCATAAATCCCCCTGCTTGGGCATAGAGGCTGTGATCACTCGCAATCTGACACCCAGTATATTGGGATTATTATTACTACTAATTTTACTAATACTATTCTTGATAATGCTATTGTTAGTATCTAGAATTATTAACAATATGTTTTTAGAATCATCATTTCATACACTAAAAATGGTGGTTGTGATAATATAATGATAATAACAATAAACATGTCAACCCTGGATTAATAACCCCCTAGGCCGTTTAAATGCTGGTGTACCTTAATTAAGTATCAGATTATCACTATTTTGGGGGAGCACCCCCTACTTAACAATAACAATAATAACAATAATAACAATATAGTAAGAATAATGAGAATAATGATGATGGTGTCATGACAATAATAATGTTATTAATGGTATGTTATTAAAAAAAAATACTATGATTAATAATAGTTATGACTATAGTAGTAATGCTATTAATGGATATTCATGGTATATGTACAGTAGTAACTACTGTTATAATGGGTTAAAAACAAAAAAAAAAAACACGATGGTTTCTGATCTGTCCAGCCATTCGCCCAGCTACACTCGTTGCACGTCCTCCTCCGTAATCACCTCGCCGAAGCGTAGGGCCAAAAGCACCAGCTGAGCTGGGCCTGAAAAAGCGATAGCAGCGCTTCCGCTAGGGGAAACAAGATTTTCGGCATATACTATGCGCATGTTGATACAATGTATATAGATATAATTACAGTATGTGTATATATATAATGTGTGATAATGTTTTTGTGTGTTCCTTCCATGATCTGTAACGTGCTTTGCGACGTGGGCCCTAACATGCCTGGAGGGAAGGGTATGCTGACCACAAACATAGAAACCAAGAGATGGCTTAAGAAAGGAATTTTTACTCCTAGAATCTTTCGTGTGTTCTGGTCAACGGCCATTTTGGGGATTTCGATTTTTACGGTTGGGTGGGGCATGTATCCACCTAGCGTGACTTTGGTGCAATCGTTTTCGGGGCATATACATCAATTGGTGGAAATCGGCAAAAAACAATTCCATTCGCGTTGGCAAACTGAACCATTGTCTAACCATTGAAATGATTGTGTTAGTAAATTGTTTTTTTAAAATAGGGTTTATTTGAGAAATAAGGCCAGGCCTCCACAGACAAAGAGGCCAAAACACATCAAAACACTCCACAACCTCTAGATCTATTGTGGTGAGTTGCCGGTCATGGCACAAACATAACTGGCAATGCACTGCAACATGGGCTTCAACACGCATTATCGTATAACCAGGTGGGTCGGTATAGTGACATCACTTAAATGATCTTAAATGTATGGGTCAAGAGCAATCCAGACATGGTGGTTGGTTTCCGATGTGCATTGATGAATATAGTATAATAATGTATAATATAGTACTCACCATTGTGGCTAGTGGCGCGACAAGATACTCAACCCACGGTGCATGAGTACTGCAGAACGAGTATAATACAATAACCACGCTGCCCAAAACCTACTAAACCAAGGTTGAGCCAGTACCAAAGCGATGAACACAACCCCTAAATAAATGGGCCTTGCTGGTTGCTGCGAATTAGTAAGGCAGTTGGGTAAATTTCGAGTTCGAACACAACAAGTCAGGACACCTTTAGATTGCATAAAGACCAGTGCATCCTGTTGTTTTTTCCTCAAAATTAAGACTCAGGAGCCAGTGACAGCCAGTGTGCAAAGCTGCGCTCAATTTCACTGCCAAGCTTCTCAAATAGCCCTGTTTTTCGGAATCCAGCCTGTGGCATGTCGTTGGACCAATGGGCATGACAGACATGGCGGCTACGGGTCAGAATGGGGTACCTTTTTAAAATTGGATGCTTAATACTATGTTAATGTTCAAATATCTATCAAAATACACTAAAAACATCTAAAAACATTGCCAATTGTCTGTGGTCCCATGGAAGTTGCCTCTGGAACTGCACTCTCAACAGCTCCTCTCGGACTCGCAGCACATCTTCGTCGTCAATGCCTTCCAAGCCGAAGACCGAAGGAGTCCAAGTCGAGTGGTGAGAAACTCCAACGGTCCAATAGAATCCAACATAATCCAACGGTCTAACATCAACATCAATCAATTTCATGGCCCATGGCCATTGGAAGTTTGGAATTTTGATGAACTTGAATTGCCATGTGCGGCCTGCCTTCATCTTGCCAGTAGCCGCTCCTTAGAAATGCAGGCAGCTGATCTTGCCAGGAATTCTGCACCACCGGGTCATTTCACCCGGAGGGGGTGTAGCACTTAAGAATTTCCTTCACTTCCCTGCTAGAATCTGAATCACACGATATCTCCTCGAAAAAATGCTAAGAAATGTTTCCACCCCAACTGAAATCTGGCTTCTAGTTACAACCTGTTGGATAATCTCATTACAATTAAAAGCCCAGGTTCTCAATCAGCTACCTGTTCATCATGGTTATGCTTCCGTCTATCTCTGTCTCTTATGGTAGAGCCACAGGAATTGGAGGATTAAAAAAGCACAGGTCCTTGGATACAGACCAATAGAGCAAAGGATTGTGACAAACATTAATCAGTATGCAATTAGCTTAGATTGTGGCAGATTTACCCAAAGTATGACTAGTGACTAGACTCAGACCATCTTAGACCTATATATTGCGTAGCAGGTTCAAAAAAGCTGAGACCCCCTCTCTCGTCGCATTCCCATCTTCTGTGATCCAAGAGGCACCCGCGCGCCCGCTATGGTGGCGCCGATCATGCGCTGCTTGTGAGCTTTCTCAATAGCCTGACTTTGTCGTATGGTCCTGACATGAAATCCAGTGATTAGAATGGGAATACCACGAAGTTCATCATCTGAAACTTATGGATATTGCATGATATTGATGTGGTGATGGATAGATCAATGGCATTGTTTTAGCGAAAAGTGCCCGAAACCACGGTATTTACAGCCTAATCCATGGGTTTCCTGTGGTCTGCTGTAAATGTTCCTCTAGACCGATAGTGTAACGATATCTTGTGATGGATTTGGTGACGGCAAATGGTGGTATGTCAAGTTGATCCCTCTCTCCAGGACTCCGTTGATCTTTAAATCGACAGTCGCCCCACGTCTCCAACCCCCAAAGCTGAACCCCCCAGTCTCCTTCTAGCCCAGGTCTCTGTCTGCCTCGGAAGCTGCTGGAATTCCATGGTGATTTCAATCGCTTGGATTTTTGGGAAACATACAGTCATACCGTCACACCTGCCAAGTCAATCCTGGGATCGCCTTCACTTTTTGGCTGCCAAACTTTAACATTTCCCCACACTACCAATGCAATCTGTACCGTATAATGCAGGTACAGGTGAGGCTCCTCAGAGCTACAACACTCAGCAGATCCTGCCGTTCGAATCTTGATTGGAACACGCCTGGTCAAGCGCCTCTGAGCCATGGCTTGAAAGAGGCGCCACTATGCCTGCTGACCGACCACTACAGGATCTACAGGGCATTGCCCATGTCTCACGTCTGTACAGAAAAATCATAAAAGAGCTACTCGGTCTTGAAGTTCCAAGACATCCAAGACCCAGCAGGTTCTTTTTGATTTTTCTTTACGCAAATAGGACGCACATGGACGTCTCAATGTTCGCCAAAGCGTGCACCGGCCACCGCAACTCCGCCCCAGCCAAGGGCAGCAGGCCTTCTCCGCCATGCCAGGGGCGTCCAGGGCGGGCAGATCTCTCCTTGTCATTCTCAGCTTCACCTTCTTCAGCTTCTTCAGCTTCAAGTGCTTCAAGTGCTTCAAGTGCTTCAAGTGCTTCAAGTGCTTCAAGTGCTTCAAGTGCTTCAGCATCGAGTTTTTGAAGGATCACGTTCACCTCATCGGCCTCATCGGCCTCATCATTTGAGGGTTCGCTGTCTCCATTGGCAACAAAGCCTCAAATGATGAGCTCATTGTTGCTTCTGTCTGCAGCATCCAGCTCCTTGTCTTTGTTGAAATCAGACTCCTTTTCTGGGACACCGAAGCCCGCTGACTCTGAAAGAGAACGTTCAACAGCTTCATGGCGCCAAGAAGTTTGATGCGTGGTGCACTTTCGTTTGAGTGGTCCACTTTGAGCCCAGTGGACTTGAGCCAAAATTCCAAAATCCAAAAGGTCTTGCACCGTCGCTGGTGGTGGATTGATGTGCATCTCAGGCGATCGCTGCATCTGGGAGGTTTGAGGCGCACCCCAAAGCGATCTCGGCTGCTTTAATTTCTATGCTCTTTGATACTCTTCGCAAGTTTGAAAAGATCAACCACCAGCCATGGAAAAAAACACGATTAACCCAACTCCCATTGAAGCCATATGAAGCCCATCCAGTACTTAAAGATCTTAAAGTACTTTTTCAGTGCTCACAGTGCTCACAGTGCTCACGCCGCTCACGCCTTCGAATATCTCTTCAGACTTCGGAATTCCGTGAGGGGCGCAGTGGGATCGAAAAGTTGATCCTGCGTTATGGCGTAAAGCTCGAAGGCGGCCACAGCCGCCTGCCATTCGGGGATCATCTTCTGGGATGACCAGGGGATGATTTTAGATTTGATGGGGGTTCCTCTAATGAAGGTACCCTTGGTACCCCCAGTTAAGTATATAGTAAGAATGTCGCAAACCCCAAACCATATCCAAACCATAAAACATCCCCAATGACATACCCGCACTGCCTTGTAATTATTATTAAAGACATTCAAAAACCAGGACCCCAATTGGAGGTATTTGATGGTTTGACACATTGACCACTTGGGCATCATCATGGATCATGTGTTTGGTGACAGTTGGGACATGGGCGCATGTTTGGGACCCAACGGATGCTACGTCTCACCAAGAATGGACATCAAACTCACCCAAAAAAGATGACCCAAGCCTTCGAAACACGCTGAAAATCCAGACAAAATCCAAACAACACCCAAACAAACTCACAAAATCCTGACACAAAATTAGCACCTCTCCCCCCTGTCATCCCCTGTCTGCCTTTTCAAAGGCCTTCCGGATCCGTTCCTTTGGCGCCTTGGGCGGCACGTTCCCGTCGCGGCTCAGCAGCAGCGAGCCGGTGTAGCTCTGCCCCACGGAGCGCGCGGCGCCGGCGTAGTGGACGACCGCCCAGCTGAGGTCCTCCGCGCAGTCGGCGATGCGCCAAAACTCCCGGAGGCTGATGCCGTTGTCTTCGGTGCTCAGCCGGAAACTGCCGGGAAGATCACCCAGAAGGACACGGTAATGACCTCGGAACAACAGAAAAACATGGGAACAAACGACAATACCAAACCGATTTGGGAGAGGGGTGGTGTTTGATGTGTTTGGATTTTGACTGTGATGGAAAACTGGGGTGATCCAAGGGGGGGTGATGATCTATATTGCCAATCTGAGAAACTCAGCAGCATTTCTCATATGAATATGGGTACTCTGTGCACGTTTGCTATTTCCAGGTCTATGTTGGGGCTAAGGAATGAAGTGAAGAGAACAAATTGCGAGGGTGGGAACCCTCCTCAAACTTTCAAAAGAGATATTGCAGTTTACAAAACCGGTCGCATTTGCCCACAGCTGCAAGAGCTTTCCAAGTTTGACCCTGTTCAGCCCAGCTGACACATACCCTGAACAACGGACAGAATGGAAATGTGTAGAAACGATTTTGACGAAGGAAAATCTGACAAACATCCAACATATCCAGCCTGATCCAGCTCAAACCTTCCCCCTGGATCACTTGAAACCTCTTGAAACCTCTTGAAACCAATCCATCTGGACGGTTCTGGACGGATGCACCGGTGCCAGGTGACGTTTTCGCCAGACCTCCCGTCCATCCAAGGTGATGACTTTGAAGACGGGATCGTACCATCCGCGGTTGCCCTTGGGATCTCGGTACCAGCTGTTGTACTGCGAGGGGAAATAATCATAGGCCGGATTCTGACCCAGCACCGGTCGCCATGAACACGGGCTTTCTATCCAGTGACCTTCCATGATTTTCCAGGCGCTTTCATGATCCAATGGGGAGCCCTGGAAGGTCGCCATGGGGTCAAAGCGCACTTCTGGGATCCTAGGAGATGGACTGATGGGCAGTAGATCCCTCTTCTTGGTGCACTCGGAATCTTATTTTTGAAGATTTTTGTGGCCGTGGGTTTGGCGATGAACTGGTTTCATGAGTTTATAATTCCCATATAATAAATGACATAGATAACATGTTCTCTAGTTATTTATTCATTAATTCCTTCGTTCATTCATTCGTTCATTTATAATGTATTTATTGATTATTAGAAAATAATTTTATCATATTATCAGTATCATATATCGCTGAATCCTGAATCCCCCATTTGTTCCATCTTTTTCTCCAAATCTCTGCGCGTCGCAATCGAAGATGCCGCGCCGCTCGAAGCAACGCACCAGTTGGGCCAATGGCTCCGATTCGTGGCTCACCGTGCAGCGATACATCTGGGTTTGGTCGCGCACATCACCTGGAGCTGGGCTGCTGGGCTCGAAAAATTGGGGGGAAAATGGATTCAGGGAACTGAGCCATCAATATGTTTATTGCATATGTGTATGTGTATATATATATATATATGTATATATAGTGTGTCTGTGTGTGTGTGTCTAATTGTATTGACAGTTGCCTTGGGGATTCATCAACAGTATTTTGTAGCAAAGTCATGCAACATCCAAGTTTTTTGCATGCTGTTCTTCAACTTTTCCGAACAATCATAGACATTTTCACAAAGATGTGGGTAGTCACAGGGTAAAACCTGGCATGTGAAACAAACAGCCCGTGATCAATAATGCAATAATTTCAATAAAGCTGTGTATGAGAGTCAACAAGACTAGATAAGACTAGGAGAGGTGGTGAGAAAACAAAATGACCTATGGGATACTGACTGATGGATACTGTATGATCTAATGAAGAAACACAAAAGAACATACCCAGGATCCAGGCACGACTGAAAGTAAAGATAGGCGTTATAGATCGATATATGGATGATATATGGATGATATATGGATGATATATGGATGATATATGGATGATATATGGATGATATAGGGATATATGGGGCCTCTACTGGAATACTTTGAGTCTGTTGGTCCTTGGAGAATCCAGTGGAGTCACCAGTTGCCCTTTGATGACTTATCTCATCTTATCTCCAACTTTAAGATCTTTAAGCACCAAGTCACAGCCATTTTGGCATTCCAAGCATGCACGTGCTTCTCCATCCAGACCGGCTTCGATGGCTTCTTTGAGACATCGACTGCACAAACGCCACACCTTCTCGAGGCTGTCAATTTGAGGCTCTTGTTCCACCAAGGGGACATCTGTCACCTCAGTGACCAGAAGCATTCCCGAAGAACAAATGGACATTTATTGACATTTATTAACTTTATAATTATAGAATTATTAATAGCTTCCCTGAAATCCAGAATTCTGCAACTGAGCCACTGAAAAATGGATGGCGAACAGCAAAGCATAGAAACAATCCTCCGCCGTATCTCGCGACCACAAGTCAGTACATCTGGTGAGGACCTCGCCTGCGCTGCGCATGCCTGGTGCTCGTGGCAGCAACTTCGACATTGCGCTGCTACCAGCCGATAAAACCAGCCGGTTGCTGCAATCTGTGATTTGTGATTCACATGACCTGTGGCCGATTGGTACCAACGTTGCCATCACAAAACAAAAAAATGATATCGAATACGAACATCAAAAACGAAACTATGGAAAATATGGCCTACAGTGCCAGACTAGCAACTCTGGATCGACATTGATCAGCACCACCAGCTTGGCATCATGGGTTTTCTCTACTCCAGAGCTGATTTGCACTTCTAATCCAGGAACCGCCTGCTGAAGTTTCCATGCCAACTGTTTGATGGCCACCTCCCACGTCACAGGCTCCGCAAATCCCAATGCTGCCGTCATCGTCTCGGTGCCTCCTTCGCCCCAGGGGCACTGGCCATGCCCCAGCAGCAGCAGCACATCGACCTCCGCAGACTGCGACGCCTGCGACGCCATGGCGCGGCAGCCGCGGCTGGGACCGCCACGCCACAGGCGGCGCCGCGCTGGGGGCACAGCGCCGGCCGCAAGGCCACCGAGGCCGAGGCAGGGGCCGCTATGGCGCCGTGCAGCTGGCGGAATGCCATTGCGGGGATCCGGGCGGAGACGTGGTGCCGCACAAACCCGTGGCAGGGCCAGGGATGAAGTCAGCGCCATTAAGAGAGATAGAAAAAGAAGCGCCAGGAAGTGGACAGAAGTGGACAGAGTAGGCTGAATTGAAGAACAAGGGCGATACATTTACCAATTCCCATTGAAACAGGCTCTTGTTGGGACTATATAACGACCAAGAGAATTCATGGGTCAAAGTGCTTTGGACATCTTTGGACCACGTTGCAATGGCCACCGGTTGCATTGCAAACCTGCTGTCTTTCTCACAAGCTATGTTTCGACGGGCAATGCTGGAGAAACAGCTCCACATAGAAAGCTGCGGAAAGCAAGTTGTTTGATGTGCTATCCCTCAGAAATATCTCGGAGAACCCAAAACCATGGTCGCATCCTCCCGAACATGTCCAAACACATCTTGGGGCGTAGAATCCACTGTTCAACAAGGAGATTCCGGAAATGTCAGGCCAGTTTTGAAGGTACCTAATACCACTGGTGGAACCCCAAGATGCTTCTTCTGCCAAATGTCATGAACAGCTCGTTCTTGATGATGTTGTAATCTTTGGTCACTTGATTCTTGTTGATAGTCTTCTTCAAACAATGTTTCATCCTGCTCCGATCTCTGCTAGCAATGAAACACTGGTCCATAGACTTCTGAGACTCACCCACTCCATTTGCGAGATGCTCGAGATATCATAGGTCCATAACTGCTGTTTTTCCCCAGTTACTGCCGATGTTTTCTCAGGCCCAAACCCTCCAGACACACTCGGCGGCCCGGGGGAATCCTATGGCCATTGTGGCCATGTCGGAATTTCAAGAAATGCCAGTTGGAACTGATGTGAATTAACATGAATTAACCATATGGATCCATATGGCTGTTAATTATAACCATGAGTGGATGATAAATATGATAAGGAGCACGCTACGAGAAATCGAAGTAGCCACCGAGCCAGCCACTCAGCCGAATATCATATGAGATACGAACAGTCGGTTTTCTTTGCGATCACTGTTCTTGGAACTAATGGAGGCAATCAGGAAAAAGATCGGAATCAACCGCTAATGGTGGACATATGGTGGACAAAAGGCAGAACCCAGACCAACTGGCTGGGAATATCACTGAATTTGTAGATGGGGACCATGCAGGTTTCAAAGGATGACCTGTTGGCAAAGGATGACCTGTTTAAATCCAAGGCCATCAAAATCGTAGGGGGCCTAGCTCCAAAAATGTTTTATGTTTGCAACAAAAACAAGGCGTTCATTGTGCATCCCAGTTGACATATTGATAGATATTGATTGCAAACATGTTGTGCTCAACCAATCCAACCGGCTATTTGGGATGCCCTCCAGTCATCAAACAAATGATTTGGGTTTGCTGGGAATTTCCCCATATTTACAAATGATTTCCCAACGAACTAAAAACCTCAGGGCAAATATGGAAAAACTCGGAGTTGATGTGGATTCAATTTGGGATAAATCCCAAATTTACTGCTATAAACCTCTATTTATAGATGATTTTCCTATTAAAAACCTCTACAATTTGGTATATTTTGGCGATTTTCACCTCCAGTTCACGATCCCGGCAACCGCGCCTCCCACGAAGGTCTCTTGGATCCAGGAAGGCTTGGGGGTCGCAGAGGCGATACTTCCTGGCGACCGACACTTCGTCCAGGATTTCTTCCAATGTGGAGAACTTAGGAGATTAGATGAGATTAGATGACACGAGACTCAGATCTACTCAGTAAAAACAGTGCCATCCATAGATAGGTAGATAGGTAGATAGATAAATAGGTAGATAGATTGATAGATAGACAGGTAGGTAGGTAGATCGGTAGATAGGGGGATAGATAGGTAGGTAGGTAGGTAGATAGGTAGATAGATAGATAGATAAGTAGATATAGGTAGATAGATAGACAGGTAGATAGGTAGATCGGTAGATAGGGGGATAGATAGGTAGATAGATAGATAGATAGACAGACAGACAGATAGATAGATAGATAGAGAGGTAGATAGCTAGATAGATAGATAGATAGATAGATAGATAATTAGATAGATAGATAGGTAGGTAGGTAGATAGATAGATAGATAGGTAGGTAGGTAGATAGGTAGATAGGTAGAGATATATATATATAGAGATAAATGGATAGGTAGACAGGTGGACCATGGCCTTTGGACGGCCGTGGTGTTTTGTTGACGTTGGGTGGGGTGGGGTGGGGCGGGCAAGTATTAACGTTCATGTGAACTTGCAGAGGAAGTACATGCTAAGCTTTGGCTGCCGGCAGGTGCATGTATTCATGGGTGGGGTGGGGTGGAGTGGGGTGGGGTGGGATAATAATGTCCATGGCTCTCTCTTTCATAGGTCATGCTACGCTACTTTATGTTTTCTTGAGCTTTGCACTCATGGGTCATGCTACGGTACTGTATGTTCTCTTGAACTTTGCACCCATGCGTCATGCTGCGCTACTGTATGTTCTCTTGAACTTTCCATTCATGCGGCATGCCACGTTATTGTCCTCTAGAACTTTGCATTCATGCGTCATGCTACGGTACTGTATGTTCTCTTTAACTTTGCACTCATGCGTCATGCTACGCTACTGTTTGTTCTATTGAACTTTGCATTCATGCGTCATGTTACGCTATTGTATGTTCTCTTGAACTTTGCACACATGCGTCATGCTACGCTACTGCATGGTCTCTTGAACTTTGCACTCATGGGTCATGCTACGCTACTGTGTGTTCTCTTGAACTTTACACTCATGCGTCATGCTACGGTACTGTATGTTCTCTTGAACTTTGCACCCATGGGTCATGCTACGCATCCTCCGTGACAACAATATGTGTTCATGTGGTGCTGGCGTGCAAGCTTACAGAGTCTAGATCCTAAAAGGTTCTTGGAAGGGAGGCGCTGCTCTGACCAAAAGACGGCTAAAAACATGCGACGACGAACCAGTTTCAGGGTGGCCAGGAAACCCAATAGTTTCGTGTAGGCGAAATGACTGTTTTCGTTCTACTGATTCTACTGCTTGTGAATAAGGGGTTGACGACCTTAAAAATAAAATCACACACACACACATGCCGATTGGCACGAGCACAAACATGATCAACAACATCCCGTTAATCAAAAACAATCCACGGCCATCTAAAGGCCGTCTCCTAGTTAGATAGATAGATAGATAGATAGGTAGGTAGGTAGATAGATAGATAGATAGGTAGATAGATAGATAGATAGGTAGATCAGAGGTATCTTAACCCTTTATCAAGATGGGGTTGCGACTCCAGTTCATTGATGAAATCACTGGGGCACCAATTTGATGAGACATGTATTGAGCCATCATTCCCCTCAGCCATGACCCCTTTTCACTTCGGTGCCTTTGGAGCAGACCTCAGTGATGAGATTTTCCGATCTGTTGTGAGATGATGTTCCATGATATATCATGATTTGATCCCAACTTTAGGTGTACATCGTGTAGATATGTGTAGATGATGTTCCTTTGAAATTTGAACTGTTCCGTTGCCATATTTGATGATCTGTGTTACAATATGTCCACTACAACTGATGTCAGGCTGGGTTCGCTGGGTTCCCCCTACGGAGGCGCAGGAATGGCAAAGGCATCCACTTGAGTCACCAGGTCTCGAAGAGTCTGCAAAAGGCTTGCGGCATTTGCTATGCCACTTGGTGCCACTTGGTGCCATTGGTGGTTGAGAATTACCTTTGCCCCAAATCCCATTGGGATCCCATTGGGACTTGTGATGACTGTTATGACTTCTTCAAATCCAAATCATGAAATGATATGAAATGTGATCAAATAAGAAGTGTTGGTGAATGTCCTGTCTGAGCCCTGGGGTAGAAGGCAATTGGATGAACCCTCTCAAACAGGTTTGGCTCATAATTGAAGTTTTAACCAGTTTATTCTCCGCATCAACCGCCGGATTTTAAACTTGGATGGTTCAACCAGGTTGGTCTTTCTGTACCCGTCAGCGACTTTACCGAACAATCAAAAATCGTTGCTCTGTCAATGGCTAAGACACTTCCAATATCTTCCAATAAGTACATCGTCATCCGTTGCCTTGTTTCATTCTACTTGCTGGAAAGGCATCTGCCCAATAATATCAACCCAGCACTTTTTGAGGCTCCGGTGGAGGAGAAAAAAAACTCTGGGGTCACCGTTTAGTTCATGCTTTCATGATCATCATCTTATTCCGAACCCCCAGTTTTTTTGGCCAAATCACTGGGTTTGTTGGTTTGTCTCATGCTGTTTTGTTCCAGTTTCACAGACACTTTTTTTCTGCAAAAAAAACACAACAAACCAAACAAAAAAAATGGCGTTTTAGATCGAAAAGTAAACCCCAATCCTAGAAGTAGTGATGCCCTCCGGCAAAAATCCCTCACTGATAGATAATTTTCCCTGCGAACTAAGCCTCCATTTAAAGTGGATGTTCCGGCTATACACCTATATCTCTAGTGGATTTTCCCATGTGTTCCCATATTTTCCTACGAATTTCTCATTAAAACCTCCATTTCCAATGAATTTTCCCAATGAAATCTCCATTTCCAATGGATTTTCCAATGTTTTTTCCCATATTTTCTTGTGAGTTTCCCAGTTGGCTTTGCGTTTCGCAGGGCGTTTTCGGCATATCGGCGCCTGGCTGTTGCGGCCCAAGCTTTCCACCTGCTGCTGCAGTCGTTCCACCTCTTGGGCCAGTTCCATCATCCAGCCTTGGAACCGATGTTTTTATGTTGTTTTGATGTGGGAAGGTGGAAACATATGGTTAAATATATGGTTAAATATGTATATTATATATATATATGGAAATAGATGGTAAATATATGGTAAAATATATGGTAAATATATATGGCACATATATGGTAAATATATGGTAAATATATATATATATGGTTTTAAAGAAATGCTTTAGAACATATGGTAGAACCCTGGTACTGGTGTTAAACCGTATGAAACATATGAAACATGAAAGGGTGCAGCTTATAATCACACTTGTCTGGATGGAATTATGATGTTTTCAAGAGAAATGTTGCAGGAAAGGGATGTTTTTGTGGTTTTTTTTCCATGAAAAACGCAAGGGTTGCGGGCCTCCTGCACTCTATTCCTTCCAACGAATTCAAGAAATGACTGGTGCTGTCCTGATTCACTCATGAATACCATTGAAACACATTGAAACATAATTCCTCATCCCCTTCCCTTTGCAAGAAGGCGGCTGCTCCCGCTTGCATTGGGCCGCGGCATGGCTGGAGGTTTTCGCTCGAGGGCTCAAACAGCTGCAGTTCAACGAAACATCCGAACATCGGGATATGCCTCGGATATGCTCGTCCGAATTGACAGCAAGTGGTCCTTAGTGGTGGTTGAAGCACTCCCCGCAACAAATATCATTAATATTAATTAATTATGCCAGTAGGTATCTTATTCAACCAACACCAGCTGCAGTGTGTTGCTATTGTTCCAAGATGTTCCAAGATGTTCCAAGATGTTCCAAGCCCATCCCCCGCGGGCCTTCCAGAGCCATAGCCAGGGCTTCCGCCTGAGAACCGTTGATTGCTGAGTGCATGGAGTGCATGGAGGTGACGGTGCAAAATGCTGGGGGATCACCATCGAACTATCCATCGAACTATCCATCGAACTATCCATCGAACTATCCATCGAACTATCCACTTAGGGGATCGGTGTTTCACAGTTCAACATACAGTATCACATGCATCACATCATATCACATCCAATATCATAAAATGAAACTCAGTTTCCTGTTCGTTGGTCCCAGACAGGGCCCTTTTTAGCCACTGAGGACCACAACAATTTGCTGCGTATAGAGGCCACCTGCAGCCGGAAGACGCCCAGTGGCCCAGGTAAGCGGGAGATATCATGCCATATCTTGGGCCATGGTAAGCCCCTTGATATCCCCTTGATTTTGGGACATTTTGGAGGTGGCCTGGGGCCAAAGAAAATGTGACCCGGCACCTAGCTTTGTGAGGGAAGCAGCCGCGCGCAGCCTCACCTAGGATCGGGTGCATCTTGCTTCATGTAATTGATTCGTTTCTCAGAATGTCGAATATCTGATGCCACCCAAGTCCTCGGTGGAATGTGTTGGATCTCTTCATTTTGGGTCCCCATATTTGAATGTTAGTAGGGAGATGGGAATTTACCTCCAACATGGGGTTTGGCGATGGATCGCCAACCCTCAAGAGCCTCGGTTTTGAATGGTGCAAAGCCTCAGATTTTCCACAGCTTCAACCGACTTGTTGTTCAACTGTTCCACCACAACCCACCTCCTTGTCTTTGTCTTGCAGGGTGGCAACGAAGAGGCACTCTGCTTGGGCAACCTTAGGTGATCCTGTGTATGATGCGTTCATGGTCATCCGTCTTCTGGTAGAGTTTCTATACATTGTATCCAAAAAAGGAACTGCCGAAAACTGGACCGTTTTTTTCCGAAAACCATCCCAAAAAGCAATCTCTGAAATCAGTTTGTTGCGGGTTTCAGCTCGTAAATTTTGGGGGTGAATAACCACATCTGGCCATTGAGTAGCGAACACAGACCTCGCCACCTGCAGGTCACATATCATGCATCACCAACAATGGCATTGAATGGCTAGTGGGGTAGCCTGGATGCCCTGATGGATTGCGGTGGATTGATGTTAAAAAATGGTTCTGTATGCATATCAAAATCAATACAAGGAGCAAACAGAGAGTGGACACAATTTGTCTGAATAATATTACAACAGTGAAGATGGAACCAGCCTGGGCACTGTCTGCTGGAGTAGCCCAATTGAAGGGTTCGGGCTTCTTTTGGCGCTTAAAAGTTCCGCCGTGCTGCAAGGCGAATGATGGAAGCTGTCCATCTGAACACCATGTGCTTCCACATGCTCCATGTCCACGACTCATGCCTTGATGTGAAAATGTTGATCCTTCGCAAGCTTCGCAAGCTTCATGAACACCTCCCTGACCATGGAAGCACATGTCTTAAATGTTGGATCTGCGAAAAATCCATTGAAATATCCTAGCCTCGCAGTTTTCAAGGTTGGAGATCTTGGTACATGGGCCAGGAGTGTTCGGGCAAACTCTCCTTGGTGATGTATTTTCGCAGCTCTTTGGCATTACATGGCGATCCAATCTGATCGTCTCCTGTCACGAGGATGATCTTGTTGAAGGTCACTGGATCCAGGAGTCTTTGAACCTCAACCCCATTGGAGCCCGATTTTCAGGATGCAAATGCCACATTCTGCGGACTTTTGTGCTTATTGCATATACATAAATATACCATATAAGATGCACATGTCATCAGATATCTATAAATCACAATAAAATAAACATTCCAATCACGACATTTGGCTGAGATTTCCCCAACGGGAACCGTTGGGATCCGTTGGGTAATCGCAGAGGGCTTCCTTGGGTTCCTTGGAGCCGCGCGTCGAGCCAAGCAGCAATGCCCAAAATCACTTTGGCGACCCAAGGCACTGGGAATAAAATCCTCAGGCAAGTAGCGAAAAAGTGGGCGAAAGAGGTAGAAATTACATGAAATGACGAAACATAGGATGAATAATATAAGATACATCGAATATGATTCAGAGTCATCATGGTTGGGCAAACCATTCCATTGTCCACGTCTGCCTGACTTTGTTGTAAGGTTGGCGTAGGATTTCCCAAACTGCCTGCTGCCAGTTGAACGCAGCCACAACAAGGCCCTAGTGTCCCTAGTGTAGAAGGTCCTGTTCCGAAAACATACCCATGGCATGTGGAACATCTTCATATCTGTAAACCAACCCCTACACAATCCTGAGAAAAAATGCAACTCTTCAATTTCCATCAATGATTCATCTGATTCATCATGATCCGTTTTATCGGATGGTCGTCCAAGACGTCCAAGTCACAAGCGAGACAAACGTTCGGGGTAGTGGTCCGAAATGATCTGGGCACAGGCCCGGATGAAAGGCAGCAGCTTGATGGCCTCAGAAACTGAGTTTTGTGCCAATTTCTAGGAACATTAATATCCTGTAAATGTTATTATCATAGTAATTATCATTACAATATAATAATTATAGGAACATATATATCCTGATAGCAATAATAATAACAATTATTTCTAGGATAATATTACTATTATCATTATATAATTGTTATTATTATTACTATTCTTATAAAAAGTAATATGTATGTATATATTATATATATATGGAAGCTTAGGACCTGCAAATAAGGATTATTCTAGGAGAAAATCAAGGATGGTCTTGGCAAACGTACCCTTTTACTATCTCTCAAAAAATGGAATAACATGTGTCGTAGGGTGGTAGTTTCCTATGACCTATGTGCATGTTCATCCCCCAAATGACTATCCAATAGATATCAACCCAAAGCCATTTCTGGGAGTTTTTTGCTGGATAAATCCCAATTTGTGTCGGGTAAATCACCATGTTTGCTGCTTAAGTTAGATAAAACATGATAAAACACATTATTTTTTCTGGTTAAATCCCAATTCTTCTGAAATAAATATAATAAATCACCATGTGTCATGGTGATTTTTTTTCTGGATAACTCATTTTCTGGATAACTCATTTTCTGGATAACTCATCACTTTTGATGTTTTTTTAATATCCATCCACTTGGGGTCACCGTGCCGGTCACCGTGCACGCCACGGCACAGGCGGGTTGGGCCATCCAGCGCCCCGGCGCACATCAATGAGTACAGTGACGCGATCCCTGAGCCAAGGGATCGCGTTGGTCCAATCGCATCCAATGGGATAAGAAGAGCTAAACCAGGTTACAGCTACTAAAAGCTCTAGGAAAAATCCCATTTGAAATGCCTGTTAATGTTACATAATGTGTTTGGCTTTGGGCTTTGGGTTGATGGTTGAAAACATGTTTTAACCCATCCCAAAAAAAATTCAGCAGTTCAACCAATCATGCCAAGTATGGCTAAATATGTGAAACAACTTTATCCAGGGATTTACCAGGGACTTAACAGGATTTCAACGGCATTTTGTTGGGATTTACCCAGCAATCATGAGATATGGCGATTGACATGCCAAAACTGGTGTTGGCTCCCATCACCCCAGATTTTTTTTTCATGGGGGTTCAATGGGTGTTTAGCAGGGGTTAGGCATCATGCAATGGGGGAACTAATATGGTACATAGCTAATATCATATCAACTCCCAACACATTTTTTGGCCCCCAATCGATTGGATCCAATACTCAACAAATTGGAACTTAGGGGAATAACTTGGATAGTGAGTCAAGTGTCTATCCCTTTTCTTGTGCGGGACTTGCAACCGCGAACCTGTGAACCTGTGTTTGTTGGGTAACTTCCACCCCACTTCTTGGCAATTGGGATGATTTACTTCACCGAAACCCACCTTTCCCAATGATATCGAATTGCATGCCAATTTCTTGGCTAGTAAACTAATATTGGATCTACCCAATATCTTCCCCAAATATATCCCAATAATTAGATTTATAACTATATGATATAACTATAACATACGATAAATTTAACTATGTAAACTATAGCAAACTAGTGTTACCACCAACGTTTGATATCAAACGTCCAAGGCTCTCTTCGCGTTCAAAGATCCCATCGAGAACATGACAAATGGCCAAGGTGTACTCCTCAGCCCGACTGAACTCAGCTGGCTACCTGATAGGGGGGGAAAAAAAACCTGGCTAGTGATCAAACATGAAAATGGAAAATCTGGAAAATCCATTGTTTTTGCTTTTCCAAATCAAGTTTCACACAATGTCCAACAGGCTAACAGTATTGCCTCGATTGGTTTCCAGAAGATAATCTTTTTTTGTCCTAAATCCCGTTCTTAGTTCTTGGTCATTAAACACCATTTATACAGCAAGTCCTTTCTTTATGTGAAACCACAAGGGAGAAAAACGTCCGGGAACCATTTTTGCGGGTGAAATGTGAAGTCATTGGTTCTCCATCTTTTTACTGGCTATATGTATAGTAGCCCCTGAAAGGATAGAAAAGTAAAATCAAATTGAGCTACTTCTTGAAAATAGTCATAACCATCATTTTTAAATCTGTATCTATGAATATTTATTATGGGGCTTACTATTTATATCTATTTATGATATGTTCTACATATTTTGAAGCACCAGTGGACCAGGAAAAACGGCCCCTCCTGGGGCTCGGCGGTTTCAAGTTCGTAGCGCGCCCCTTGGACCAACATCACGCGAGTGCCGTCCAGCGCATCGACGCTGCCCGAAGCAACGAACCTTGCAACGGCAACGTGCAGGCGTGGTTCACTACTGAGGGGTCCTGGACCTCAAAACATGGGGAAAGATATACATAGATACCCTCTGGTAAACTAACAGTTTGCTATTGAAAATGGCCATTTATAGTGAGTTTTCCCATTAAAAATGGTGATTTTCCATAGCTATGTTAAATTACCAGAGGGTATACGATGTAAACATTTACATCACATTTACATCACTTCTACATCACATTTACATCACTTCTACAATGAATATATTGTGTAATATGCATTAATAATCATTAATATGTTTAATTACATATGATAATCCTATGATAGCCATAAACATCAAGGGGTCGCAAGGATTCAAAGAATTGCCTAAAAACATCCCCTGTGACATCGCTCACATCTGGGATGGTGCGGGGCAGAAAAAAGACAACAACATAGAACAGTGAACAAGGCTTTTGGGGAATAAAAAAGTCTCAAACAACTACATCCTTACATCATCTGAATCATGAAAAACGGATAAACATGGAAGAAAACCTTGGTAAATGGGGTTTCTCGTAATGGCTTTGTCACAGGTAGCTGTCGACCTCGATTTCAGTGATCTAAGGTTCCATCACGAACCGATCATAACAAGTCGTGTTTTTATATTTGAAGAGATGCAAACCACCGGAAACATATGGAATCACATCAACATAGCAGGGGACAGAGTTCTGATGGCTTCTGATGAAACTGCACACCCCAAACACCTGGCGGATCCTGGCGGATCCTGGCGGATCCTGGCGGATCCTGGCGGATCCTGGCGGATCCTGGGCTTCAAACAAGGCGCCCAAAAGGCACCTTTGAAAAAGTCTTTCGCAGTGCTTCTGGATCCCCTTGGCCCTGACGCCACCGCTGCTGCCCGACGTACATCGCCTTGGTTCCATGATCAACAACGAAAGCATGGCATGGCATGGCATGGCATGGAGCATAAAACACAGCATGAATTCTGTGGGAAAAACCTTCCAGAAATAGGTGAAGGTCCGTGCACTCAGAGGGCTCAGAGGGCTCAGAGGGCTCAGAGGGCTCGACTCGTGCGACTCAGTGTTTCTCACAAAGTGATCCAAATGTCCAAAACAGTTCAAGACGCTGGGACCTATAACATCTCTGATCACGTTGATAGAAGCGAGAACACTATGAAAATTCCTGAATGCATTCCGCCACCAAATTCTGAATGATTCTGAATGTGCTCTTTGGATCTTTTTGGTGGTTGTTGAACCGGTTGTTGGCTAAATTCTGGTCACATCTTGTCCTACTGTCCTACCAGGTCCCGGTTTCTTCAAGTGGGCTCATATGAAAATAGCGCACCTAAAATCATAGAAATGTGTACATATATATATATATATAATTATAAATTATATATATATATATGTGTGTGTGTGTAATGTATATATGTATGATTTATCCCCTTTCCTGACTATAGTCATTATTGCCCAAAAATTGCCGTCAGATCCGTTCATTTACAGCCACCCCACCATACCAAGGACATTTCTCTCTCCATCGCCTTCTCGAAGAGTTCAGCTAAGCTAAGGGCAGTCTAACATTGCATCCCACTTACATTTTCATGCTTTTCCTATGCTTTCATGATATCTTCATGGTGGATTTTCCATATGGGGGGGTTCTATAAATGGGGGTACCCCATTTTATAGATGGTGAATGAAAAATCCCAGTCACAAAAATGGATGATTTGGGGCTTCAGGAAACCTCTGTTGAGCTGCTGGGTAACTCAACGGGAAAGCCTTAAAGCCATCAATTTACAACAGCCCAGAGGCGATCGCCGCTCGAGGATCCCGGCAGCGCGCACGTGCGAAGCGCCAGAGTTCATCTTGCGCTGCATCCTGGGTGGACTCACTGGATGCATTTCAGAGGTGAAAACCATTGAAATCCACCGATTGATCGACTCACTAAGCTGCGTTCATCGAAATTCGTCATAAACAAATTCCTATGTTACACCGATCGAAGCACCATAATTTATCATAATATCCTATAGGATAGAGATATTTATGCATCTTGCGAACAAAAATGGCTACACATTCATATGTTACTATAGTGTACAAACTACTCCAAAACCAAGGCAACAAGCAAATTCGAGATGTTCTTGGACAGCACCTATGGCCCTAGGGCTGGCGCTGGTATTCCTCCTGCTTTCATCATGACAATAGGTCCCAACTTCCAGTCTTTAGGTTGAATGATCCCATCAATCTAGGGTGCAGGGTTGTCCTCCACTAAAATTTTCCGGGGAACTCCGGCGTTTCACTCTTTTTCTGTGTCCAGAACGGTTTTGAAATTTTAAACCTCCGAAAACTTAAAATCATCCAGCATAAACTGGGCAGCCTAAATCTTAACCGACATATATATTTTTTTTTCCCTGCACCTACCAAAACCAAGAAAAAAATAGAAAAAGTAGAAAAAACGAAACCCCTCCAGCATTTTGTTCGTGTTTTTTTCCATATTTTCCCATGTTGCGCCACGGTGCCGGGAACTGCTCCCGCAACGCCTTCAGGCTCCGCTTGGCGCCGCGGCGCCGCTTTTCGTCGTCGTCCGCTTGGTCGCTACAGCGGGCGACGGGGGAGCCGTGGGAGCCTCGTGAAGAAAATGCCGGAATTGGTGAAAATCCATTGAAAATTCGTGAAAATCTATTGAAAATGGGTGAACATCCATTGAAAATGGGTGAAAATGGATGAACATTGGTGAAGACCCATTGAAAATTAAAATGCTGGAGTGCAATGAGTGCAATGATCAATGGATTTGTTTTGGAGATGTTTGGAGATGTTTGATGTTTGGATAAAATATGATAAAATGATGTTGAATCTTAATCCAATGATTGAATCCTAGTCGCTTCATATCTCTAACAGGAGTTCATCTCTGAGACAGTAACAAACTAATGATGAATGATCAATGGGGTATGGATTTTAACTTAAATGGTACTACGTATTGATCAATGATCAATACCCCTATAGTGTTTAATGATTCAAAACCCTTTAAATAATGGCAAACCATGGCATACCAACATATTATATATATATATACGTGGATGTGCTCTCTATATATATATATAATATATATAATGTGCGTGCGTATGTATTAATAAGAATAAGTGTGTAACACACGTTGAAACTGTATATCAAAATCATCAAAACCCCTTTGAGGTCGCAGCGCACCTCGACCCCGCAGCAGCAGTATCCCTGCGCCGAGCCAACGCAACGACGCCAGTGGCGCCGGGACCCGCAACGGCCGCCGCAACGGGACCCGCAACGCCGGAGATGGCGGCGCCCGGGTCCGGGTCCAGGGGGCCAGGTGGTCCAGGGGACGTAACGGAGCCAACATGGCGATGAAAGTTGGCCCCCAAACAACTTCAGTGAAAAGAACTTTTACCAATATTCTGTAACATTCCGGTAATTTGTTACATAGCTATTGAAAATGACCATTTATAGATATTTATAGTGGATTTACCCATTGAAAATGACCAGAGGGTAACATTCTGTAACATTCTGTAACTATCTCTCTCTACAAATTGTGCCTGAAAAACTTGCTGTACTTCTGACAAACTTCTATGGCCTCTTGGCCTTTGCAAATTGGATCACCTGGAGGTTTTGACATGACATGAACTTCGCTTCAGTGGTTCCAACACTTGGAATGCATGCAGTCCTGGCTCAATTCCGCGTGATCCGCACCCATGGGAGCCAGAATTGGCCGGCGAGCTGTCCAGTCAATTTGAAAATGCCTGGAGCTGTTTCGCTCAAAGTGCGGACAGTACTTGGCCGATGTGTGTCTCTCAAATTTCATTCGAGAAAACAATCCAAACAGTTAAACCCAATAAAAGTTATAAATCTTCCATTCCAATTGTAGTGAAATCCCATGAAATCCTCCACTTCTCCTAGTATAGCAGAGTCACCAAAAAGACTTTTTTGCAGTCGATCCCCTCACCTATGGATCCAAGTGCCGAGGCTGCAGACCGACGAACTGAGGCCTAGGTGCTTCCCGGGTGGTCTGTGGTTGCGGCATGATTGATTGGGATAGTGGATGCTTGGATATATACACACACACTTGTTCAAACATTTTTCATGAACATATGCTACAAAACAACTACTTTTTTGCCGAGCGAAGGTGCGATCTCCGACTGTTTCCAACCGTTTCCCCTTGGACACCTTTGGACCTTCAAAAAAAATCTGCGTTGCGCGGAAATGTTTATTTTTAAAAGAAATGCGGGTTGGAAAAGTTTTGGCCTGATCATGTTTCCGACTGTTTCCGACCGTTTCCGACCGTTTCCGACCGTTTGATTTTTTCTGAAGGATTAATTGGACCAATTCCATTTATGTCAGGCTGATCCAGTGCAAACCCGTGCAAACCATGACGCTTAAGTTTTTGCGTGCGACCCTTGTGCGCGTACACTGCACCAAACCTTGATATTCAATATTCCCTAAAAATCACAAAACCCCAGGAGTTCGTGAAATTTAATATATATATATAGTATGCCTATTCATTTGCATTATGACTGGATTTTTGGAGATTTGGGATGGCTGATTGGATAATTTAAGTATTCATGAATATCGATGGAGGTTCAAACTGAATTCTTTTGGGGGATTCCATATTTCTATCAATGATTTCATTGAGCACATGGATTTCAGGATGAATGTCGTTGACTTGAGATATCTTTAGATGATAGATTTGCTTTTGAAGAAAATATGAGGGTAATCAAGCGCAATCAAACATGATCAATATGACAATCAGACTAACCTTAGAATCTTTAGACGGTGGATGATGGATAAAGTGAGGCACAAGTCAATCTAGTGCTTATGAATGATATAATGTAGATGGTAGGTCGTAGAAATAATGGAGGTCTACTAGATACCTGACGAACACGCAGTAGTTGACAGCCAATACGAGTAGATAGATCATACAGTCATACAGAAATGATTGATGATTGATCCATTTCTTCAAATAGGTCCTTAACGAGATGAAAAGACCGGCTACTGCTATGTCGATGGATGTCAGCGGATGTTTTACTGAAAGACTTGCACTGATAGAAACAGAGGTCTGCAAGATTCTCTTCACAACCAAAACATGAGAAAGGGAAAGTGAGATATCCTCTGGTAAACATACAAAAAGCTATGGAAAATCATCATCTTCAATAGGTAAATCAACTATAAATGGGCCATGGCTTCAATAGCAAACTGTTAAATTACCAGAGGCCTCAGAGGGTACATTTTGTACAGATTAACATGCCTTCATATGCCTTCACTGCTGACCAGTGTAAAATCCCCACACCGAAGAAACAAATAGGCAGCAACTGCACTTTGACTTTGACTCCTAGCAACACACCTTTTTGAAACGAAGTAGGAACCTAGGCTGCTCAGCCAATCTTTGTGCTGAGCCTTGCCTCATAAAAGTCACCTTGCCTTCAGGGCTGCAGGTCATTGAGCTGCTATTCTCAACCCAGGATTCATAACTGTTTCATACTCAGGGCAGCATGAGATACTAATATTATAATATAGGTATGTTACGGAATGTTCAATAAGTATTGTATTTGCCACTTTGTCTTTCAGGTGCCCATTTTACGAGCATTACTAATCTTAAATCTACTTTGACAATCCTTTACATATCTTGTCACAACACCCGGGGAAAGGTAAAAGCCAAAAAACCGTCACAATCACCGCATAAATTGACCTCTTTTTGTGACTGTTTTTTTGGATATTTCACCAAGGCATCAAGCATGACCTGCTGTGGTCGCGGGTCACGAAAGCACGCGATCCGACAGCTTCCGCGTGCGCCGCCGCGACGTGGAGCGCGTGCGCGAGCGCCGGAAGCGCTCGCGGCTGCGCTGCTCGTCCTCGGCGCTGCGGAGCTGCCCGCAGCTCCGAATCACCACGCTGCCTGAAGCTCCGAAGGGGTCCAGACGGTCCAGAGTGAGATGTGACAGTGACAGTGACAGAAAATCTATGGAAATCATTGTTGGTCACTGTCACTTGCTTCTGTCGTCGTATCATGTCGTCCAATTTTCTACTTCAACCGCTTCAACGGTTCATCCACATGCCTCACACTAAATGGTTTGCACATGCCGACTTGACCAGGTTTGTTGGCGGTCCTTTCACTTCACCGGACTGGGAGCCGCAGGCTTGGATCTTCTTCATCACCTGATCTGATGGGGCACTGGACACGCCGAGCTGATTTGGTGATTCCACTGGCTCCAAAAGACAAACAATCATATAAATCTACATGTGATATGTGGATAAATATGTGGTGGGGGCAAAGTTCTCCATTTTTCCTGGATGAACATCTTCAAAACCTTAATTCCAGAATTCAGACGACTTCGTCAGTGAACCCAATCTGACAACGACATACAACGACCGCATACGACCACATACGACCACATACGACCACAAATCCCAACCCACTGTTTCATAAATTTCCAAATACCCTCTGGTAAACTAACATAACTATGGAAAATCACCATTCTTAATGGGAAAACTCACTATAAATGGCCATTTTCAATAGCTATGTTAGTTTACCAGAGGGTAATCCCAACATCTCCCAACCTGGCCATCCTCCCGCACAATCTCCCCAAAGACCACGTGCTTTCGATCCAAGTGCTTCGCCTCAGCCGTTGCCATGTCCGTCATGTCCGTTGTGGCCGTGGTGGCCGTTGTGGCCGCTGGAGCTTCCCGCCTGGCCGAAAAGGATGAAGAACTGCGAGTTGTTCCTGTTGGCGCCATCTCAAGGGATGGCAAAATTGCCATGAAATGCCATGAAATGCCATGAAAAACGAGATGTAAAATCGGATCTACTTCACTTGGAGACAAGCTCAAGATGGATCCAAAATCCACGGCTGGTTGATGCTCCACTGAGGATTTAAATTGATTACAAAACTGTGAACATGTCCAGTCTAGGTGGTAGATGCATGTAGATGTTGGAAGCTTGAAATCCCATCCACATTTCAGCCAATTTCAGCCCCTTCCTTTTTTTGACACCAAGAATGTCATGTGCTAAGTTTTCTGACAGCCTCAGGCCCCCTAAAAAAACTAAAAAAAAAGAACACTTCGTCCAGAGTCGTATTGGGCCCGCTGTTGGCCATGGACAAAATGTTGGCTCGCGCATGGAGTCGTGCAAAGGACTCATCCGCAAAGCTGGGGCCGTAGATGGAACGTCCTCCTGCCAACTTGTCTTGGAGAAGCACCATGGGTTTCTTCAAAGTCGCGGGCTCCAAAATCCGACAATGGAAACAAATCTAATTCCACTTTGGTGACTTGAGAGTATTTGAGTCAAGAAATTTCTGAATATCTTTGCCGCATGCCTTGAGTTTTAAGCGGTTTTAAGTTTTAAGCTCCAACCCTTCGCGTATTCACTCTCCTTAATTGCAGAAGAGCTGCCCACTGAATATGCGACCCGAAACAGTCACAACCACCATGAGTTCCCATCAAAACCATGCCATATTCTGCAAAAAGGAATCGTCCGATTGAAAAGTCCAGACCCCAGCTCAAACATTTGGAACGGCAAGTGGTGCGACCGGTTGAGACCCCATCTCAGCCCAAAAAACGACTCGACTTTCCTAACAAACCTCTGCTACCTCTGCCTGTCATGTCGGTTGCTCCTGTCCCATCACCATGGGTGATGTCACCGCCTTGCGCCATGAAACCAGGAATGATCCGATGGAATTCGCAGCCCTTGAAGGACAAGTCCCGGCCTGGCAGACATGACTTGGGTGTCGCCACTTAAGAAAATTATAGCGGAGAGTCGGAGAGCTCTGTTGAGTCGATGTATGTTGATTAATTGTTATGTTTTTTGGTGAGATATGGCAAGCTTCAATGCTTCCTCCTTGCTGATCTGTTTTCTCCTCGGTTTTTGGGGTTGATTTCGCGCTAACCGCTAACAGAGTGTCAGCTGTTGCCACTGTCGTGTTCTTTAGTGTGGCTTGAATGCTTGACCGCTTCATCGTGATGGCGGTAGAAAACTCTGCAAAGCGCACAGATATCTGGACTGCCCGTGCTTCAGAAAGGCAACACGTCCACGATCACATGACCACACGACCACACGACCGCCGCCACCACCACCACAACAACAACACCACCACCACCACGACGGTTTTCCAAGTTCTGCTGGGATCTGATGCTTGAGGCCCTAAGTCCCCCAAAATAATCGCAACAAAATGTCCTGGGGGTCCTGTCAAATGATCCGAGCCATGCAGAAAACCAAATAAGAAATAAACCATTGGAGATTTTCTGCGTATTGTGTAGCACCTCCTTCTGCGAGAATTCGATATGATTCATTCAACCCTGGATTAAGACAACGCAATTTATTATTAACAGCGGGATCCTCATAAAATGACGAGTTTAATTTCAAACTGATCAAATGGTACCTTTGCACCTTTTGATCCTAGGTTGACATCAGTGGATGTCAGAGTCTGCGAGTCGTATTGGGCCCGCTGTTGGCCATGGACAAAATGTTGGCTCGCGCATGGAGTCGTGCAAAGGACTCATCCGCAAAGCTGGGGCCGTAGATGGAACGTCCTCCTGCCAACTTGTCTTGGAGAAGTACCATGGGTTTCTTCAAAGCCGCGGGCTCCAAAATCCGATGGAAAGAAACGACTTGTTTTGCATGGGTGACTCGAATAAAGAAACTACTGCCTCATGCCCAGTGTTAAGCTCCAACCCTTCGCTTCACCCTTCCTGATCTTGGTTGAACCTTCTTGTCCCTCTGAGCAACTCCTTTGAACGACATCATTCAGGTAGTTTATAGGTAGTTTCAGGTACCAGTAGTTCTTCATGTCCACTTTAAACGAAATTTCTTGCGGTGTCATGCGGTGTGTGTGTAAGCAGGGCCTTCGCCCCAAAGATCTCCAAAGGCTATCTCTGTATGTCTCGTCTTGACAAAGGACACTTCTTGTCTGTCAATGTCAGTTATACTCCGTCAGTGACGGAAAGATGTTGTCCGGAAACAGCATTCAGAAAAAAGTGATACAAGAGTTTCTGAACACAGGTCGATTCAGATTTGTCTGCGGTTCGAATTGAAACAATACATGTATCAATGATTATCAATGTATCAAGCACCAACGGCACCAAGTCATTGCCACGATAGAAGCAACGTGCTACATCCTGTGTAGACCGTGACACAGGCTTTGTTTGGTCAATCTTTTGGCTGCTTGGATTGGGGTGGACCCCTGCCACAATCATCTTGATGCTGCCAGATTCTCTTCTTAACGTGAAAGTCCTGTCTGTAAAGATCAATGATATGGAACTGTATGCCAGTGGTTCGAAGTCATACTTAGCAAAGTTGGACTTAAAATCAACCAAACAAACTTCATTGCCGCTATGGTAAACAGACTGGTCGACAATGGTTGATACATCCTGTCCTTGACAAGCGCGAAACTTGTTGTTTTGGCGCTTTGCTATCAAGTAGGGCCGAATGAAGATCACTCTTTAAAGCTCAAACTCGATTTCATGAAGCTGCTATACAAGCGGCCACTGTCACTCTGTTCAGACGACTCAAAGTTGTTGAATACCACATGCGTTTCTTGCTAACTGACTGGCTGTGATCCCAAGCCGTATATGTGTTCCGAGTTTGAACTATTTCGAAGCCCTGCCAATACTGGTGTCCAACATTGTCCAACAAACAAAAATCTGCAACCACGCAAAGCTAGACAGCTAGACAGCTAGACTCTCCAAATCGGCAGTTGCTCAACTAATGCGCCGTATGCCAAAGTTGTTCTGAGTTGCCCAACTAATCTTCAAAACACCCCTGAACAACAAGCCAAAAACCCTACAACAGCTAGCTCCCTCATTCACTTAAAAAAACAATGAACTTTAGCATCAAAATGGGTTTGGGGAAAAAAAACACCACGGAACAAAACACAAAATCTGAACAAACAACAAACAAAACATACAAACCTTCCGTTATTGGCTCCCTCTGCAAAAATCCGTTATACAATGCTTTCATCCATTGATTCCGGTGACATCCACATCATCCACGGCGCTGTGGCATAGACCCTCTGACCCCACTTGCAAAGGGGCGCCCGTGTGGCAGCAGTACCAGGTCACCAAGGATGACAACCACAACCGGCCAAACAAACAACAAACAACACAACCAACCACACCAACAACGGCAACAACCTGTCACAACCATCGCCACCACCGGCCACCACCATAACCGCAACGACGATGACAATGACATACAATGGCACCTGGGGTCTGGCAATGTGCCAAACCCGGGATGTAAGCCTCCAAATCCATTTCGCCAAAGCCATCGACAAGGGCTGGTGACATTCCCAGCCGGGAGGGGGTCAAACACCGAGAGAAAACCAACAGAGATGGTGATACAAACATCACATTCATAGGTATTGATCGCCATGAAACTACCATATCAGAATCGAGCCTTCTCCTGGCTCCGTCATGATTTGAGGGTCGAAGTTGCTGCCGGATCGTAACATTCTGCTGACATCAAAAAGAATCCTAAGAAGCATGCACCATTCTGAAAGCAACGCGCAGGTTTCCCTGCCAGATTTCAACATGAATCGACGTTCCAAATTCCTCAGCCGCTTCTTCAACTAGTCCCACGGTTCGGTGCCTTTCTCACCGGTACAAAGGCATCGGAAGTTCTCAGCCTCGGCACATGGCCATTGAGGGCGTGCTGGAAATGCTGGAAATGAAACCGCCTTCGAAAGAAACATCGATCACCGGCCATGTCCAACGAATCAGAACAATGTCATCATTGCCATCTGAGTCCCCCTGACAGTTCGTGGCACCACATCAGCAAAGAGTTCCTCGGAAGTGGGAAGTTCTTGGGATTGCGGTGGCACATGTGGCACTCTTGGCTCGGAACATGATCAGTTGTATTTGGATGGTATTTGGATGTTGGAGATGTTGGAGGTTTGGACAGGAAGAGCGGCCTTTTTTTTCACCAACGCAATCTGTTTTCCCACTTGATGTCCAATAAATTTCCATCTGTTTGGGTCTTGCAACTGGCCCAGGTTCGATCTGGCAGCTTATCGTAGCTGAATTCTACCAGCCCTCATCATAGCAAACTTTGCTAAGTGTGTGAATCATTGGGCTGCCCCCCCGCCAAAAAGAAAGATAAGAGAGCACGGAATTGTGTGATTGATTTATGGGAACATGATTTAACCATGGGGTCTCCCCAAGATAGCTGGTTCCTACAAAAAGCTGGCAGCCCACTCAATCGGTTGAAGCTATTGAGACTGATATCTTGGGTTCCCCAAAACTACTGTGATGATCCTGGTTGCTGTGGATTGGGCGCTCTCATAAACCAATGTACATCTATCACAATTCATTGAAAAATGTGGATATTGAATCAAATCAGATCCCAGATATTCAAACACTGCATCTGTTTTCAAATAAATACCATCTATAGTCATCAAATCACATAATATTTGATAATATATGATAATGCTATGCGCAGTAGATCCAAATAGATGATTATAGTATTATAATGTATTATAGCAATCATCTATATAATCATCTATATAATCATCTATAATACTATATTTATTGGGATTATAGTACTATAATATTGGATAATAGTATTGGGATTCTCTCCACCCCTGGTCGTCCCAGCATCGATCTCCAAGCGCCCTGAAGCCTCGACCCGACCGTGTCGTTCTCCGTAGCCGGCAGGCGCGTGGACCTGGCGGAAGTGATTAAATGCAACAATTGATGTGATAATATGATCTATATATATATATGTGTGTGTATGTGTATGTATGTAATGTAATGTAGTGTAGTGTAGTGTAGTGCAATGTAGTGTAATGTAATGTAATGTAGTGTAGTGTACTGTAGTGTAATGTAGTGGAATGTAGTGGAATGTAATGTAGTGTAGTGTAATGTAAGGTAACGTAATGTAATGTAATGTAAGATATGTAAGTATGTAAGCATATCTGCATACATGCATGCATGTGTGTGTGTGATTAACATGGTTACTACTAAGTTAATACTACACTATTAATTAATGTGGAAACTACCCGCTTTTTCATGTTTTTTAATCATTTCCTTTATACGAAAAAAGAGGATGGGGACTGAAGCAGCAACCAGGGGGAAAAAAAATTATAGGACCGGATAACCCCACATGAGCGCTCACATGTTACCAACTTCTCTAGGCTTAGACTGAGCATAGAAAAGCAAGAAGGGAAGAGGAAGTATAAGAGTGATGGAGGGGTGATGGTGGGTGAGTTTTTGTGTGTGTGTATGTATGTGCATGCACAGGTGAGTGAATGAGTGAGTGAGTGAGTGAGTGACTGAGTGAGTGAGTGAGTGAGAGTGAGTGAGTGAGAGTGAGTAGGAGGGGAGGAGGACGGGAGGAGGAGGAAGAAGAGGCGCGGATACAGAACTAAAAACAAAAACCCCACACGTCAATGTGGGGAAAAACAGGAGTTTTCATACATTGATGGGCTTCACAACTTTGTCTCATGGATTTAGAATCGCACAACTCCCCATTGCCAGGTAAATCGAGCCATCCCGAAGAGATCACCATGGGAGATCACCATGGCACCGTCGGCGCACCGTTGGCGCCTCGATGTCCAAGAAGCAGACTGGGTTGGCTTTGCCCTTCTGTGCTTCTGCTGCCTTTCGTTGCTCCTTTTGCTCCCGCTCATCCTCCTCGACAGACACCGCGATCTCTGTCACAGGTTCCATGTGACCTCCCTAGGGCCCTACAAGATGGGGCGTGGTCCCATGGATTTTGACCCAGCCTCTGCCTCTCGCAAACGTCGTTTCTCTGCTTTTGCCTCCTTCTCCTCAAACCTCAGACGCTGTTCGGCAACGCTGACACAAAACAGAACATCTCAAATTCTGCGCAGTGTGGAAAATTGTTGAGATACTTCCTTCTCCACTTCTCCATTCTATTCCACTTGACCTCCCTGCATCTCCCTGCACTTACCATAAGGGAAACGTTTGAGCCCACAGCAACCTGCCATACCTGCCATAGCTGCCATAGCTGCCATAGCTGCCATATGTCAATCCCCTGATGTCCCCATCGGATGTCGCTCCAACGGTCACCATGTGACTCCTCCGCGAAGCGTTCGCGTTCAGCTTCCTCCTCCAGGAGTTTCTTCAAGGAGTCGCGGTCCTGCCATCCCGGCAGCTTCCAGTGGCTTTCAACAAACATAGCAAGAAAAGAAACGCACGCACACGCACACATGTATATTTATATAAAATATTTGCAGATATCATAAATCACCAGTGATCTCCTTCCTTTGAAAAATCTCGAAAGTGGTGATTTTCAGTGCTTTTCCACTGCTTTGTTTAGAAGGCGACCCGCCTTCTTGTCCGAGCGCGAAGAGATGGCACCCTTCTTTCGCCCAAAGGTGGCCATGGCACAAAAATCCAATGGTTTGGTGGTAATAACTGATCATTTAACTGGCTAACCATTCTGTTTTTTTGGGGTTGTGATTCTATTGATTTATGGTAATCATGTAACCCCGAAACTTGTACTGCACTTTGCACTTAGACAGAGACACATTTAAGTGTGATTTTGTTTGAATATTCCAAATACTCCAAGTGGAAACTGAAGTCCCAAGTGTTTCAAATGGCACTTGACAGAAAAAACCCTGACGCTTTCAGGTGTTCAGCTCGCCTTTGCCAGCTGGCGAAAGGACTGCCGGGCCATGGCCGGCCATGGCACAATTTACGACCACTTTCATGAGAATGACGAGCAAATATAGGATTTGGAGGGCATATGTTCAAACAAACCCACTTAGTTCATCTGAGTTCGCTGATCATTCCAAATTTGGCCAATCGGCATGAACAGTAAATATGCGCAATTGCTGTAGGAGATAAGCCGGGGTGAGCCCTGACACCCAAAGAACCCACCAGCCATTGCTCAGTTCCCCAGACATAGTCGTCGCTTTGAAGCACGCGGGTGATGTAGCGCACGGCAATGTTCAGTGGCTGCAACTCCTGCACTTTGAAGGGCCGAGTCATCGGAGCAAATTGCACTTTGCCAAAGTTTTCACCAACTGGCCCTCAAATTGAAGATATACCTTGAGATATGTCCAAATGATATCACTGCTCAATAACGCTCATATCAGGCACTCACGGTATGAGGATTTCGTCCCTGGCAGATTAAATTGCCGACATCTTGCATGTAATATGCTCAAAATGTGCCTAAAATGCTCCACTTCAATTGAATCAACCTGGATCAAAGAAAACAGTGGCCATGTTTAAGCCGTTTTACCACATTTTACTCATTTTACCACTCAAAATTGCCAACATCTGCCGTGGCGTCCCAGTTCTCCTCGTCCGACAACGTTCTTGCACGGGCCACGGGCCTCAGTGGAAATTATGCAGAAACAACCCCCAATGGTCACCGTCAAAATCCGACATAGCTTGGGCATCCTGTAAAAGTCTGCAAAAACTGGGGGAAACCATGGGAAACCAACCCACCTTGTCCCACCTTGTCCCACCTTGAGCTGAAAAATGCCCAAACTCTGGCAGCTGTCACTGCTGTCACTGTTCGAGCCGCCGACTCTTCCTGTAGTTCGTCCACCTGGCGCGCCGGTTCGTGTCAATTCCAACTAGAATCCATCCAGCAGTGAAATAATGACTATAATGTGCTAGATGCTGTTAGATCTGACTTTTCTCATTCACCCTTTCTCAATTCCGTTCTAACGATGAAACACACACACTTGCTCAGAACTGTCATTGCGAATTTTGTTGTGGAATGCATCTTACGTGCAAAAACAATCCAATTACACCTGACAGGAACGGGTTGCTGAAAGGCCCCGAAAAACAGTGAGTTCTCATCGCCATAGCCAGTGTTGTTGCCAACATCAGAGTTGGAAAATGAAATGAACAGATTGCGAAACCAAATCATAGATTGTTGAAACCAAGTTGACCTCACTGCACATGTTTGACCATAAGGGCCAGTGGTTTGCCATGGTTTCCCCTGCAAATGAACTGGGAAGTTTTGAATCATCACATTTTCCACTGTGATGACAGCACCTCATCATCATCGTCTTCTGGCTCCTGCCGTCATTTTGCATCGCCGATTTGGAAGAGAATCCATTCTACTTAAACACCTGATACTTGAAGGATAAAGGATACACATACATACATTACATACATATGTATATATTATATATATATATATACATGCCCACATATCATTACCGATACTCGTAGGTATAGTGTGTGTGTGTGTAGTATACATATCTCTCCACATAATGATTTTCATTCTTGGCATTGGAGAATTGGATGATTTATCTCCATGCACCTCCCAAAAATCGAACTATGGAGCTCCGAAACCCTCCTCCACCACTGGATGAGGGAGATCGGGTGCTCCTTCCTGGGCGGTTTGTGGAATTGGGAGTGCTTCTGATCCCAGGATATTTTTTCATAGAACCACCAAGAACCACCAAGAACCACCAAACATATGGAAACATGATATCTGAGTGAGTCACCAGGATGCTGCCAAGCCTCAGTACCACTGGTAAGAAACTCACTGGAATATCTGGAAAATGGATAATTAATGATAATTACCTCAACAAAATCTTGACAGCAAGTTCTGTCGCTTGCCCTGTGCCCATCGCCATCCGTGGCCATCCGTGGCCATCCGTGGCCATCCGTGGCCATCGCCATCCGCCTGTGTCGCTGAGACCTCTGACGCGTCGCAAGCTGCTGCACGTACTGGAGGATCACGATCCCCAACTCGGCGTCGTGTGGATCCGGTCCGATGTGGATCCGATGTGGATCCTATGTGGATCTGAAGCATTTCGCTGAATTGTCTTTTCCCCATAAGGCTCACATCTGACTCATCTGACATTTTTCTGATTTTTGCTTTCATTCGTCAATATGGGGATGGGTCAAAACCCTGGTACCTAGTGATTCCTAGTGAACCCCAAAAAATAGCTGGGATTTATGGATGTTCATCCCATTAAAAATGGTATAATGAATTATTATAATAGGTATTGATCCATACCCATATGGCTCGCTAGGCTCTCCGACTGACAGCTCTTCCCAAGTCTTGAACCAGCATCCGGGCAATCTGCCGGCCGTCGGATTGGATCAATTCGTGGGGATGGGCCTATGTAAAGAAAAGTACGTGCAAGTCTAATTTGGGGGCATGACATACAAAAAAGGAGGTACAACCTACTTGATGATGAAATATGATGAGTTTTGATTGATGGCTGACAAATGATGCAAACACTATGGTCGGATATGGTCGGAATGTTTGGCACGGAATGGTAGAGCATACTGAACCCACTGACGTGCTTAATTGAAATGAGCCCAGTTAACGGTTAACGTATATTGGGCCCCAACTTATCGCTAAGTGATGTGAAACTCCCCATTTTCTGCTCAAACCGAGCTCAACCCCGTGGTGAAGGTCGGCAACACTTCAGCTGCAAGTCTTTTGAAGGCTATGTCGCAAGCTCCTCCCAATCCGCAGTGGGACTCCCTGCACTCTAAAGGATTTTCTGGAGAATTTTTGGATTTTGAACATCCTGGGAGTCTTGGGAACTTCTTGAACTTCAAGCAGCATGGCCCATACCTGGATCCTACAGGATCCTATGGGATCCTATGGGCCAAAGCACCGGCCATAGCCAGCCCGGAGAATGTTCGTTTCAAGGTTTGGAGCTGGACTCAATGGTCAGTGGTCATAATACATCTGCTGTTGGCGGCCTTGCCACATTTTTTGAGTGCATGTTAATGAGTAAACATTAAAGGCTGCATAAGAAAACATATCAACACTCCAGTACAATCCAACTGCAGGTGTTAGAATTCCCAGGAGACTTTGGCCTCAAGTGGAACCACTTCTTTTGCCGCTTCCAGGATTTGGTTTCGCCAAAAATGTTGGCAAAAAAACACTGGTTGAAGAAAGTTGGTTAAATTGTAATCAAGTGATAGAAAACCGACCATTTTTGGATCCAATTCACTCTGCAACTCAGTCTTTGACCTGGCAGGGAGATGGGCCGTGAGATGCCGTGAGTTGGCTATAGAGCAACGACCAAAGCAAAGAAACCTTGGTGATACAGAAGCCTTCAACCCAAACCTTTCATGTCCGACTTCCTTCACCCGAAACATCCCGAAAAACGGGACAATCGCATGATTCCTTCTTCAAACAAAAGGGGAAAAAGGTTGCAACCGGCAGCACGCTGCAGTGCGGTCCTTTTCTGCCACAAGCGCATTCACTTGTGCATCTTGTGCCCGATCTTCGAAGTCGTCCCCATACTCCGACGCCTCCGACGCTTCCGTCGCCTCCGACGCCTCCGGCGCCTCTGCCCCGGGCGTTTCGGGCGCCTCCGATGCGGAGACCAAGGCCGGCGAGGCCGGCGAGGCGGGTGAGCGCTGCGAAGGTTCCGTGGCGTCGCCGCGGGCGGTGCCCACAGCAGCAAGGGCCATGTCAGCGGCCGCGTCACCGGGGCTCAAGGGGCTCGAGGGGCTCGAGGGGCTTAAGGCACCGCTGTCTGGACTCACCTGGCTGAAGTCGTCTTCATACATAGCGGAGGTGGGCGAGACTCCACTGAACTCAGTGTAGCCCTCGCCATCAGTCTGACTATGGCCATCTCTTGATCCATGTTCGACCTCATGCCCCGTGTCCGCAACATGCCCATCCTGCCCATCCTGCCCATCCACAGCTTCATCCTCAGAGTTGGATTCCTCTGTGTCCGCAGCCAAGGTGGCCCCTGGCATTGCATCGTTCCGCTCCTGTTCAGGGGCAGTGAGAAAGGGATATCTATGGAACCTCTCACATTGGCTTCTCTCCCCGTTTTTGATGATCATCTCGCTTGGCATCATCAACATATCATCCCATATTCATCCCATTCATAATCCTGTTTGGAACCTTACCTTAAAATCCCGTTATATCATATTACATCCCAATCTGTCTCTTCTTTTGTAAGCAATGGAGCCAGAAGTTGGTTGCCCCCTATGATATGTGAGACATGATTTTTATATGATGCACTTGAGCTCCGGGCTTGCTGCGGGATATACTAACGGAGTATCCCAATCATCGGATTCATGGTTCCCATGTGAAATCCCCATGTTTGAGTGATTATACCCCAATCATCCCATTCATAACCTTCATCATATCATATCATATCATATCATATCATATCTACAAAGAGTGAAGTTTCCCAAGTATCTCACAATCATCCCCCTCCTCATGAGACATTTATTATCATCATATGAATATAATATCCAATGGATTCCAATGGAACATCGGTGGAATTTCCCTATATTATCACTATTATCCTATATTTTCCCCATTTTACCGGGGGTTTCCCCTGGTTTTCTGGGTGGAAACCGTGGTTGTTCCCTCGTTCCCGCGTCCTGTCGCAGGAGTTCGATCTGCCCCCGGCGCTGCGCCAAGGCCTTCAACTCCTCTAAGTCGATGCGGCCGTCGCGGTTGCTGTCCAGGCTGCGGAACAACAAGCGCTGCTGGGGCAGCGACAACCAATCCACGGCCATCTCCGTTAAGATGCCGTGGAAAGCCCAGAAGGACAAACCTGATGCCGTTTCTGGTGGTTCTGGTGGATGATTTGGGATGATGTGGGATGATGTGGGATGATCTCTTGGGACAATATTGATGATTTATGATGATTTGGGATCAATTTTAAAGGACAATATTGAAGAAAATGATATGACATCATGGCATGATTGAGGATTGAAACTATGAGGATTGATGGTTGGGGACTTGGAAGATTTTGGAAGATCTTGGAATGCGAACGGGAAAGTTTAGGGGGAGGTTTAAGAATGTTGACACCCGCTGAAAACCTGAAGTGGGGTAGTGGGCAAGAGAAATCTGGTCGCAGATGACGAGTTTGGGTGGGAAAGTTGGATACCCAACCAGCTGAAGAATCTGAAAACCAATTAGCTAGCAGCTAGGGGTGCAAATCAAATCACCTATTTTCTATCAAAATAAATATCAAGATCTGATCATCCTAGGAATTTGACAGAAAAATCAAATGAGACTTTCTGCCAGAAACTCTGGGGTTTCAAGAAGGTCCCTTTCTGTCGATTCCCACGTCTATGCAACAACTGGGCGCGTCGATCCAATCGCCTTTCCCAGACCTGCAAGACGTTCTCCACTTCGCTGGCGGCTTCCATGGGATTCCATTTAAAGCGTGAGATCCAATCGTTCAAACCTGCTGGGATGACCATGATGACCATCAGTCGACCGACTTCTAACCGACTTATAACCGACGACTATTTCTCTTTTTGGTGGAAAATCATGGGGGAAAAGAGTGAAAAAAACATGCGGAAAAGTGGTTCCAATATGTTCCAATGATTAAAATTAGAATCATGGAGCAATCAAGGCATACGTACTAGCAATAACCAGCCAAAGTTCAGGGATAGGGAAAATTGATTCTGAAACTGAACTTTGGACCCCACCCTTGGATTCATCCTGATTTATCAATTCACTGGGAAATCATCGGCCCATCTCACGCGGAGCTAAAAGAAAAAAACACCGAAAGAATCCGAAACAAGTACTTAGATCTTCTCTGGCACTGATTCCGGCTTGCTGGTCTTCTCCTGCAATACTGTGATAGATGATTGCCACCTGCTCCCGCGTCAACCAGTTCAAGCCACCTGTGGCGGGCGCTGTAACCACCACGATTAGGCACGGTTAGCCTAATCTACCTCTCTCACAGCATGATTTACTTTTCATCACGGTATACTCCACGTGACAGGGAGGTAGAGTGGATGAGGCAGCTACATCATAGGGGTGGGAAGCATAATAAACGTGGGCGAAACTTTGAACAGTTATGAGGAGGTGAGTGATCCTTCACTTTTCTTGGAGGGTTTGCAAAGCACTCCAAATATGGGACCACCATTCACTTCACGCCCACATTTGCTGGGTCAATAGCTGAACTTGTCAAATTCTCTCCCAACATCTCCCAACTGTTGCTGCCGTGGATATCACCAACATATCCCCATCCCCCAGCATCCTGCATCGAGGATGTTGGCAAAGTCGCTCTGTTTGATCGTCATATCCATCATCCCCGCTGTGGCGGATTTCTTGCTGCTCAGCGCCTCCTGGATCTTTCGGGACACGTGGAAGACGTGCTGCAGCCCCAGCTCTCGGCCAGCGATGCGTTTGAAGTCGCCCGCGGAGTCGATGACGAAGACATCCGCCAAGTCATCCATCCAGGAATCTGTCCCCGCATCCTCTCGTTCCTTGGGGGAACACGTCAAAACGCTGTCGATGTGATGCTATGTCCATGGGTTGTTTTGTTGAACTATGAGCATTGCCAAGATGTTCAGAGAGAGAGAGAGAGAGGGAGGGAGATGTATATATATATGTGTGTGTGATTATATATATATATATGTATACATGCATATATGATGAGATATTATGAGATATTTGGCTTGGAGATTCAGAATCCTATGTAGATTTCATTGGAAAAAACCCGGCACCAAGAAACTGCTCATCATGATATATAATGGATATTAATGGCTCGTAGCCATCCTTTCAATCCCTCAGAAATAGCAGATCGTCCCAGGCAAGATCCGGAAAGACACTCATCTTGGTCCTAGTATGTCCTAGAATGTCCTAGTAACAGCTAAGCGGATGCAAAGTAGCGGAATCAACTGAAATCTGAAATCTGCTGAAATCTGCTGAAATCTGCCAGGTCTCTTGTTGGAGCAGCTCCAACAGAATCATTTGCTCCGGTTCCTGCAGCCAATGAATCCCAGCTTTTTTCAAGGCACCTTGCAGTTTCTTCAAGGTGAGGTTCTTCACTTCACGTGGTGGCCCCGCTTCCAAAGACATGGGCAAGTGCTGCAGCTGAAAGGTCGCCACATCGCTCGCAGCCAAACAACTCTGGGCGTTCAATGATCGAAGCCTCCAACCTGGCACGGCACAAAACAGATGCCATCACAGTCAAATCAAGACCGAAAGGCATTAAACAACGTTTTGGCAATGTACAAACCAGGAGGCGCTTCATGGTATCATACCACTTCATAGGGTGAATCTAGATAAATAAAATAAGATAAGATTAGATTCGATTAGATTAAGATGAGATTAGATTAGAGAAGATAAAGAAAAGATTAGATAAATAGCTGTTTAAGATTATTAGATATTATGAATATTTATGAATAGCATTAAGATTTCTATCATCCAAAATGCCTGAAACACTGCCCCAGGCCCCCCAGGCCTTGCCGCAAGTTCAGTCCACCCAACTTCAACTCATGGCAGATCACGGCGTCTTCGTCGGCCGACAGAGCTTCGTTCAGCTGAGTCAGGTCACTTTGACTCGAGATCTTGAATTCCTGGGTTGCCAGGGTTGCCAGGGTTGCCTGGGTTGTCAATATCCAATCATTCACCAAATTCACCAACAAGATCAACAAGTCTTGGAATATCTGGCATCAACGATATCAAAGGACAGCTGGACAGCATCCATCCAACTTTGAAGGATTTTGAAGGGTATCGAATGGATACAACGCGATGCACTACGGCAACGCGATCCCAAGATATCCATGTCCCAAATTATATCAGCAGTGGAGTGCCCATCTTCTGGAGTCACTTACAGCCTGTAATTACCCCACTCGATCGAAGACACGGTTGCCACCCCCCTCAACAAGGCACCATCCATGCAAACTGCAGTTCAAACACCAATCGATGAAAATGCTGTTCCCGCACTTTTCCAAAGCCGAAGCGATTCGCCAGCTGCTTCTCCGAGAATTTCGGCAGCTTGGCGAAGGGACTCTGAAAACACAGCCGCAGTGGTCCAGCCACACGACTGGCAGCCAGGACGTCATGGCTGGCCATGGCCCGCAGCTGTCGGCCCTGCTCACAGAGGTCGCAGCCGTTACGGAGCACCGCTTGCAGCTCGTAGCCTGGAGAGGGGGGAATGTTGATCACCTTGGGGTGGCAAGAGGATGCCATAGATACACTACAAATGGAGAAAAATCTGGAAATATGGAAAAATGTGTACATATATACACACATATATATATATTATATTTATATTATATTATATATATATATATTATATATATTATATTATATATATACATACATATCTGTGTGTGTGTGTTGCTGATTGTCAAAAGTTTCAATTTTTGAAAAGTGATGGTTGGTCATGGTTGATCGTCTGAAATTTCAAACTGAAGGATATCATGGAGCAACTGCAATAAGTCAAAGCTGCTCCGAGCGCGGGATTTGTTTTTGTCATGGAAATTCAATTAAAAGAAGGTGACTTCAAATTCCTTCCAAATTCGAAAACTCTTCCAACCTCCATCCCATATATCGCCACAGATCCCATCCCCACCTTCACAAAGTCCCAGATCCGTGATGCGCCCCTCAGGGACAGCCACCACGAAGAGATCTTCGCCTAAGCCCCCCTCCAATTCAATGTCCTGTGGCAGCTCCTGCTCCACTCGCACGTGTGCCACCGATCCCAGCGATGCCAACTGTTGGGAGGCCGCCGTAGCGAAGGACCGCCTGAAGGCTCGACTGCTTAAGCTGGAGGAGATGGCAGTAGCAGCTTCCGAATCTGCAGTTTCAATGGAAATGGTGGCCAAAAACTTGGGCCAATCAGGTCGATGTTCCTCTTTTCGCTCCAATTTTTGGCAAAGTTTAATCCCTTCCACCGAGATCTGCAGCGGCTTGGGCTTTCTGGAGCCCTCCTCCCTACGCAACAGGACACCGCGTACAGCGGCGCGGACGGCATGAAGCAGCTGTTGCCGCAAGCTCCGCCAGTCCTCTTCAGCCTGCATCTTCATCTCGAACTTCTCCAGGGCAAATCGGATTCTCCAAATACTCCGGTTCTTTCCCGGAAAATCAATCCACAAGGCCTCAGGGATCTTTGTGACCCCCGTGGGTTTATCCTTCAATGCACTTCGGGAAGCCAAACTTCGAGCCACGGACCCCGCATCTGCCATGGTGAGCTCACGCTGTTCCTTGTGCCCCGTGCGCCAGGCACCCCACCGGAACTTCTGTGGCTTGTTGCAGTGCGGGCCGCGTTGGGTGGCATGGGAGCAGAAGGCCTCCATGGCAGGAAAGAGCTAGCAGCTAGATGCAGCTAGATGCAGCTAGTGTTCTTCTTTCATCTTCTTTCGGCTTTGAGAATCTAGGGGGCCAAGAAGGATGGGAAGAAGAGTGAAGGAATCATAAGGAATCAAGAGTCCCTTAGCTGCATGCTCTTGCCTTGAAATTCTTGTAGATCTTTGGTGCGTGGCTCCTTACGTATGTCTGATGTGTTCCTGAAGAGCTTCAACTTCAACTGACTCAAAGGACGACAAAAATAGGTGAAACGCTGAAGGCAAATCCTGAACTTTGTCAGGACTTTGATGATGAAATCGCAAATGCCAGCTGGAGGCTTTGCAACCAAATTGGCCAATACCGTATTGCCAATACCTGAAAGAAACACATCACCAGCTCTTACACATCCAAGCTAAACCGAAGCCAAACATCAGGGCCTATAATATGTCTAATTCTATTGGGAAAAAGAGTCTGGGGAATCATGCAACGATATGTAACGTATGTCAGTGACCGAAACAAATAGCATCAAATAGCACAACCTGGCGGCCTGGCCCCACATAAAACCGCGAACCTGAAAGGAGACGTTGGGGTTGGGAAGCGCCAAGCATTTCTGCCTCAGCATTGATCACACTGGGGCAGCTCCCCTGTGGATCCTTGGGGTACAGCGTATGTCCCCGGTTAACACCTGAAGTGATGGAGGAAAATACTCCAAATACATCCAAATACCTAGAAGTGTGGCAGCTACAATCACCCAGAAAACATCAGAAAACACACCCTATTCACCCAATTCTACCTAACCATCAGGGGTGTAATCAAAATTGGAGCCCTGAAAATCAGCTTTTTAAACATCTTTAAACGGGTTTATTATGGGATTTGCTACCCAGTTGTTGCCCCAAGCACAGCGACTGGGGCCCCATGCGCCTCCCAAAGACCCCGAGCACCGTGAGCACCCTCTGTCCAGCTCCCGGCACCTGCAATAACCAAAACCACTAGTTCCTGGTGGTCTTTATGGTTTTTAATGTGTTTTAATGTGTTTTTGTTTCTGTTTATGGGTGGTTAAATATCGTCTTGATTCATCTTATTCATCGTGTTCTTGGTCTATTTTTGTATCGTATGATGTCTTATTCAGACTCTTGAGAAATTAGTTTCGTTGAGTTTTTTTCATCTTGTTCCAGTCCCCCATGTTCATTTCCCTCATTGGGTTTCGCATGGGTTTTGCATACAAAATGAAGTGGGCAGTTCTTGTAGGGATGTGTTTGTTGGTTCATTCGCCCTTGTGTTTTCATGCTGTATCTTACCAAAATAACCTTCATCTTTCAGACGACTCTTTTGATCCACACCAAAATACGGTAATAGTAAGAATGGTAAGTATCAACAAGTCAAAAACTTCACAGTTCGCCGCCCCGCAGAATCCCCATTGATGTTTGTAACCTGGTGACTACCTATGTCTTCCATGGTGCCAGAAAACGAACGTCCAAGTTGCGCCCACGCCGCGCCGCCGCAGCCAAGTTGGAGAAGGTGCCACCACTGCGGGGACGACAACGAACCTCCAGCAGCGCCTCAAATGACAGGGGGCCACGTCTTAAAACGGAGAAACGTGGAGATGGAGGCTGACATGTGAACAGGACATGTGGGTTACAATGTATATTTATATGGTTTTATGATGGTTTTATGCTGATACATGTGGGTAGGTTGCTGGATGGCTGGATGGATGTGACATTTGCACATATGTGACGGTAAGTACGATTCTATGCTGCATAATGAGATGCATGAAAGCTAGCCGCAAAAAGAAGACCAATACAAACATAGACCCCGAAGATCTTAAATGGGCACAACAATGCAATACAGATATTACTATATATTAATATATAGATTCATTCTCCAAAGATCATCAAGTATCAAGATGATCCAAGATTAATCCCACCACATCCCAGAATTTGGCTGAAACGGTGGTTTCACCCCGCACCTCTGGTTTCACCCCGCACCTCTGGTTCCACCCCCAGATCCCCCAAATGGTCGTAATCCTCGAGGCAAACGCCCTGGAAATAGATCTCCTGAGCCAAAAACATGGAGATTTTACTGGAATTCCTGAAGATCCTGACGCTTCAGACAATCTTACCACCCAAATACTGGGGGGTTAACATGGTTAACCAAACAAGAATTAGAGGTTTACCGAAACTTTTCTTTGGCTTGTGCCTGAAAATTGTTGACCTCAAAAAAAAAAGTGGTTGAATCAAGCTATTCAAGTGGTCACTGGTCGTCCTGTCGTAAGAAAGGCACGCCATAGAGCTGGGTGATGAAACCTGAAGCAACGAAGCAACGAAGCAACGGCTCCGTTTTTTGGGGTTTGATCCCCAATGGCCCAATGGCCCAATGGGATGAGCAAAGGAGAAACTCTGACCGCGATTTGCAGATTTAGGATGACCACCGCTGTTGTCGTTGAGCCTCAAAATGGACAAAGTGCATTCTTGGATGCAAAATGTCCGGAAAATGTTTAGCAAATCCGCCTCTTCTTAGCCTCTTCTTCCTTTCTTTTTCAACCTTTTTTAACCTTCACTACCTTCACACGCCCCTCCCGCAGCCTTCCTGCTGCATTGCCAAGGAACCTTTCACGTTCTGCACACTGTCTCGTGCTTCGCAGGGAAGTCGCCGATGGCTTTGCGCCTCCACGATGACAGAAGTGATGCCCTCATATGTAAACTCCATAAAATCGCCAATTTAACTCGTTCCCAATATTTTGATATATTTTGGATATCTTAGAACGTAACCTCCATGGCTATTGGAATGCCGAAAGGGCCCAGAAGATTTTCATTTTGCCTGCATTTTCCTATCCCAGAATGGGGTTCGATACTCCGGTCAAGCGTAATGGGAAAGCCCCCGTGCTTTTGGGAGAAAAGATGATGACATCAGGGGAATATCATCAGGAATTATCTGGTAAAGCTAGGATGAATGTCATAAACATGAACGGAAAAAACAAAAAAAACTGATTTTAGGAGAAGAAACCTGTCTGACTCAAATGCTACCATGACCCATTGACACCAGCCATTGTCCAAGACCCCAGCCTCATGAGAGAGTGGCAGAAGACATGGGTCAATGCGAAGCAGAACGTGCATTGGCTTCTTTGGCCAATACGGAAGTTTCCTCGAAACTTTGGTACACAATGTCTGGCTACAGTAAATGGGGAGATGAGTGTCTCTGCACGCGAAACCAGGTTTGGTACCGGGTACATCTGAAGCACTGGACTCAACTGACCATTAACATCCGATGGGGGCTGGGGGACTAGTATGAACTAAGCAATCAACGAAGTAATCAACTAAGTCAAGATGTCTGAGCAAACCCTGACTTGTGGACGGCGAGGTGCAGGGCTGCTGGATAGGGAGTGAGTTGGGAGATCCAGCTGTGACAAATGGTCACAAATACATCTTGGACCTTTGGACGTGCAATCTGAAGCGCCCAACCACTGTTTGGAGATTTGCACGCAGAATGTGGCAGATCGGGATGCATTTCACAGCGGTTGCAAGTCAACCCAAATGGGCGCGTCCGCCCAACTTCCAAATTTACTACAGCTTCAAGAAACGCAATGCCAATCAATGCCACCTTAAAATCGGTAGGATGGTAGGGTAGGGTTGTATAGTATATTGACATATTGATGATCAAAGTAAGATGGCGCATAGTACCCCGATCAACATTCAGCATGCAGAGCGCTATCCCATAGTATGTGCCGTGTTTTCTGTGCGATGAAGTGCCAAAAATGTTGAGACACTGCCACTCTCAACCCTCCATATCCCAATTTCTTTTTTGGCTCGGCGGAACTGTGTGCCGTATGTAGAGGGCGATGCGGGCGATGCGGGCGACGTGGGGAGGCCCCTGGAGAAACAGAGAGATGGCCATCGAATTACATCTCAGGGTTTCATGGCAGAGTTCCCCGTAGTTCACCAGGATGGATGTTTTGGAACGAATGGACAAAAAAACAACGCTTCCACCGCTTTTAACCAGTAAATTGGCAGATGCATCCTATTTCAATCGGATTTCTCTGAGCTTAAAGACTAAGTGAATATGTTAAACACAAGACGTCTCCTGTGTTGAAACACCTGACTTATATAGATATACTGATATACTGTATATCATGCATCTGTGTGATTTGTAAATCAGCAAGTCTGCGTGATACTTCTATACAAGTAGAATATATACTGTTACATTAATATTATTTATCTTACATTAGTTATTCAATGTTATTGGGCCCATCTGCAACGGAATGGCTCCTCCCGGAGGGTTCATGCGACCATTGGACCATCGCCCGCGGCGTCTCGCCTTTTAAACAAAGGTCGGAGCGGCCGATGCACAGCGGCTGAGCCGGTGGCAGAGTCGTCATGGCTGGACAAATCCTTCTCTCATTCCATGTGTTTCCTAATTCTGATATATTCTGATCATCATTACATCTCATTACCATGATTAAGTGACTTAAGTGATGAACATCCAATTTTTTTGATGATGATCAATGGCGACCCAAACTCTGCTTCAGTGCACATGCCCCCCCTTTCGACTACGGATGGAAACATCGGTTGCAAGGGTGCGAAAGCCGTAGCCATCGCCGGGAGATTCAAAGTCGCTCCCAGCAAAGGTCATGGCTCACCTGGGTCGGCATGACATCCCATTCCCAGGCCATGGTCAACACGGTCAACTGGGACCTGAACGTAAAATGCTTGTGGGAATGGGTATATACTTTATTGCAAGAAATAGTGTTATCGCAATACGAGGTAGAATTAGAACGGATCTCCGAGTTGGTTTCAGTTAGCTATAACATTCTATAAAATGTTTTAACGTGCTTATCCACATTGTCATCATTAGCCGAAAGAAATGGGCCGGCAGAAACCAGCCAATCACTTAGACAGGTGGTCCTGTAAGTTTGGTCCCCTGTAAAATCGCAGGATGGTTCTGTATCCAAACCCAACGAAACAACAATGGAAAACATCTAAAAGCATAGGACCTGCTGGATGGGATTTTTTCCATCGATGGTTAAATCTGATGGGTTCCTCTGCTGAAACTGCCGAGCGGTGTTGCGAACGCCCCATCGTAACAATGGGGGAACCTCTATTGAAATATTTGAAATGCCTTTTTGTGCCGCACATGTATTCATCAAAATGCCAATCGATTCTATTTGCCACCCATCTTCCAGAGTTCACCGTCTGCAAGTGCTCTTGAATATTGTATAGTCACAATTATAGCAATCATATTACATCACATGTGATCATAAGATATTTAATGATCATGTGATACCAATCATAGTGATCTTAATCTTACTAATTATAGTAATTGTGTTTTAATCTTATTAAATACATATATATATATATATATACACATATGATCATGTAAGATCCTGAGGCACCCAGGCTTGGTCAGCGTTTTTCGGCGAAGTTGAAGAGATCTCAGCTGGTGACAACTTGGGTGCGCCGTATCGAAAAATGTTGGTCAACGTGGGGCAACTTGGGGCAAGTTGCGGATTTTGAGCATGGAAAACCACCAAACATGGCAAATATCATCAAACAATATAGACATGTATATTTATATCTATATTTATATAGTTCTTCATATTATTGGAATATGTATATATATATATATGCACGTGTATGTCGTATACATCTGACAAAGCAGACACCAAATGACCATTGCTCAGCACACATTTTCCTAGGGCGTCGAGTGAGCGGAACTGCGCGTGATAGCTCCGGGGATCTTTGAACCCTGAAAACACAGCGAACAGGGCAGTTTACAGCTAAGTTCCCTGAACTTTTCCGGGTTTGTCCAAGGCGGGACTCTGTTTGGCAACTATGGGGAGCCGGTTTGTGAATGGGACGGGAATCTAGGTCACTTGCATGGCTCACTTTAGCTGAAAGGGATGGCGAATCAATGTTCCAAATTTCTTGTCGACTGGGCGGTTGGCCACATGTACCCACATGTCATATGTCAAAATCAAATCCACTTCAGGATCAACATGACTTCAACACACTTCAACCCATTTTCAAAAGGCGTGTAACAGCTTCCAGGAGCCCGATTTGGAGCCGCTTCCGACCACTGGGGTTCAGGCCGCAGCAGTAAAGCACAGAACAGCGGCAGAGCACTGGCCAGATTCGCCAAACGCATCAATGCCCCAAACCTTGTCGACAATGCGGCCGTTGAATTCCAGGGGTCGCTGGGTCACCTAATTACATCTAATTACCCGAAATCGAAGATAGAAATATATAGAACCCAAGAAAATGCAAAGGATCTAAGGATTTTCAGAGGAATGACTCAATATTCCAAACTGTTTCTTGGATGGCATGTGGGCATAAATCAACGAGCTCCGCGCCCGGAAGGGCCCGGAAGGGCCGGAAGGGCCGGAAGGGCCGAAAGGTCCCCATTTTCTGATTGCATTCGTCAACTCACCCGTGACCAGGTGAAAGCATGTGGAACCTATGTTCTGTATCCAATACACACAGGCCTTCAAAGTTCAGCGATGCACGCTTAAAATTGACACAGACATCCATGTAACAGCGACCATCAAATAAATAAACTGTAAGTGCTTGTAGATGTTTACCATAACTTAAGACTTAAGTAACAATAGTAACCACAAACACAAACATACATCTATATATACATACAATGTGTGTGTGTGCTATTCATTTTGTTATTGGTCCATTTAATTTCATTTAGAAACATGCATGGATTGAAGGGTCTAGATTTACAAACCTACCGTGACCTGAACTGAGACAGGCACCCCATGGCCAGAGGCAGCGGTGCGAGCAAGGCAGCCAAGCTTAAAAGAGCTGGCGCCCGCGGGAGGGGAATGCCTCAAGCAGCAAAACTAGAGGTTGAACATGGTTTAACCAACAAAAACTGTGGCTGTCCATGCAAATTGTGGTTCGACTGCAAGAATTTGGGTTTTAACAAGAAGATGTGTGCATTCAACCAGCACGATGACGGTTTAACCAGCAAATTTTGGGAGCTCAACCGGTAAAAATTGTTGTCTTTTTTTAACAAACCCACCTGGGGATTCAGACGGAGGTGGGTGGCTCTGTCCAAGAGATACAAACCCTGCGAGAGTTTCTTCCCTCATTGGTTTCCGCACAAAAATGCAGGAACTCGGCGACGGGAAAACTTTTTTGGCAACATTCATGGCAACGATGGTGGCAACTGTAGGTTTGCCCTGGGGAGTCCCAATCATCCCAATCATTTTAATTCATTTTATAGATTCTGGGATGATCTGCTGCCATCTGCTGCCAAATCGCTAATGGTTCCATGTGTCTTGATGGGACCGCACTTGTCTTTGGGCTCTTTGTCTGTCAGTGCCTTGGGAATGGAAAGGGTGAGCTGGGTCGTCAACCCACTTGGGAGATTTAGAGAGATTATGAATTTCCGAACTATGCATAGCCATAGCTATGTAGATCCTGATTCTGATTGCAAACAGGGAGATGGTTGCCTTTTTATATCAGTAAACATCCTCAGTTCAAGTCAACGTCTAGTCGTTGATCTCAAGGCGTCCCCCAGGATTGTCATAATCACAATTAGCCGAAAGGTGGCAAGTCTCTGCAAATCAGCGTCCCCCAGTTCTTGGACCCTTCCAGTATGTTGCGTGGTTGGAGCACCAATTTGATGTGGTTAATCCAATTAATCCATATTAATCCAGGGTTAAGCCACCATTGTTGGCCATCCATTTGAAAATGGTCCCATTTTTCGACGAGGGGCCACAGCACTCGAGCTGAATTTACGCACCAACTGTGCAGCAGACATGAAGCCAAGCCGGGTGTCCCTGTCGTCCCTGTCGTTGCCGATCGCTGAGCCAAAACTGCGGGGAAATTTGTGTGAACTCACAATGTTGGCACATTTATGTAAAATATATGTTTACAATATTAATGTGAAATATATGTTGTCACATTTTTCTGTGAACTTTTTGCGAAACTCTGACTTCACCGCACTTCATGGCACGTCATGCCACACGGCGAAGCGCTCCAGTGATCTCCAAATTCATCCCGCCTCCTGTGATGCCACAGGCTTACCCCAGGCGCACAGTGCGGCCATGGCAGTTTTCTTCACCATGCTGGACTTGTCCTTCCTGGGCGAAGATGTGGCTGGGATCCAACAGAACGTGCGCCGGAAAGTGTAAAAAAAACTCTGGAATCAATGGATCAATGGATCAGTTTCAGGGAAAATTTAGAGGAAACCGTGAGGAAACCATAGTTTCTAGCCCCAAAGATGTAAGTTTCCTGTAAATTCTCCACTCATCCAATTCCGGGTGATCCATTCTCAAGCGGATGACACTAAATGCCAGCAATAGTGTTGTCATCCACCAATTTCAACTCAAGTTACTACATGGATAGTAAGTAGCAATGAGCATCTCACCTAAAACTCTGGATAACAGGAAAATCATTCGAATGTCAATGAATATGAGCTAGTGAAGCTAGTGATATACTATGTGCACATGAATTGGGCGCCCAAACAAAAAATCCAGCAGTGAAGTCCCCCGCCCTGGGTCTCCCACAAGCAATCTTGCAAGACTTCCAGGTATGGCAAGCCAAAATCTGCTCCGAGCCTGGCTGATTCCATTGAGTTGATGAAACAACATGAAAAAATGAAGTCCCAGTCCTGATAGGTTCCAATTATTTCTAATTTATGGATATTTATTGATCGTCATGGATCATCCAACTTGATAACATCCACCAAACACAAAACAAGTTGTCACAATCCGTAAAAACTCTGATGAGAGCATCATCATCACCCAAGATCCTTAAAAGGAAAACATTGCTCCAGCCCCTGGGGGCCTTCCAATGGCACTGCAAGCCGCAGTCTTCACATTGCGCCGACTGCCCGAGCACAGCCCACATGGCTAGTGGCTAATCGGATGGGGGGCATTCCCAGTATCGCCTACATTTATCGCTCTTCAGACACTTCAGGCAAATTAGGCACAGAAAAATCCCGTAATTAAAAATCAATGCGGCGTCAGATACCATCTATGCAAATGTATTATGTATATGCATGTGTGTATGCACCACCAATTCACATGCTAAAAACACCGGCAAGTACAGAACGCCACGAATGAGAAAACACAGCTCAACTGTGCGTTGAAAATGGATGAAAATGGAACGATTGGAATCCACGCATCGCAAAACCATCCATGTCTTTCCTCCCCTTTGGTTTGCTCCAGGCCTGCAGTGCAAAGATTCGAACCTGGGGCTCCGTGTGGTCAACGATATCAGTCGACCACGTCGACCACACCTTCATCACGTCACGTCACGTCAGTCGAGCTGAGCTCGGCGACTCGTAGCGAAGCCCATCCTCGCAAATCCGCTGAGCCTTGACACCGGTGAACTCACGTTGCCCTGTAACGATCGTAACGATCGTAACGATCGTAACGATCGTAACGATCGTAACGATCGTAACGATCGTAATGGTAATCGTCTAATATCGTTGATGGAATTTATAAGCTAAACGATTCGTTATACAAGTTGATCGAAGTTCTTCGTGCGGCGGAAAGGACTCATCAAAAACCACAGACCCGCAGTGGTCCCTAAAAGTTTTGGAAAAGAAAACTTCCTCCAGCTTTACGATGTTTCAAGTTCTTCCCTCTAACTCTGTTTGGGAGCCACCAATTGATACAAGTTGTCTAATGTTGTCTCCATCTGCCAATGATTGAAGGAACATACGAATCATCTGACAGGAAGTGTGCTGGTGCTGTTCAGCCAATGCCAGTGCTGGCTGAGTTTGCAACTGCCTGCTGTTGAACTTCATGGTCAAATCTCAGGCGTGGTACAAGTCCGAACGCAGTTTCAAAATGTTTCAAACCGATGATTTGTCAACCAAGAATCAACTGAATCAATGTCAGTGTCATTTCAGAGATTGGAAGCGTTTCGCGATTTTTTTGGTGGGGGTACCTCTTTTCTTTCAGACCAGAAATTTGATGGACTTTGAGCAAATGCACGATGACTTTTGGCGATTTCCCATCTGAGACGAAGTCGTGACAATCGCTTCCACCGCAGCTTGAC